ATTCCATGCAGATAAAGAAAAAGTAGTGAGTCTTATCAGCATAACATTGACATTGCTTTCGCATATTTCATACTTGATAATAGTGAAATAATGAGAAGAATGAATCACTTGTTGTTTCATATTGTCATAAAATTCCAATTGAAAACTATTTTACAACAAATGACAAACATATTTGTAATGCGTAAATATATATTTTTTTATATATTACATAACAGCAAGAATATTAAAATATTAACAATAATCATAAGTGTAGGTAGCCTATGTATGTAACAAATGTATTGCAAATAAGTTACTTTAATAAGATAAGATACAATAAGTAAACTTATAATAAAGCAAGAAAAGAAGAAACATTAATTGGGAGAAAAATATATATAGCATCATTCATAGTCCGGTTTGAAAATTTTGAAATAAACTAAATTTTAATTGAGAGCAACATTAAAATAAATTCTCAAAATTCCCACAGAAAGAGGTGTTCCGTGAAAACCTAGAATGAAATAATTAATAAATACATATTGAATTCTCATTTTTTTTAATTTTATTGATTGTATGACGTATTATCACCTACCCTACAAAATAAACAAGGTTCCCTGAATTTCAGGATTTACTCCTTTGGGGCAGATTATTTATGCCGGTTTAAAGTCAGTTAAAGCAGTATTTTTAAATCGATATGCTGCGAAAATTTCTTTAATAAAAAAAATCCGTAAATGTTATTACTCGCTTTTTATTTCATTTTAAGTGGATGGTAGACAATAATCCTATGCATGATAAAAGTTATATGTTTAAATTGTTGTTTACTTATGAGCTGTTTTTTGTATATTGAGCTAATTTTGCGTTTATTTTCGATGTATAATTGCTTGTTGATAATATTATATAATAACTCTTCAAATAACATGTATTCAATAATTCCGATACGAGTTGTTATAACCTTTGTTTCGTGAGCGAAATTAAAATCACATTAGAAATGAAATTGAACGTGTAAACTATACGTTAACTGGTAAAACTACACATTTTGTTATAATTAGCTTGATAACCTACATATTTTTTTTTACTTCTACAGCCGTGGAAAAAAGAACGGTGACTTCCCATTGCCTATAGTTTTCACTATTCGTTAACATTCCTGGCATGCTGATAAGGGTGCCATTATCTGCACGGTGCTCTGTTCAGAAGCCCAACCTAAAAACAGCCACTGCTTTAATATGATATTTAAAGTAATACGCTCATAAGGTGGAAAGCATTTTATTAATGGCTGGTAAATATTCGTTACATTTTCTCGTTCGGGGTTAAAAATCAATAACCTATTTATCCCTTCAACATGCAAAAGACGCATAACAGCTTCTCGACTGCAGCTACATCTATTGGTCAAAGAAGAAATTAGAATTTGAAATGTTATCAATTTGTATTATTTTCAATTAAAAAATTAGTTGTTTTATAGTAATTACAATTTGTGATACTTATGAATAAATAAATGAGACAATAAAAACATTATAGTTTGTCCTTTAAAATATATTCTATAAGTTTAGAAACAACTTTATTATCCCAAATATATCGGCAATAAAAATGATTACGTCTCTGCTGTCACATGTTTAAAATATGATTTAATAATTTTTAAAGATTATATGTATAAAATTTCACTAATTAATCTACTTAGTAATATTAATAATAAACGTAATTTATATATACATACATTCATAAGAACTATGGATCGTAATCTTTCCGCCCTTAATTATACAATTATCTCGGAAGACATATCTAGCAACATATTATTCTCATGTGAATAATTTATTAAAATTCAATTTTTATTTAAAAATGTGTTGGAAATTGTGTTTATGGGTAATATTTTGCAAAGTTTATCCTTTGCATACTTTTATTAAACTCATTTTACATTTTGTTTTTCATTTCTAGCAAAATCTATTACAGTCATACCTCGATTAGCAAAGATAAATAAACAGTCATACAACTTACATAAAGAGTGAAATCACAGAACAATTGCTTAAACTGATTTATTGCATCAGTGTTCAATGTAATAAATCCACATAACAATTATTTGTAAAACATCAACCGTTTCACTAAAAACATAAAAGGTTTACAATATCATTTAAGCATTTTTAAACTTTGGTTATATACTTTTTTTTGGTAAAAACTTGCATATTTTTTTGCGTTTCTAACAAGGTTTTCTAAATCTTCCACTGAAAAGCCATCGTCGTCTACATTCAATAAATATCTAACATTTCCTCTTAATCGACATTTTTGATCGGGTGATTGTCGCTTTGTTATCAGAGGTAATTTTAAGGTAATAGGTATCATTGTGTATTCTTATTTAAATATTGTTTTGAATGATATAATATTTATGCAGTTAATACCGTTTTGTATGTCTACTATGTTTATTATTATTATTTATGCATTTTGTTTTATGAAAAAAGTGTTTGCAATTAGTTATAATATAAAATAATGTTATTATTCCAGTTGGCGATGAGTCAAATAACATAATAATATGGTTAATGCATGTCTATGTATTAACCACATCCTTCTAATTTAATACAATATAATTGTTTGTTTAAATGTTGATTTTAATAACAAATTTGCAGTTGTTCTTGTTTAACATTTAGCAATATTTTTCTTATCTTTGAGATTGTTTTGCAAAGCTCTAACACTACAATCTAAATTATACTTGGCTATCTGTAACTTACTTCCTACATTATGTTGTCAAGCAGTTTTCGATATACTGTTTTCATTCAAGTTCGTATAATAACTATTTATATTTATTACACATATAACAAACATAGCAACTTATTACAATTATTTGTTCACCTGAATGTAGTCTATAGTAATGATGAATAGTATCATTTTGCTACATAAAAAGTGTTGTATCATAGCGAACGTGAAGTTCATCGATTCGGATTCTTTCATTCTGATACGCCATTATTTTTAGCCATTCCTAAATTAAGTTTGTGTTGTCCTGGTGCATAAACGAGAGTACATTTTCATAGGTCGTTTCATCGATGAATGCAACGGCCATTGTTTTCTCAACTAATGAAATCCTTAATATTATAACTTTTCTAATTTAATTTTCGCCGCAATGTAAAAATTAATTAAACTGTCAGATATACTGTTGAAAGATATTCAATTAAATCTTTTTAAAATATTGTTAATAAAAATTGAATGTAACGTAGTTGGAATAAATAGCATTAGAACGTATAGCATTTAAGTGCATTTCTTTACAAACACACAAATTGGTGTGTCATTCGATTAGTATAGTTTATACGTCAAAAGTTAGTATCCACTTCAAATGCATAAATATTTATTTAGCTTAATACAAACTTGCAAATCTTTAACACTAATTACTATGACCTCATTCGTGCATGCAAATATTAGTATTTTTAAAGTGTATACTGTTCATCAAAAAAAGATTTATTTTTAGTTGCTGTTTGTCTTCAAATTAAATTGTTATTTATTGTTTGTAAGTATAAATATAGTAGAAATTAAAATCGGAAGAAATATATTTTTTTTATTTTATTAGGTCATTATAAATTAGGTCACTTGTTATGCAAAACGTTGCTCGTTATGCGAATCATTTTTCTTATAATTGTATTCTAAATACAGTGGGATCTCGCTTAACGAGCACCTCCATAACTAGCATTTCGCTTAACAATCAAAATGAATTGTAAGAAAAATGACTCGCTTAACAAGCGACTTTTCGCATAACGAGTGACGATGAGAAGAGAAGTCCCGGATTGCGCACCTACACCTCATTTTTAAATCTTGTGTATTATGTGTATTTTTGAATCTGTTTTACTACTGTACGAGTAAAAATCCGGACATTTTGCGAGATTCTGCTGTATGTATATTAAATGGATGTAATTAAATTGTTACCTTAAATGCAAACTTCTTTAGTTCTAAAAATAATAATAATACAGTAACCACAATTGTTTATTATTATTATTTAAATTATAATATAGTATTGAAATTATTATCCTTCAATATTTCAAATGGACATACAAATAATGTGTTTGTTTATTGTATATTTTATTGAAATGACGTCATTTTTAATATACATCGAAATTTATGGTTTGTATCTTATTAGTAAATACTTGCGATTTAACGCTGACATCTAGAACTTAATACGTGACGATTCGGTTTATTTTTATGTATGATTTTTCTTCAGATGATTTCTAAAAAAAAATATTTTAATTCCTTTTCTTTTGAAGCTCTACTCCCTTCACTTATTCGTAAGTCTTATTTTTTAATTAAGTCTTCGATGACAGATTTGATTATCTTAGTGTAAATACAGTTGAAATTTCAGAGTAGTAATATACGTTTATATATAATATCAACTGATCATTTTTTACTGAAAACTGATTATTTAATAAGACTGTTTTTATAATACGTAAACATCAGCAGCGGAACTTTTTTTTTTGTAAAAAGCCAAGTAATATCCGTGATACGGATTACTCGATTTTAATGTGAGTTGTTACTAGAGGGTAAAATTTTCAATAATTCAAAAAATAACAAAAGCTAAGAGCTCAAATTTCAGACCCTGTTCGTGTACATTTGTATGGAGATTACTTGATTTTTTTTTTTCAATGACCAAAGTATTGTCAAAAAAAAACGTATATTAATCACCTCAAGTTAATAAAAAATACATTTTAAATTTGCATTTGTACAACATAAATACATATATCACATTTCAGTTTGTTTTTGGCCTTAAATGTTATTTAGTTTATCTTAACGAAAAATATAATATTAGCAATACGAGAAAATTGCGAAAATGAAGTGTTTTTGGTTTTTGGTCCCTTTTGTTTCTATTGTCACAAGACGCCACTGATATATTGAATCCAATACTTTTTTGTACTAATAATTTTTTAATTCATTACATTTTTGGCACTGAATCTGTATCTTTCAAAAAATTAGTGAAATATATGTAAATTAATAGAGTTAAGACTGCTGTCAAAATTCCTTTATATATTAAATAATATTTAAATATTTGTTTATTAATTTTTCAGTTAGCGGCCGAAAAGGCGGTGTCCTTTGATAACGGTTTGGATGGATCAGTGGCGGAGGACTGTTATTTCGCGATGCGAGCTCACAAGGAGGGCTACAGTTTCAATTTCATCGAGGGCGAGATGTGGGAGAAGTCGCCGTTCACGCTGTTCGATTTCATACAGCAGCGAAAACGCTGGCTGCAGGGAATTCTTCTGGTCGTCCATTCGAAATCCCTGCCCGCAAGAAAAAAGATTCTACTGGCCATTTCGTGCTACTCGTGGGTGACCCTGCCGTTGTGCACGTCGAATCTCATCCTGGCCGCCCTCTGTCCAATACCTTGTCCACCTTTGATCGACTTCATTTGCGCGTTCATCTGCTCGGTCAACATCTACATGTACATTTTCGGTGTGGTCAAATCGTTCACCGTCTACAGGTTCGGGCTGTTCAGGTTCATGCTGTGCATCTGCGGCGCTCTTCTCACCATGCCCTTCAACATCATCATCGAGAATATCGCCGTAATTTGGGGAGTCGTCGGCAAGAAGCACAAATTTTACATAGTCAATAAGAACATTGCTCGGCAAACCATCCAAGTGTAAAAATCCAATTTAATCAAATGATGCACTATCTGAATTTCCAAAGAATTAAATAACAACAACAACAACAAAAAAACGTGTTGATTGTTTCCCCCTCCCCCCTTTCGTTAGAGATCCTTGCACTGAGATTTGCGCTAATTCACACGGAATCTTCGACATTTCATTTAAATGTTCGTTTCGATTATTATTATTTTTTCTTACACTACTATCATTATGTAACTTATTTTATTTAAACTTACTTTCGTAAATTTCCTTAATCGTTTTCACCTGGAGATACGACGACTATCTTGAGAATGACGCAAGGCACTTACAACAGTTACTACTTCGAGGGCACATATAGTTTTTAAGCAAAAAACAATTGATGAATAAATTTTGTATCCGTTTTTTTGCTAAGCGTATTATACACAACAAGAAAAACTAAAACAAAACCTTCCAGTTTATATTCAACATTATGGCCCCCCTCCACCCACAAATAAAAGAACATTACACTTTTTTTTTCACAGACGAAAAATATCTGAATCAATAATACATGAACAATGGTTATTGCTCCATTAGTTTTATTTGTTTTTCTTTATATATAATTTTTTGTTTGTTTGTGAATAAACTATAAAACCCGCTTACATTTCTATTAATATTCATTATTATCATTATGTTAGATGTGTATATGCTTCATATTGAGGCTGGAGGCTTCGTGTTCAATTTAGCTATTAAATAAAAAAATATAAATATATTATATGAAAAAAAAAAGACATATTGGTTTAGATTAAACTACTATATGAATTTGTTTGAAACAATACTATGTAATAGACCTTTATTAATTTATTATTATGCGATTGCAAAGAGAATGTACAAATTACTATATCAAAAAGAAAGGTATTACGTTACATTTTATCGGAAGATTTAATGAAGATGAACAAATCTATATACTATATAAGAAAATATTGAAATAAAGAAGACGGCAATTGTGATAACTTTGTTTTTGTTTTACCCTTTTACCCAAAAACAAATGAAGCATGTACATTCGAGCTACAAAGCAGGAGGCAACGATTTATTTTTCGATTTTATGATAAATTATTAAGTCTGGAGTACTAAAGGTTAAGTATGCTAATAAAAGGAAATTATTTAGTTAACATATACTCTGTTTTAGGTGCAGCGAAGGAATTGAATATTACCCAATGATGTCAAATATCTATTTTTGTAATGTATTTTACAGTTAAAAAACATTAATTAAAATTAGAAAAATATAAAATTTTTGTTTTTGTTTTGGGAAATTGTATAACTCGTGGAGCCCACTATAATCGTTGGAATATTTCCATCGCAGATATTATATTCGGTGATAAAGGAACAGGTAGAAAATGCTGCTAATATTTCCGGTAACCTTAGCCAAAGAAATACTATAAAGTGATACCGTAGATATATTTTATTCATGCGATCTTCCATCATTAGAAGGATATTATAGTATGTTTACAATTCGTAACTTTCTTAGAACTTCCGACGCTCCTTACAACACACCTTCAACATCACTGTCATCAGCAGTATGACTAGCCTGGGACATCATATCCTCGACATCTGAATAACATCCTACATCCACAATACTTGTGTCTGCATCTCTTCTGGACATCCCAACAATAAAGATCTTTAAGGCGCTGATCGTTCCTGCAACGTTCATCAGGAACCATCCACGATGCGCATCTCCAATGAACCTCAACACCTACGAAACTCTTTAAACTTAATAAGAATAATATTTTACATACTTTGGAAATCCTGTTATAAATAATATCTTTTAATCAGTTACGTCACGTTGATTTGCCAAATATTATTAAATTCCAAAGATTAGATTTGGTGTTATTCGAAATTGTCCGAAAACATTGATAGTTCTTTGAAAGAAGTTAGTAAGAAATGCTTAAATAGAGTTTGTCTCAAAGTATGGTCAGAAATGAATATATTCAAATGGCTTAATTAATATGAAACTCTAATTTAGAAACTCTAGTTAGCAACGAAAACAAAGAAAATGACGAAATTAAATGATATTGAAAACATTATTTTTAAGTGAAAACAATCAACTAACTTTAGACTCATATTTTAAAATCTGATATCACTTTATTTGTAAGTTGATTATTGATTTAATAAAAATATGTTAAAAAAAGCTTTTTATTGCCTTTACGAAGGAATGCATCTACATTCTGGCCATAGTAATTTTATCTGCGAAAAGGAAGTTTCGATTAGCGAACTAATTTCGTGGAACGCATCCCATTCGTTAAACCAGGTATAGATGAAACTATATTAGTATCGCAACACTTGATCAGGTCCAAAAATACCTGAGTTTTCAAGAATGTAATCTTTAGAAATAAGACTTTGTCGGAAACACACTTTCGGTAATCAACAAGTACTCGATCAATTTACCGATTACTACCGAGGTACCAGTGTATTAAAAAACATAACAGTTATTACTTTTTGTAGTTTTAGTTAGTGTTCATAAAAGTTCCCAATAATACTATAAGTTCTTAAGATTCTTAATTATATAGATTATTAAGACAATTAAATATAAATCATAAATAAATATAATTAGTTGTTAAGTAATATACTTGAGGAAAATGTTCGTCTAATAAAAGATCTTAGTTACAACTGCCCACATAATCTATATTGGATGGAATTCAATTAATTACTAAACTAATTTAAAACCCCCTTTGGGTTTAACAGCAACCACAAATTTTTGTTGGTTTTTTGGGAATCGAACTAACAACCATAGCCACATGGCTACGGCTGCCATAACTTAAAATCGATTTGAACCTATTGTATTAAAATGCATATCGCACATCTAAACAAATAATTGTAGTTTAAATGCCTGGAATTGAACATGTTAAATAGAAGTGTGAACAAGCTAATCATTATTTACTCCAAGAAATATATCGATAAGAATTATTTAATTTGATATTAGTACATTATAATATGCTGAATGTTTAAATTGGATACATTTAACTTAAATGGACTATGGAACTAAGTGCATTAAAATTTGATATAAAAGATATTGAAGCACGAAAATACTCCTTACTTATTTATTAATTATAAGAACTAAACATTTTATAATAATCTATGCACCGGATGGCAATATATCCATATTTTAAAAGTTAAATTACTAATTAATTGTAACAAATACAAAATTCAAAATTAAATACAGTCTTATCCTTACATATTTTTCTACTTAAAATATAAACTACCTAGGTGGTTCCCTTTATTGTTCATCTCTGTGATTTTTATGAAAATAGACTTATCGTGATCGAGATTTAGTACTAACAATCCTAGATATCATCTTTATTTCATTCACGTGAATACTTAGAATTAGTACCTGTTTTAATGAAGTTTACAATGAAAATGACAATATTTTTAATTATGTAAACGAGATAAAAATACTTGCAACATTTTATTCCATTTGCAAGATTTCCAGCAACTTGTTATTACTATTGGAAAAAAAATCCACCAATAAAATTGTTAATCGATGCAGGATCCATGTCACGCTTTATAAAAACATTATTAATTCAATATTCTTGTCCCCATTTCATATTTTATAACCCAGTAAAAGTACAGAGCTGTACAGCGGAATCCGAAATAATAGAAACATTGCGCGTATTCGAGCATTTAAAGAATTCAAATTTAAAAATAAACTAATTACTTATAATATTTCATTTCACGGATTCAAATATAGGAAGATAGATATATTAAAACAATAACATAAAATTGAGTGTTTAGAATTTTTCCGCATTAATCGATAGATGTTAATATTGTTATTTTTTTTTGTATATTTTATTTACAATCAAACTCTAAAAAGTAGGTTTCTAAAAGTAGTCATTAAATTCAAAGAAGCGACGTTAAAATACAAGAAACCGAGTGGAACAGTGTTTTCCAAACTTTCGACATCTGTGTACCCCTCGTCAAAAAAATCCATATACTTTAATTACCATCAAAATATATTTATTTTTTCCATTTTTAGTACATAAACTAAATAATAATAAACAAAAAATTTATTCATAATAAAATATAAATAAAAAGTAAATTATAAATAATATTCATTATAATCAATGAGAATTTCATTTGTTTATGTTGAAACGACAGATCATCATAATTTGGTTCCCTAGTTGGTAATTTTAATTTGAGATGAGGTTTCACATCCAAGAGCTTGTTTCTTGTTTTTTACTTAATGTCTACAAATACTGAAAAAGCAACTTCAGATATGAATTTGTAAAAAGCAAAATGTATTTCAGGACTTTCACTGTTATAACTGGATACACATGTTGCAGTTCCAACCAGAATGACATTAAAATATACTCCTTTAGTTTATTTTTTAAGAATTCGTCTGAAGCTAATTCCAACAATTGCTCTTCTTCCACATTCAATAAACCTTCTGGAATGTATGTAATATTAATGTTGAATGGTTATCTTATCCATTCAGAATTTTTGTATAAATCAGGAAAACAGTTTTGCTCACATGCTGTGTTATAGATTTCAAAGTATAGGAAAACGAGTCCACTTCTCCACTAGCAACTCTCTTTTGCCACAAATTTAATTTTGCTATGATAGCGTTGTCTTTATCTTGAACGTGAAACAATAAAATTTATTTGCCTTGCAACGATAAGTTGAGACAATTTCAAACAGAGAATATATCTGCTAAGTGTGCCAATTTACAGAACTATTTTCAGTCACGTAAACAATTTCTCAGATCAAATTAAGAAAAACTGGAAGTTCATGTTTAAGTTCAAATAATCGATTTAGAATTTTTCGTCGTGATAGCCAACGAACAAGAAGTTGAGTATGACTACTTCCCATTTCTTCACATATTAGTGCATTCGAAGGATGGCCTTTAATGTAGTTTCACGCTTTTATCCAGAACTTTTTGTAGATCAGCGGCCATCTTACGTCTTACCAAAGCCTCTTTGTGTATGCAACAATGTGTGGATATGACATTCCAGTGGACTCATCGACTTATAATTTTCTAGATTTCGGGCGTGTAAAAAAAATCCGTACCACGTACCCTCATCAAACTCTTCCCGTACTCCCGTGGAACGCGTACCACACTTTCTGAATCACTGGAGTAAAGCAATACCTCGCATAGTGCGGCTTCGATCAATATGCACTATAGTAAGGTTTGAAACTAAATTCTAATTGAGTAAATTAATGAAAATAGTACACAAAAAATATATTTTTCTAGATAAATGACCATTTTTTTCCCTCTATACATTCAAGTATTTTTATGTGCTGTTTGTTTTTATACGTTTTTAAAGTTCTCAATTAATGCGGTTTCAAATAGTGACGAAACCAATTGTGTAAAAGATTACACAATGCCGTATCAATTCATCTGCATTTAAATGAAACATAGTGAGTCATAAATTTTCATTAATTGTGCGGAAATCAATTGATGAGTAGACATTTTAAATATTCTTATATTTATAATAATTTGTAGGATTATTTGATTTATAATTAAGAATTGTTTTGATATGTGCAAGTATGTAGTATGTTCGGAATTCATGAGTTGAACAATAAACAGCGGCCAGATAATTCGCAGTATGGCATGCATGATATTTGGCCATGAATTTAGGACACGTTACATTGCAGTTATGACTCCATTCAGTGTGGGTGTTCAAATACCTAACTAATAATGGGTATGTCATTTAATTTTTTTTTATGTCATGTAATTTTCTTCACAATCTGTTCATCAATGTGAACCTTGAGTAAATTTAAGATCGCGGTTGACATTAGGTAGGTAATCTTTCCCGGTGGATAGTTACCATTATGATGATTTTTTTAAATTTTGATTTATAGGTTGGCTGTCGTCTTGTAGGCTAACTTCAGTAGTATATTGATGCTCTGCGATTCCACTATTTCCTTTCACTGTGAATCTGCTGCTATTCTTAACACTGTCATTGTCCATCGACTTGGTTGAGGGTCCATATGCTGAACCTCACTCATTTCACTGTCCATCTGTGATGAACAATGACCCTATTGATGCAAGCACCGAGAGGCCTCACAAAGGACCTGACTTGACCAGGATTTGAACCTGCGCCCACTGGCTCGTGGGTAGGGCGACTTAACCATTCGGTTATTAGTTGCCCCCTTTAATAAATAAAACAATATTGATTATGCACGAAGAAACTCATCAAAAAGACCAATAAAGGTTTTGTTATTGTGAATATTTAATAAAAAATAATTCTAAAAAAAAATTAGTACAACATATTATTTTTATACAAAAATATTTTTTCCCTTGTACAGTCAAGTCTCTTTTTATGCTCTACATCGCATAATGGAGACTGAAAAATTAAGTCTCTATTATGCGATGTATTTATGTATATATACATATACAGTGGAAAATCGCTTAACGAGTTCGAAAATGTCCGGATTTTTACCCGTATAATGAAATACTCGTATAGTGAAACATATTCAAAAATACACATAATATGTGTATACAAGTTTTAAAAATGATGTAACAGGCGCGCAATCCGGTACTTATCTTCTCATCGTCACTCGTTAAGCGAGTCATTTTTCTTATAATTCATTTTGCTTGTTAAGCGAAATACTCGTTAAGCGAGGTTCTACTGTATATTAATAATTTAGTTTCTAATTTCGAGAGTTTGATCATAACTTAAAACTGGACAATTGCAAATCCAAATCCAAACAAAAAGTCGTCGTCTGCTTAAATTTAAATAAAATGCATTTGTTATGAATGTATGTATCCTAAAATCCGATAAGAAGGTGTCTAAGTACTAAACACCGAAAGGGTGGCAGTAATAAAATACGTTAGACACTTTTCTCTCCAAATCAAATGGTCATAATGTTAATGGATCATATCAACTATTGGATTTCATATGAGGGCAATTCACCTACCAGTGAATAGTAATATCCCTTCTATATTTATTATTGATTTATTGTTATAAAATATTCCTTATGTATGTATGATTATATTTAAAATATTCAATTATTGAAATTAGATACAGTGAACAATTGTATTGCGAGTAACTTTGTGGTTTATTTTTGTTATTGTGTTTATATAATGTTTGTTGCAATAAATAATCCTACAAGTAATCACGGACCTATTAGTTCATATGACTCCACTCATATTGGGTTTGAGATTCGAACTCATTCGATCTTTGTGAGCATGTAATTTAAATGTGTAAGATTATAGTTATGAATGAATTCATAATTCGCAAGGTAGTTGAAGAATGCTCTCGATTGCTTATTAGTTAAAAATATGACGATCCTCGTTGAGTCGATACTTTTGTAGAAAAATACCCGTTGGTCCTCAACCCTGAATACGGGGGTGGCGGCTATTTCGGCGATAGTTTCGGTATAAATAGATGCCCGGAGTGGTTGGTAAAGTGGGAATTTATTGTTATCAGACTGGAGCAGTGCGCGGTTTGTTTTTACATAAAGTAATGATCCAATTTCTATTTTCGACCGCTATAAATAAAAGGCTTCGTCTTCGGCGGCGACGGTGGTTGCATCAAAATTCAACGCACCCCTACCACACGACACCCACCCGAAAACGTCGGTTGCCCAGACAACCCATTCACGTCCCCGTCTGACGTCATGCGTCCATTCGCTGAAAATCACTGCAATTTCTCGGAAAAACAACTTGATGACGCTTGCGTTCTATCTGCCCTCTTATTGGCCTCGTTGTACATGACGACAAACACCCACATTTTCGTATAATCGATACCCATCTTCAATGATAAATTATTCCGTACATCGAAATAAACGTACGCGCCGCATCAACGGATAATACACACATCTACGTACGCATTCGGAGAAGGAAATCGTAAATTTGAAGAGCACAACACTATTAGAAATTCATTATGAAAAAAAAATCCCTAAAGGATAGTCGAAATTGAATGTAAGGGTTTCAGCAAATCATATTAAAATCATTAAAGATGTTTCTTTTGTTTGGGTCAAATGCAAGAGAGGAATGAGAGTAGTCATAATAATAATAAAAAAAGATAATTGTGAAAAGGAAAAAAAAGAAAAGGTAATTAGGTGGTTGGATAGTGCGCGTCGCGACGCCGCTGTTTAGGGGCGCATGCTTATGACGTCAAACGTTTTCCACCATCAGTCTGACGAGGTACAAGACTCAGAACGGTTTCCCGATACCGAAATTCGCGTAAAAACCGAAGAAGAAACTACATTCGCATTCAGTCACACACACACACTACACACACATATACACACACGTATATATATATGTACACACATTCATCAGTACAGACGGTTCCCGGATAATTTTCGAATATCTTCGAACATCATTAATAATGCCTGTGATAAAAGTAGACTTCGCCGAAAATCGGAATAACAAACAAACGAATCGCTAGGTAAGAAAGTATGAACAATTTCCAATATTGCTTAGATATTGAGCAGTGTGTGCCTGCAGCTACAATTATAACCACTTAGAAATAATTATGCTTAGTGTGATGCATTAAATAGATAGGTAGGATTCTATTTTTTATTAATAATTGTTGGTCGGGGATGGTCGAATGTGGGTAAGTTGGTTTCCATGATATTCGAATGTGGGTGTCGGAAATGCCACCCTCCCGCTGGATGCGTGCTTGAATCGAGCCTCGATTTTGTGAATGAACGTATGGCCTGAAAACGACGACCGGATCTGTGCAAAATGTGGGTGAAAGAAGAGACAATATAAGAGATGGAGAAATTGTACAGATCAATACGTATGCTGCTGGAGAAACGGGTACAGCATTCGAGGGCAATCACTAACTGCTAACAAAAATCTATTAAATTTTAAAATATCACAACCACCATATCTATTTCATATCATCCGCGCATACTGATTATACTAATACACAACGAATAATTAAAATGCAATTACTGCATAGCCTTAGAGATGGATGACATACGCATACAGCGTTTTCATCTAATACGTTTTCTATTTCGGTTTGTTTAATATTATTTAATGTAGTACACTAGACTTCTGTGCGTATTATTATGTGAATGTCGTTCGCCCTGCCGCTCGATGTAAATTTTATCTGAAATTAATTGATTACAGCACAATTGATTTATTCAACTATCGCAGCTTCTAAATTGTGCCATTCCAGGGCAATGATCCCACACAAAATGCTATAGGTCAGGTACAAGTACAACCCCAAATTCAATTGCATTAAATATATTGAATTCCGAAATTATATCATATTTACTTATTAAAAAATAATTATTTCTATTTTTTTTCCTTTATTATGAAAGTCACTACTAAGATGACTAATAAACAAGAAAAAAATGCCTTTCTTGCGTGTTTTACATACTCACCAGCCACCATATTAGAAATCTTAATAATAATAATGTTTAATGCATCAGTAGTACAAAAAACATACACAGAAATAAAAAATAAAATAAATATATATAATTTCAAAAATAGAGAACTGATACAAAGGTACAAATCTTATTATATATTTATTGTGTATTTTTCATAAATTATTCTTCTAATTTTTATAAATTATAAAAAAAATAGTTTAAATTTAGACCCGGGGTCGGTACTCTTTTTTGAGTATTTTACAAATAAAATCTGTTAAAAAAAAAGGGAGCCGCATGAAGTACTGACCGATAGAAGAATCAATAGAATTTTTAATAACGAAAAGTACATAAAATTATATTAATTATAGTTTTCTTTGTCGTTTTTTTTTTCTCTGTACAAAAAAGTCTCTTTTTGTGCTATTTATTTTTATGCGGTTTTAAATCATTCGATTAGTATATTGCTGTATACACTTATAATAAATTATACGAAATTTATCATTTCAGACAAATGTTTAAGATTGTGAAATTTTATAATCGTTTTGAGCGTATCTCCTCTTTTATGGCTTTAGTTATATTTCTCAAAATTGAATATGCTAGTTAAAACTTACTTTTCGAATTCCTGGTATATACCAAGTTTATTTTCATTCAGAATTTGATAGTTTGTTGATGGTATTTTTAGATCGTTGAGAGTGTATAGATTTCATTCTGAATATCATCAGTCGAACGTGCCATTGCTATACTTTCACTAATTATTTTAATGAACTTTAATTAACAATTATTAGATTAATATTAAAATTATATAAATTTAATGTATATTAGTTATATTCGGATAAATGAACTTCCTAATAAAGTATAATATCTACAATTATTATAAAATATCCCGATCTAGTGAAATGATATTGCTCCAGATAATTTTAGTATATTGTAAACATAAACTAAATTATGTAATCAAGTCCATTTCTGAATTTCAATTTATTAAAAATTCTCTGAAATTATGAATTACTTTAATTTATTATTAAATATCAGAATTATATTCAGTCTTATTAATATGATATTATTTCTTTAATTTCTAATCAATTTGGATAAAAAGTGTTACAATAGAAGTAGAAAGATTTCCTAAGAAACTTACGACTTTGCGTTTTATGATAAAGCACGGCGCACAAATAAATTCTCCGGTCGAATCAGGCAATAAGCAGCATCTGTTCCTTGCAGCATCTTTTTTTCTCTCACGGCTCCCTACATATACATGATATGAGTATATTTTCTTATTATAGGAAAAGAACAATGTCAAATGAAAAGCTGGCTAGGAGCGTAGCTTTGGAACAGGCCTACGTACACGACGTTTACGAACAATTCTACGATAACCCCAGAAGCAGACCATGGCCGAGAGTGCAAGAGTTCATAGATGGCCTAGAACCCGGTTCCATCGTATGCGATGTCGGTAAGAAAGAACAAGTACTATGAACTTGTGCTATTTGATGGTAACGACTAGATGGTAATTGATTGAATGCATTGCAGGGTGCGGAAACGGAAAATACTTAAGTTCTAATACGTCTCTATACAGTATGGGCGGTGATAAATGTAAAAAATTAACAGAAGTAGCTAGAGAAAAAGACAATGAAGTAAGTTGCCCATAACTTCAATGTAAATGAAAACTAAATAGAAGTGTTGCAGGTGATGGTTTTAGATAATTTAGCTTTGCCGTTTCGCGATGAGAGTATGGACGCAGTACTTTCTATAGCAGTAGTTCATCATTTTTCAACGACCGAGAGAAGGGTGTGCGCTTTGAGGGAGTTGGCGCGCGTCTTAAGAATTGGCGGTAGATTAATCATTTCTGTTTGGGCCATGGAACAGAATCACCGGAAGTTCGAATCGCAAGACGTGTTAGTTCCTTGGCATCGACACCATAAGCTCAGCTCTCCGTCGCTTGAATTGACATCAACCACCAACACCTCAGAGGACGACTGCCACTTACCCTACCATGCTTACTCACAAATTTCCGATAGCGATTCAAACAAATCTAACAGGTAAACACATTATTTACTCTAAATTATGAATATTACTGACACAATGTATTTATTAATTTTCCGAAGAACAAAAAAACGCGGAAAGACGAGAAGCAGAGGACGTTCCATAGATCCAAGAGTCAGCAATTCTCCAAGTAGTTCCAGCCTATCAAGCCCTAACGAGACTTGTTACAGTTTTGTGCGACGAGCAATCCAAAAACTTGCCGGCGGCAGAAGAGCCGTTCACAAACCTTGGTTTTTGGATACCTGGACTAACTGTACAAAAGACCCACCATTGCCAAAACAATATGATGCTGACGGATGCGAATGTTGCGATTGTGAAAGTGCCCACGATTTGCCGATAGAGTTACGACGCGTGGACGATAATGAATTACCGCAAAGACGAAAAACACTTCCTTCGTCAACGTTAACGAACGACTTATACAATTTGAAATCGAAAAGCATGACAAACATGTCTGCCGTGGAGAACAATAATATTATTAGATCAAACTCGAGCATTCCCAGCATTCAAGAATCACTGGAATCGAACCAAAGCAGCAGAACACAATCAACTAAAAACTTAAGCAAACCTAAACTCGTGAAACAGAAAAAATCGATTTGCGAGGATGATGCTGATCCCATCCTAGCTGAACAGAAAGACTTACCGCCCGTACTTCCCGACGTTAGGATAGAAACAAACAGATATGCCCGAGGAAGTGTATTGAAGCAACGCTCACTGAATGAAGAACTTATGTCCACGGAGCGGTTGCAGGAAAAAGAAAAGCTGCGTCGCAATATACATAAGCAAGCATCGCTTAATGAAGATTTAATATTTCAAAGGAATTATTCATTTGAAAACTTGCGGGACAGCTTGTTTTCAACATCCACCGCCAAGAGGTTACAATTAATTAAAACGGGATTCACGAACAAAATAAGGAATACTAACATCGACAGGGTTACAGGTGCATCATTGAAAAACGGATTCGTAAGAATGTTTCAAAATTGGAAGAGCTCGGATATGATTTCACCTACAATACCGGAAGACGAAAGCATAGTGACAACGACGAAACCCCCCGAAACTGAGAGACGACATTCCAAGGAAGACGGCTCGGACTCTTCAAAAGACAGCAGCTTGCAAAGCGACACCAGCGTTGACTCGGAAGACAGTTTCGCTTCAGTTATTTTCGTTCCTAAATCAAATCCCATGTCTCCTACATTATCTCCAGGCCCCACATCACCTAGAGTCAACTCATCCGTCCCGAATTCGCCGAGAATTAAGCAATCATCCTGCCCAACGAGTCCCAGAATCAAGCAAATGCCCCTCAGTATATACCCACTGACAAAGCAGTTGAGCTCTCCGAAACCGAGCAACGTGTCTAAGTTCGAAACACTATCGCCAACCGAATACAAGTTGGGAAATCAGAAGAAACATACAGTACAAAAAATACAATCGTTAGCCCAAAAGTATGCTGTGGTACCTATCCCAAAATTCAAACCAACAATCCAACCTGCGCAAACCGTAATCCCAGAAGTAACAACTACCGTAACAACAAATAACAACAACAACATTATCATTGCGAGTAACAGAAAAAGTGATGACGAGAAGAAACTGAATAAAATCAAGGAATTGCTGAAGTCAAAGCCCGGCTTCGGAATGCGCGTTAGCAGCAAACATAATTATCCAATTGTACGTCACTCCTCAATTAATAACGGTATCGCAAAACCATTGCCCAAATTACTTTCTTTGGAGCTTTTCAACCCGGAAACGGATGATAAGGATAGCGATTCAAGCGCAGTTTCGTCCCCTGATTCAGCTGATAGCGTAATTAGCGTGAACTCTGAGACAAAACGAAAGTTTACGTTCCCAGATATTGGCGAGAAAGATGATAAATCCATGACCCTTCTTCAAGCTGCTGCAGATGTCGCCAAATCACTGGATAATGCCGTGGACAGGGTGATTAAATCGAGCCCGAGAGCGAAACGACAGGATATTAAAGTGTTCGAAGTACAGTCGGTCATGGAGAGGCAGTACACGACCGAAACGATGCCGTTGCTGCTGAACGAAGAAGAAGAAACCAACTGGAACGACGAGTGTCACAAACATTTAACGGATTTCGCGGACAAGCTGAGCGAGAAATTGTTGCGTGAAATCGACCAGTATCAAGAGAAGGTAAAGCGGAAGGAGGCCGGCATATCATCATCTTTGGAACATATCGATGACCCTTACATACATCGCCTAAGCGAAGAGCTGCAAGACCTGTCCAAGCTAAGCGCAGAAATCCAGAAACAAAACGAGTATTTGGCACAACTCAGCGCATGTGATAAACAGTACGGCAATTGTGCGAAGTGTAATCAAGTAAACTGTTCGTGTAGTAAACAAAAATCGCGTAAAAACAATAACAATAATATTAAAGTGCCACTTATCGATGTGAACGAAAGTACCGACGAGGCGGAGAGTAACAACTTAGCGGACAAACTGAGCAAAAACGGTGCGTCCGTGGATTCCGGTGATTCAGAGAGAGGAAGTACCCCCAATTCGACGTCCCTCCACTTCGGACATTCCATTGAATCGAACGAGGGCTTCTCTGATAAGGGCAGCACCGACAAGGACACAAATTCGGTCAGCAGGTACAGCGATGGAGGCAGCACCGCCTCATTGGCATCCTGTCCGGAGTGGAAGACAATTAAGACCAAGCTAAGTGTCGATCAGCCTCACTCTTTTGACGAGAAGTCCGAGCTGCTGGGCGACAAGGATAAGAGCAACCTGATTCCTTCGCTTAGTGACACCTCGCAAGAGTCTCTGCCATCCGACAATGTAGGCGGAGAGATTACCTATCACAGATATTATCATGTATTTAGGGAAGGTGAATTGGACCAACTCATAGAGAAATACGTAGAGAATTTACATATTATTTCATCATACTATGACCACACCAGTTGGTGTGTTGTAGCAGAAAAAGTGCAGGTATGGACCATCTGACCTGTTTTTCGTAGAAAAAACGAACCCTGTCTGAATAGCACAACTCAGATTGTACATAGTGTTATTTATATACATACTGATACAACATGCAAAAAATAATACCTATTCATACCATCCAGATAAGAGCATAGACGCAATTCTCAATAATAATAATTAATAAATTCGCAAATAGTTCGTAAAATGCAAGCAATTTGCTTTTACTTTACTAAATTTAAATATAGTAGCCTGCAGTATTAACAAACAAGAAATAATCATAATTTCTTTTCAATAAATAAAATGATGAAACGTATATTTGATATTGTTGTTTATGAAAAAAATCAAGAGAAATTTTCAAAAACTTCTAACTTCGAGTAAATTGGAAAGAAAATTAAAATAAAAACAACAGCTTGCGTGAAATATGCATAAACATTTCTTTTTCTTCATATAAAAAGACAAACTAATAAGATATTGATGACTAGATTAGCTTTAAGCCCTCTAATAAAATAATGGCAGAAAAAATAATTTTCTTATATGTTCAATTGCCTAATAATAACGAATTCAAGCTTAATTTTTTAATCAGTATAATTTTTAGAAAACCAATAATAGTACTGATCTATTTTTACTACTTCTAATTTGAACCATTTACAGATTTGCAATTTTTCGCATATAAATAAAAAAAACTTATGAATGAATACTCTTTGTTATTTTCGAAAAATTGTAAATCTTGTACGGGACAGTCCGAAATGTCAAAGGTTATTTATATATTCTAAAATGATTCTGATCTTTCATTTTTTGGATTGTGCCGTGCATTGTAGATACTTGAGCTGACAAATAATAAACATTTAAAGTAAATATATCTTGTACATAGTATAAAGTAAAAACTTGGAATAGTAACGAAAAAGAAAATAATTGAGCGGACATAAATTATATTTAATAAAAATGACACTAATTATATTAAATAAAAGAATGATTTTCTACTGAATTTATGATTTTGTTACAGTTTCGGATGCTAATTTCCCTTTATTAACATAAAATATCGCTAAAAAAAAATCACGGTGAACCATATTAAGTATACAAAATTATAGCAAGACATTAAATCGAATCATTATGAGTTTTCATCATAATATTGATTTACTTATATATATATTTTTTGTACATATGTTTAAGGTTAAACTGTAATTTATGAATTAACCAAATGTGTCGAGTTAATGTCTTGCTATTTTTGTAGCGGTGGTTCAGAAAAATGAGCGGCCTATAATGATTACTTTGCAAAGGCACTGAAATTTGTTCTTGCAAAATTAATTACTTATATATTGAAAATTTTATTTAACGAGTGAATGTGGTTCACGTAGTCATCATTTCAGAAAATTTTAATCGATTTCTAATGAATTACCAAATCGAAACGTCGATTAGATAATTGGGAGGCGTGGCATGGTTGAGACGGAGGAAAAAATAGTATATATATTATAGTATAAAGAAAAAACCGAACTTTGTGCCTGTCTTGATTGTTAAAATTCAAGATCTTTTTGATACTAATCTAGCGTTCAACGAAGTTCTGCGTGTTTCAAACTATCAATAAAAACAAAATATGTTATGTATATTTAAAGCAAGATATTTTTGGGATGGAAGAAATATATGGTCGATACGGTGTGACGAGCAAAGAAAAAAACCAAATGCATTTACATTCAAAACTTGTTGTGTTCATATGAAATGAAAATATATATACTCGAAACTCACTCGTGTGCTTGTTTTCTTTTTGTAAATCTCTTTATTATCCATTTGTGTATCTGTTTTAAACAAAGTATGCAGCGAGTTGGGCCATTTTGTCCTTTGGCTGTCTACCTCTGCCCCGTCCGCCACGTCCTCTGCCGCCTGCTTTTCCGCCCCTAAAGATTCGACCTTTCGGCCGACTGGCAATAGCTTTGTGCTTGTCCACAAGCTTATTAAACTCAGGTAAGCAGAAGATGCAACCGGACATCTCCATGGCTTGATTCGGAAACTTGGACTTCTCTGCAACATACTTCACAGTAACCAGCTGTGTTCCGCACTCGCAAACTTCATCATCGATCATAATCTTCTGGGCGTCCTCGAATAAATGTATTATAATGTCGCATCTGAAATGGAAGAAGCGCGTTACAAAAAGGAACAAAAAAAATGTAAACTGGCAAAAGTGGAAACACGAGACTATACTTATTGCAACCCAGTTTCCACTTGGGAGAGCTCGAAGGATCTAAAACAAGAACTCCGAATTCGCACTCAATGCAACTGCAAATTCCATTAGCGTTCAAACCGTGTGGACAAGTTGGATGTGTGCACGCGTTACAACCGCTTCCTTTCTTCATATCCCTGAAACAAAATATCTTTTATGTCTTTTTCACTCTGAAACTTTGAAAGCTTCAATAAAACAATTACAAAGAAAAAATCAATGGAGCGAAAATAAAAAAATATTTTTATACAAAAATAATCGTTTTCGCTTATGGTATCATTTCTTTTTATTTTATTCAGTTCCTTGATTAGTCCTGTTTCAAATAGTACGGAATATTGGAGTAACCGATAAACCGTATTATACTGTACTATTTCAATGAATCCCAGTTTGAAAATGATATACAATCAACGTTCTATCCACTCCACACATAAACCAAAATAATATTGTAAGTATTGTAAATATCTCATATACCTAAATGGCGAATTGTTATAACAGTAAGGGCAGAACGGAAAACTCTTCCCTTTGTTCCCCATACTCCAAGATAGTAATTCGAAATCATCCAACGGGCATTTCAATTCCTTGTACAAATTGACCTTGCCATTTTGTGGCAGAGAATACGTTTCGTCGCACTGCGGACAATGCAACCTCTGCGGCTTCGCCTGAATGAACTTCAGATATCTTCTACACTTTCCGCACCTGCAAAGTAAAAATTAAAACGCATTTAAAATCTGGCAAGTGGCGAGGAATACTAGTAAATTGAAATGCAAGCATTAATAATTCAGTTAATGATGCAAAAATTAAAAATAAATAGAAAAATAAATGATAGATAATAGAAGTTTGGGTTTGGGTTACACAATTAACATTTAATTTTACCTGCTGAAAAGGTAATCAGGCCTAGAAAAAGATCAACAAACAAAATTTCAAAATTCGAAATGAAAGTCATTATTGATTATTGTTATGCGCGGATTTTTTTTAGAATAATTACCGTGAAAATGCTCTGCCCGAAGCGCTCAACGGTGAAAAGGAAACTTCGAACAGCTGATCCATGCCATCTATGTTCTTGACGAAATATTGAAATTTCAATTTAAATATATCCACGGTATGCTTTAGAACTGCCTGGAAATCCGCCCTGCCTAAAGCGATGAGATTCAACTGTTCTTCAACCGCTGATCGCATAGTTGGTAGAACCAATTGGGCGTCAATCTAAATGAACAAATGAAAATATGTAATTTAATTGCTTTTATTATCAATATGGTGCTCACCTTTTGATAGCCGTGGACCAAAACAATGCCAAGCGTTGTAGGAACAAGTTTCCTACCACCAGTAACATTCACATAATTCCTTTGACAAATGTTATTTATGTGAACTGGGATTGATGCATCAGTGCCGATTCCGTGCTTCTCCATTAAAGTAATCAATTCAGACTCCGTTAAATAATCCGGTGGACAAGTTTGATGCTCAGTGAGTTTACAATCGGTAATCGCCACATTTTCATTAGTTTTGAAATTAGGAACGATTTCATTTTTACCGAAAGCCTAAAAACAACGATTTTGAGCTGATAAGCAAGGCTTAAAAATGCAATTATAAAACCTGCCAAGTCATGATTTTCGTGTATCCTGGATCTATAAGGCTTTTACCAGTAACCGAGAAGGTTTCTCCATTCACATCGAAAGTGGAAGTTGTACTCATGTATTTGCAATCCTTAGATACAGTACCAATGAAATGTCGAGCGATGTAGTCATATAATTTCCAGGAATCAGCATCCAATTCGTGCCTGCTTGCTAATTTCATTGGTGTAATTGGAGGATGGTCACCAGCGTCGTGTCCGCTTTTAGGCCGATTCATACCGTTCGCTAGAATTTCGGACACCTCCGTTCCCCATTCAGAACTGTTCTGTTGTTGCTTCAATACACTCCTACAAATTAATATAAATAAATAATTATAGATTAATAATAATTTTCAAATTAATTACATGAGATCGAAGTTTTCTGGATATTTAGTAGTTTCTGTACGCGGATAACTTATGTAGCCTTGAATATAGAGCTTTTCTGCAATTTGCATAGCATGGTGAGGACTCATCCCTAATCCCGAACTTGCAACGCGCATTAATTCAACAGTGTTCAAAGCAACTGGACGCACTTTACTCTTCTCCTTACTGATCACGCTTAATACTCTACAATGAATTATAAATAAATATTATCATTCACATTACAATCAATTAGAATATACTTTGCTGTTTTCTCAGATTTGCAAATGTTCAAAAACAAGTTCGCAACTTCCTTATCAAAACTCCTAACTCTTTGCCAATCTAAATTTATATCTTGTCCGTCGGACGTTTTTACGTTCACTTGAACAATCCAGTATGGTTCCGATTTGAACGTTTGTATTTGATCATGTCTTTGCACACAGAAACCCAAAGTTGGAGTTTGACAGGGTCCATATGATATCAAAGATGCATCCAAGTCACCATACTTTCCCTGAAAATACTTGGTTTGATAGCGAGTAAAAGCGCAGCCAATTCGCAAATCCAATTCCTGTCTAGCATCAACGCTTTTTGCCTCATTTTCATTTGGAACTCCTATTGACAAAATAATAAGATTATTTCAATTATGCTTCCAGTTAAATATAATCAAAAAAGGTACCTAAATTATTGAATGCTGCTTTAATATCTTTCTCAGTGATAGCTGAAAACTTAGCCCTATATGTCACATTATTGGAATAGACATTTATAGAATTGGCGACTGCATTCATAACTTCAAAGCAGATGTTTTCTCCTTCCTTGTCACAATCCAACCACAGAACTAAGGTATCACATCCCTTGGCTTCTTGACTCAAAAAGTATGGCATTTTTAGTTTAGGTGTAGCCTCTTTCTTCTCAGTTGGACACATGAAAAGCTCAACCGGATCCACTCTATCCCAATTGTTATACTTTGAATTAAAATCTAAAGACATAACATGTCCACACACTGATGTCATCTTAAACTTTGCTTGGCTACTCTTAAATGTACCAATCCACTCATGCACTGAACAAGATCCATTTAATCCTGAAAGACGATTAACATATTTCATCTCCTTTAGTTATTAGTTACAACAACTTTACTTACCTTTTCTAGATGTATTCTTGTTATTACTTAGAATTTGAGCTAAGGAAGAAGCCAAAGAAGGCTTCTCTGCTACCATAAGAATAGTTCTCATTTTATTTGATTAATTTTTAACCTCAAATTAATGCATACAACCCACGGATTTATTATAAGTTAAGAATGAAATATCGTTAAGAAGCATTAGAACACAATTATAAATAGATTTTTCCGTAATTGGTAAATATACTTTTGAATATATTTGGGTAAGTGTAAAACAAATCACCAGAGATGTTTTTGGTTAAACTTGGTTTAATTCAATCAATCAATAAAATATTAGTAAAATAATTATTTAATCGTTTACTTTAATTGAAACGAATTTATAACACTATTTCACTATACTAATATATTTTATACTTAGTAGTTTTTGTAAGAAATTACATATTATTAGTTGCCTATATTTGACAAACAAGTTTATAAAGAAGTATTTGGAACTACCGTAATATATGTGAATATATGAACTATTTATATTATTGTTAAGATACTACTAATTGTTCGAATTTCGTGTTTTTCTGTCATTAAATATGCATTATCAATGAAATATCGTATAGTCAAATGATTATTAATCTTGAAAATACAATAAAACATATGAACTACATTTTAAATATATGAACTATTGGTATCAATTGGTATGTCAAATATTAACACTGCTTATGCTTACAACTGCTTATCACATGCTGCTTATTTCTGAGTGGTTCTGAGTAAAGCGAGATAATTTTTTTTAATTGATTTTGATAAATCGTAATCGTATTTATTCAAATTGGATTAAGTCGTGTGCATGTTCATGTTTTCTTGTATAATGCGTTCATCAATGACAAGTGTCAATGCAGTCAATGTATTCATTTAGCACTAATAATAATGTTAATTATCATAAATCGTCATAAAAATTATATTAACATTTAGATTGGACCCGTCCTAAATAATAATCGTAATATTTATACGATCTTTCTTACCAGTCTATTTGCATTTCACTGCCATAAAACATTTCTACTCTTTTTTTTTATCAAGTTACTCCCACCATTGATAAAACTACTAATAACATCCTCTCTTTGTCTCCACAATGTGCTTAACAGCCTTCAATTAGTTTGTTTTTGATGAAGTTCTAAATATTTTGATAGATAATTTTCTTTTGCTGTGCATAAGGAATAATTTCATTACACAATCAATGTATCTCATATGCTTATGACACAAATTTTAAATATGTCCAGTTATAATAGGAACTCAGGTAAGCAAAACTAATTCTTTAAACTATTTACTTAACAATGGAAACTTTTTAGAATATGAACCAATTGGGGAGTCGACATACCAATATTTGCGAAATCCTGCTCAGGATAATGCATCTTTCATTATAGTCGGCTTTAAAAAAGACCAACAATGTGCATTGCTATACTATGTTCTTAATGTCTTTCTGGTAGGAATTCCATATGCAATGCTCACATGGTTTCCAGCATACAAGAAGATTGTATACAAAAAAAGCCCACTGATATATGCAGACATTATATTAATTAATGACAATTTTGGCAATTATAAATGGGTTGATGTTATTGTTGAGAGTACAGATTTACCAGATAAGGGTGTTGCAGATTTGAAAATTTTTAATTATCAGTTCAGCAAATACATTTGGCACCTAGAGAAAGGTTGTTTTGTAATTCTAGAAGAATTTATGCCCAAAATGACTTTAGAAGAGATTTTGGAATACTCCCATGGACTTTTAGAAAATGAACAGGCTAAACTGTAAGTTGTATATTTAAATTTAAACAGAATTTTCAGAAATCATAATTTGTTATTACTGTAGATTAAAATTGTATGGATTTAATACAATTGAAGTACAAGTTAAATCCTATTATAGACTATTCATCGAAGAAGTCTTCCATCCATTTTATATATTTCAAGCATTTTCTGTGATCCTATGGTTTTTTGATGATTATATGATATATGCTGGATGTGTTCTTGTTCTTACAATATTTTCAATTGTCACTGCCCTTCTGCAAAATCGCAAGGTATTCATTTAAAATTAACATATCATTTAATTGTATTAATATTTTTTTTTAGCAAAGTTTGGCTCTTCATAATTTGGTTCAAACATCAAACAGCAGCCAAGTGGAAATATTACGGCGCCAATTGATTTCAAATACGCCAACTTCAATTGACAGTAAGAACTTGGTACCTGGTGAACTTTTGGTAATTCCAAGATCGGGCTGCATCATGCCTTGCGACGCTGTTCTATTAACGGGGAATTGCATTGTCAATGAAAGCGTGCTTACTGGTGAGCATATCTTTTAGTAATCCATTGATTACATTAAATATTTGAATATTTTGCAGGGGAATGTGTCCCGGTATTGAAAACACCGCCAAATGCAAGCAGTGATGTTTATAACATTAATACTCATAAAGCGCATACACTATATTCAGGAACTTGTGTTGTGCAAGGCAGATTTTATGGAGAAGAGCATATACTAGCAAGAGTTGTCAAAACCGGATTTGATACTACGAAAGGCTCTTTAGTGAAAAGCATAATGTTTCCAAGTCCCGTGGATTTTAAATTTTACAAGGACAGTCTGAAATTCGTTTTCTGTCTATTCTTCATCGCTTCGTTTGGAATGGTTTACTGCCTGTATGTCTACATACAAAGAAATGTAAAGTATTTTATTAAGATAACTATACATAATGATGATCAGAAAATTTTAGGCCGATTTAAGGGAAGCAATTATAAGAGCTTTAGATATAATCACCATTGTTGTTCCTCCGGCTTTACCTGCTGCCATGACGGTCGGTATTGTTTACAGCCAACATAGGCTTAAGAAGTTAGGCATTTTTTGCATAAGTCCATCAAGAATTAATATTTCTGGTAAATTAAAATTAGCTTGTTTTGATAAGGTAAGTTATTAACGACAAATGGAATAGACTTATACTTAATTGCTTTTAAATCAACATATTTCAGACCGGTACATTAACACACGATGGCTTAGAACTATACTCGATACTTGCGTGTTACAATAAAAGGTTCGACGATGCGACCACCGATGTTCTAATGTTAGACAATAATAGTCCCTTTATACAAGCTATGGCTACTTGCCATTCCTTAACGAGAATCGATGGTAGACTGAACGGAGATCCTTTGGATCTAAACATGTTTGAGAACACAAAATGGGTAATAAATACGTTTTGAAAAATTTTGTAACAATACTTATAATTAACACGATTCTCATATCTTAGGAACTAGAAGAGCCAGGAAACGAGGAAACTAATTATGACATGCTGGCTCCAACAATAGTTAAACCTATTCAAAAGTATATTAGTCATTCGAAGTTGAACAACCTTGGTGGAGACATGGAAGTAAGTTTATTTAAAATTTACTCATATCACTTTATAACATTTCGTTTTAGATACCTTACGAAATTGGTATTATCCGACAATTTCAATTTTCGTCGACATTGCAGAGAATGTCTGTAATTTGTCGTGTACTGGGCTCGCCGAACATGTTGATATTTACTAAAGGCGCTCCCGAGAAAGTAAAAACCATGTGTAAAGAAGAAACCGTACCCCCAGATTTTAACTGCCAATTGGCTCAATTCACCGCACAAGGATTCCGTGTCATAGCAGTGGCGTACAAACAGTTACCGAACAAATTCAAGTGGAAGCAGGCTCAGAAAGTCAACAGGGAAACGATAGAATGCGATCTGAACTTTCTTGGTTTCATCGTCATGCAGAACACTCTGAAACCAGAAACCACACCTGTTATTCAAACACTCCAAGCAGCCAACGTGCGAACCGTGATGATAACTGGGGACAATGTGATGACGGCGATATGCGTTGCTCGGGAATGCGGTATGGTTAAAATTAATGATAATGTGATCCTGCTGCAAGTTCAACAAGGAGAAGGCATTCCCATTATATCGCTAGAACGCATTGGTAATACAAATAGTTCGAATCATGTTATTAGTTTCGATGAAGACGTATGTACGCTTTCACTGTTAGAACTACTTTTGTCAAGACACATAATTTCTGTTTTACATTATAGCATTACCACTTTGCACTGGATGGAGAAGTTTGGAGCACACTGAGAACTCATTATCCTGATATATTGCCTAAACTTCTTTTGCGAACTACAGTCTTTGCAAGATTTCAACCGGACCAGAAAACACAATTGATAAGTGCACTTCAGAGTTTGGATTATATTGTTTCAATGGTCGGCGACGGTGCAAATGATTGTGGAGTAATTATATTATGATATATTGGTTGAAGTAAAAAGTTCTGAGCGTTTTGTCCCATATATCGAGCTTATTCGTGAGACCAGCTGAGTAATCTTCAGTTCCTGGGCAATGGAATAAGTGCCGGTCCAACTCCACGATTTCCATTATTATATCAACATTTTTGATGATTGGCCTGCCATAAATGTCTATATTACCAGAACGTTGGAACAACGCTTTGTTGTTGCATTTTGTATTGGGTCCATAAATAACACTTTTTATTTTTTTGGCCGCCTGCTCCGATTTTTCCCTTGGTCGTAGTGGTACAGAAGAGTGTATCGAATTTTCTCTTTTTTTGTCTCCATTTTGGAATGCTCTAACATACAACTGGATTCACTAAACACAAAACTATCAAATAACTTTTTTTAAAGTTATGTCTCCTTTAAGTCGCAGTTTAGAATGATAAGATGCAACGTATGCATCGTGAGATATGGCTCACTAAAACAATGTAACGTAAAACGCTCAGAACTTTTTACTTCACGTATTATATGTATACATTATTCTAGATGATTATATTAATATGTTTTTTTTTTCAGGCACTAAAAGCAGCGCATATTGGTATTTCCCTGTCTCAAGCTGAAGCCAGTGTTGCAGCTCCATTCACATCTTCTATCGATAATATTTCTTGTTTGATTCATTTGATACTCGAAGGTCGATGTGCTTTAGTTACAAGTTTTGCTGTCTTCAAATATATGGCACTTTATAGTTTAATTCAATTCTTTACTATCATTATTTTATATAAGGTACTAAACAAGTTTACTTTCAGGCAATAATAATAAATATATATTTTTTTAGAACAATTCTATTTTGGGGGATCAACAATTTCTGTTTATAGATTTGATTATAACAACCAGTTTAGCTGTGACAATTGGAAGGCAGGGCCCATCGAATCGCCTTGTTGCCAAAAGGCCAATGGGTTCTCTGATTGCCGGTTCAAATTTGATCCCGTTAGTTTTTCAGATTGTAGCCTGCGCACTGACACAATATCTAGCATTTTATTATTTAACAGTACAAGAATGGTACAAACCCAACCAACAAGAAAAAGACGAGATCGTACTTTGTTGGGAGAACACAGTGCTTTTCACGGTGTCCTGCTACCAATATGTAGTTCTAGCATTGATGTACTCCAAAGGCAAACCATATAGGGAAGTGTTGATTAACAACTTTTGGCTTTTGTTTTGTTCGTTGACGTTAATATCTTTTACGACATACCTGGGGATTTATCCAGCCAAATTTGTGGCAAATTTCTTCGAAATAATTTATCTGCCTTTAAACCAGTCAAGTTTACAGAGAACCTTTAAAGATACGTTAATGTTGTTTCCTTTAGCGCATTTGTGCATTGCTATGTTCATAGAGGTAAGATATTCAATTAGTATTGTTATTATTTACTATTATCTCTTGTTACATTTTTAGTTCGGTATAGCCGAAAGTAAATGGCTAAAGAAAGTCGTCCATTGCATCCAAAGAAAGACCCAACCAAAGAATCATTATAAAAAGTTGGCACAGGAAGCCGATTTCAGCAGTTGGTTCCGTTTTGAAAATGAAACTAGTTACATAAATATCACGATGAACGACGAAAGATGACACGAATTTTATTGTATAATTAATCAAGTCAATATTGTAACCAGTATTTTTATAAATAAATTTACTCAATTTAGCAATTTATGTTTTTCATTTTCAATACTTGTTTTTTTTTCATGACATCACTGATATAAAATGGAAAATCGAAATATAAGTAATTATGTATGTTCAAACGTATTTAACAAAATAGGGTGACCTTTTTTTTGTTGTCACTTTACAATATGCCAAATGGGAATATAAATCCGGAACGTTGAGCAACGCTATTTGCAATTCCAATTATTCTCAATTTCAATGCAATCATTACATTCATATATTTTGTAATATATCTCTATGTAATATGAAATTGTCAGGATTAGTTGGTAATAATGGAATGAAAACAGGAAATGTAAATATGTTTAAATGCATATACATTCATTTCATTCGAATTATTTCAAAATTTATTGTGTACAGCCATTGTCGATATAGCAACAGAAATAGTTACAAACAGACGTTGCATACATATTACATTAATGATTATTTTTTTGTCGAGGACAGGGTGACTATGTAAGTAGAACATTCTGTTCTGTTTATAATAAAATACTGAATGTTTTTTTGCTACAGAAATGGGGTCGTTTCATCTGCTCACCAATTTTAGTCTCAATTATTTTTTTATAATTCAAATGTATATTCTTGGACAGGTAATTATTACAATTTTTCTCAAATACATGAGCAAATTTGATTTTCTCGTAGGATATTTGTACAAACATGACGACTGAAAGCACGCCCAAACTTATAAATACAAGTACTACAACTTTAAGGTTTCGGACTACAACTATAAAATTAAATCAATTTAAATATATCGATATCCATTACAGATTGATTAATTCTGACTCGCAAAACTACAATTTTATTTGGTACGTGAAGCCTAAACGCAAAGTGCAATGCAAGAATGTGCAAAGATGCAACATTATGGCGTGGGAGGGTGCACGGAAATTGCAAAAGTTCCTTAGCAATTATAAAGTGGACACCGCAAATCCTCACATAGTAATAGATAATGAAATGGTAATATTCGTGTTACTATTTATAATATTAAAAACATACGCTTATTATTATTGCAGATGATGTCCGGTGTGGAATATACTTTAAATTTAACTATATATAATGGGTCGTATCTAAGTAATAAAGAATTTATTTTACCAATGAATGAAACCGAGACTGAAAATACGAATGTAGAACAATCTATACAATCCAAAATATTCGGTATTATAAGACTGGTAGGCTTAAACGAAACGTTTGCAGATGCAGAATATTCGATAAGGGCAGAAGTAGTACTATGCGCAACTGAAGATTTAATAGAATATTCCGTAATAAGACCTCAACTATACCAAACACGTGTATTATTTTATACGATTGTAGATTCAATGGGAATTGCTGGATAAGTCTGGAAATTCGTTAAAAAAAATATTATTCACTGGGAATACTTTAAGGCTCGAAGCATACACGTTTCAAGCACCTGGAGAGTACATAATAAATTGTACTTTAGTGTCAAATAATAATTTATTAAATGTAAGCATTCCAGTTAAAGGATTGATACTAATATAAAAAAAAAAACATGAATTCCAGGCTAACCACATTGTTCGTGTATTGAGTCAAGGGTTAATGCTCAAGTTGAACACAAAAAGTTTACTAATTGGCACTGACGAGTCCATAAAACTCATTGCATTTGTAAACGACCTGGATCACAAAAAGCCTACATTTAACGTAATTCAAGTTATGATTACAATTCATTTTAAAACGTTTCTTTTCATTCCAGTTAGAATGGTTTTGCAATTATAACGACGAGCCATGCAATTATTTCGAAGTAAACACTGCAGTTATGGAACTTGACGATGGTTTTTTAGAACCCGGAAGGTATATTTCAAATAATTCTAATATAGAAGAACCTTTTAATTACTTATCGTAGATACGATTTAACTATTCATGTTTCTAATGAAAATTCGGAGAAAAATGAGACTTGTCGAGTTATAATTTCTGACGATGTAAATAGAACGTTGGAGCTTAACGAAATTAAGGATATAATAAATCCTACAGAAGTCCTTGAAATTGTTGCGAAAATTTCTAAGTTAATAACTGGTTGCTTAGTAAGCTGGGAATCTCTAACAGAAGATACATATGAATCACTAGATTTGGAGGCAATGGTCAGTATTTGATTGTGGCGAAAAGAAAATTAAAACAAATAATTGAATTGTATTATTTTTATAAGCCCGACTTCGAAGGTGTGATAAATGTGACAGTCAAAGATGACGCATTTCTTGATGAATTGGTTGAATTTAGCAACGATACAATCGATAAAGAATATTCATTAATTATTCCTCCAAAAACAGGTTTGCAACGTTCTTTTTTCGATCTTTCATTCTTGTATATAATCATAATATTTCTTTAAATGTTCAGACAGTTGGGAGGGTTTGAAAGAAAACGCAAGCTATTTGTTTAGATTAAATGTTAGTTGTCCTACTTCGATCGCCAATGAGTTTGATTTGGTTCAAGCTGAATTCGAGATAACCACTGATTGGCTTCCTAAGGTGAAATCTTTTACTGTTCAACCAGATACCGGTGAAGCCTTGAAAACAATGTTCAAGTTTTCAGCTAAAACCGAACAACCTAATTTATTTTTGTCATTCGGATACCATCTAAACAATTTCAGTTATTATTTCCATACTGTTGGAGGCGTCGATGCTGAAACGTTTTTACCATTTTCAGGTAAATATTGACGCACAAATATATATTTTTAATAATCAACATGAAATATATATTGCATTAATTTGTAGAAACTGGAATACATAGTATTTTAAAAGCATGCAATTCTCGTAAAACTTGTTCCGTGATAGATGGACCTATAATTCAAGTAAGGAAACCGGATATCATTGCGGAAGCAGACCTGACGTAATAAAACATTATTAATATAATAATTTTAATCATTAACATATTCATGTAATTTAAAGCAAATTTAAATCAGGTTTCTCACAATCTTTATCTGACGGCGATTACAAAGATGCTTTCATATCGGCTACAAATTACTTGACAACAATTAAATCTTTTGACAATGACTTATTGGTTAAGGATATAGAGTCATTTACCACGGATTCGATAGATGCGGAAATTAATTTGCTCATTGAGAAAGAAAATCTGGAGAAGTCGATTGGAAATACGCTAATTAAAGAAGTAAAAGATTTCTCCAGAATCGTCAAATTACCTGAAAACGTATTGCTTAGCCTTGTTAAGTTGCGTGGTAAACTGGCCGACGAAATGCACGCTAAAATCGTGACTGACTATGAATCGTACAACCTGAGATTATCAAGCAATTCGATCACGAAAGACATAGACTTTGAAAATTTTAAAGAATACTTGGAAGTGTCCGAGTTAGTTATAACAAATTCCAAAGATAATTCGATTATATCCAATGAGAAAAATAATCTATTGAATAATATTGAAAAGTTTTCGGCTCAACTTTGTGCCTTTGTATATAAAGGACAAAAGATCAATATTGGTGAGACTGAATGCAAATTATTATTTAATTATAAAAAAAATATATTTTAGAATTAAAAACATTTACTTTTATAATGGAAAAGCTGACCAGGAATTACTTTAAAAACTACGTAGCCGTTCCGAAAGAGAACAATGTTTCCAAAAACTTCATGAGGATAACTTTCAACCAGAACTGGTTCTCAGAAGTATACGGTCAGAAGTTTTGTGTAGGAAAAGGTATATTTAATGATTATTTAAATAAAAAAGGAATCGTGTATCTGGTTAACATTTACAATTACATTGGAAACGTCCCTCTACAGAATGCAGTTATTATGTTGAGCTCGCAACCGAAACAAATTGTATGTTGTTAATCAAATTGTTTTAATAATCGAAAATTTAATATAATAATTTTCCAGTGTTCCGTTTATACAAATCACATGTGGGAAAACTGTAGTCATATCCACTTTAATGGAAAAGAGCATTTTTGCGATTGCCGCAATCTTGGTTATTACAGGCAAGGAAAAAGTAATTGCATCTCTTTTATAATATAAATGTTTATTTGTATCAGATTAAAAACAATAGAGGATAAAAATGATGAAATTGTTGAAGCGAGATCAACCTTGAGACACGAATTTGACATCCGGACGACGGCAAAATCGCCAGAGCTAATACTTAAAGCTGTTTCTGCTTTAGATAATGGTGAGATAACTGAAAATGGCTTTGATTTATTATTTAAGACTATTAATGTTATTCATAGGCGACAAAATATCGTTGGCCGTGATTGCGACATCCGTTTTCGGAATGGTAATCCTGGCGATCTTCGGTGTCATTTACAACAGGGTTAAAAGGAAGCGAACCGTGGAAACCGTAGATGTCTTGCAGTTTCCCAGATATGCGGATGTATATCGTGAGGATATTTTAGATTCAAATTTTAATTGATCTGTTTTAATTATTAAATGTGAAACGTTAATATACAATTATTTCAATATATTTCCCACTCCACTCCTGGGCGTTAGAATCTGTAATTTTGTTTTTTTTTTCTTAAGCATACGCTTTCGAAGTATTTACTTTAAATTGGTTTACCTTAAAGGAGCAGCAGAGATTCTCGTCAATTGTCATTAAGGCTGCAGCGTTATCAAATTCGCCGCAATAATTCGGAGCCGAGAATATTGTTATGAGTTTGCGATTGCCGAAAAACTCGTAGCCATCTTCTACGACTTGATGGCCTCTGCACATGAGATCAAAATCGTGCTTCTTTAAGAAATTCTCGAGTACGTCGATTCCGAACAGGTAAGAGACACCACGATCGTTCTCAGCCCACCCATTCACCGATTTCGTAGGATCGGACCAGAGAAGATCGCAAGCCAAGCCGTTCAAAGGATCCGGTAAAGGTCTTTTGATCTGATTTATTTGTGCCAAGTGTTTTAGATCTGGACTTAAACCACCGTGACAACAGAAAACTTTGTCATCGATTACGGCGGCGAATGGTAAACAATCAAAAACGTCTGTGAATGTTTTGAAGAGCTTTGTGCCGTATCTTCTTTTACCTTCAAAATAAACTTCATTATATAAAGTCTCTTCTAACAAAATCAGTGCGTGTACATTCGTCGTAGAAACCGTAGATTTTGCATATGGCTCCGCACTCATGGTTGCCTCGCAGAAGGAAAAAGTTCTCTGGATACTTGACTTTGTAGGCAAACAGCAGAGAAATAGTTTCCAGCGAGTTTTTACCTCTGTCCACGTAATCGCCTAAGAACAGATAGTTAACGTGTGGGGGATAGCCGCCGCCCTCGAATATTTTTAACAGGTCGTGAAATTGGCCGTGGATATCGCCTGAAATCTCCTACATATTATTAAAACAGTTTGATGATTTACCAAGCACTACTGACCGGCTATTACGATCGGTGTCTCCAATTCAAGCAAATTAGGCTGGGACATAAGGATTTCCCGCACTTTCAGACACAATAATCTCATATCATTTTCATCCAGTTTCACTTTCTTGTTTGTTCCTTTCACTAAAAAAAATATTTAAAAAATATCATAAATGAACTACGTTCCTATACAAACCCACCTTGCAACAGTTGATTTATCAAATTATCTACATTTAATGACATTTTCGCATCAAAAAAGGATTTTTAACTATCACTAAATATACACACTCGAAGTAAATTCGTAAATGATTCTAGGCCATCAAACAATATTAAAATACGTAGTAATCTTATCGCCTTTGTATGATTGAAACGATAAGTTATCGAACGATTTTATTTAATTTTTCTTTTGATAATAGTTATACCAATTGCGCCTGCTTACAACTGCTTAAATGTTGCAAAAGTATGTAAAATACAATATATACAAATAAATATATATTAAAAACATTTTCGATATTGTCGGGATGTTGATACAGTCAGGATTATGGTTGTCGGGATTTCGATACAGTCGGGATTTCGAACGTCGGGATTTCGATACAGTCGGGATTTCAAACGTCGGGAATTTGATTGACGTTATTTCGGTTGTTGGGCTTGCGATTGCCTCCGCGGTTAACCCGAACCACGGAAAATTCAGTCCCGAATAATCCCAAGGTGTTTCCCAAGGGAATGCGATTCGTTTCGATGAGATTTGTCCACTCAGCATCTGATGATGATAACCTGTATTTATTCATATATAAAAAGGTATTATAATTAAGTAGGTGATTGATTTGATTTTTAGATTTTTCTTTATTGTATAAAAATTTGGTGCCTCCGGCTATTTACAGTGTATGTCATCCTGTCGTGTCCCAGGGATGGAATTCTGGACACAGCGGAATATCGTTTGGTGTAGTCGTTGTGGAGTCTCAGTTGTTGGGAATTAAATAATTCAATTGGTTTAAAGCAAGTTTATTACAATTGGTACTCTTCGGGTCCTTTCCAAGACAATGTAGTTTAATCGACAGATTGACTAAGATTAATTCGAAATACTTATTCTACTTACAAAGCTAATTCTTATTAATTGGGAGTTGTGATCGGGAGTAGGGCTTGATTATATTGATGACTAAGCGTTCCCACGGGAATCGGCCTTGGTGGTTTTGTTTATATGAATAAGATGATCGATTACGATTGTACATGTAACGATCTTTATGTGTTTGTAATAAGGACTTGAATTCGGTATAAATGTATAGGAGTATCGATGGTTATGTTTACGCTTGGTCCCCTTTGTTTATATTAAAGTGTATCGAACTGGAATCACGGTATAGATTCCTTTATACTTATGTTTATATAATAATGCGACTAAGAGACGCCTTGGATGTCTCTAGTTCGTTAATACACTATACTAATAATAACAATTACAATAATAATGGTTGGACACAACAATCCATTCTTGGCCAAGGCCGTACAAGATCGTTTCCTTTTTCAAAATAAAAAAATATATATCAAGGTTTTGTTGTATGTTAGTTGAATTAGTAAGTTTTGGGGAAAATTTGGTAAAATTCAGTATTGAAAAAAACCCTCTTCGATTAAGTAGGTCATTGCTCCCGTCGGTATGTATTTCTAATGGTTGTACACAACAACCTCGCATAGTACGGTTTCCGCCAATATCTTAGACTATTTGAAACTAATCGAGGAAAAAAATAAACCGCACAAAAATAGACTTGATTGTATAAAGGGAAAAGATCATTTATGTATAAACAAAATGTGTGTTAATTCTTCATTTTATTTTGCCAATTATCAATTTAATTTGTTTTGAAATTTTCTTTTGTAAGATTTTATTTCACTAAATATAAATAAATATAAATTTAAATGTGTATCAAGCGATAGAATTTTAATTTCCAAAGAAATTGCTTTATTTTAGTACATTTTCTCTCTATTATGTATTTGCATTTTCAGTGCAAGTACTTCTTCTTCTTCTTCGAAAAATGTATTTCTAAAGCAAGAACTTTGCCTCCTTTATCAGCATTCTGACGCCGCTAAGCATCGCTTTTATTGCAAAATCAAGTATTTGATGAGAATAAACGTAAATCAATGTGAATTATTTTCTTTAACGAAGAAATATTTTTTGTAGGATTGGCTAACCTGATTCGCACAGGTGGCGCTGCTTTAGTAGCCACGTAAGATTGACAGCTCACAGTGACAAGTAATTAATGCCTTTTATTTAGAAAATATAATTTTCAATAGTTCTTTAATATGTACTAACGTTTAATCAAGGGATATAATTTATTAACGTCGAGGTAAGCATTGTTTGAAATTATCACACTTCAATATTATTATGTTGTAGAGAAAATATGTATTTATTCTTAATATTATTTATTTTAACAAAGTTCAAAGGTTTCCTTTTTAATTTGTATTTAATAATTGACTGGTTTAATTGCATATGAAACATTTAATTACATTTTTACTAGTTGAGAATACTGGTCTTGTGTTAAGCTATTTTTTGGATGTGTAAATAAATGCAGTAGTCTTGGCTGAATATAGGGGTGGTTTATCAATAATTGATGATACATATTTGAGGGTTTTATTAAGTGATTAACCTTGACATCATTATACTGCACATGTCTGTGTATTAAGTATTAATAAAATAACAATATTCAATACGTACAAGTAGCATAATTTGAATCAGTTTCGAAGATTGAGTGCTTAAAGAAGGAGCCAACATGATAACACATCTAGTTTACTAGTATGTATTGAAATTTAGATCATTCATTGTTAAGCTTATTTCTAATAAGATAAGATAATATTTTTTATTTAGAAATACATCATAGTATGATTCCTACTAAAATGTAGTCCATTAAAATTAAAGTTTTATCAATTTTTATAATTTGTTTTTATTAAATATCACCATATGGTATATATTCAATTTTCAAACATTTCTTAATAATAAATACTAATTCTCAACTGTAATAATCAATTGTTTAAATATGTTTTTAAATTTTAGGCCAATGTCAAGTTTTATTAGTGATATAATAAGATTTTTTATGTTTCAAAATAAAAGCAAACTGTTGATCTCATTATATTAGTGTAATAACATTAAAATTGGCAGAAAGACCTATGCTGAATACACGTTTTATTTTTATATAAATATTATTATTATAATTCAAATAAATTCAACAAGATATTTGATAGTAATATTAGAATAAGAATATTCATAATATTGTTGATATACATGTCTTTTATAGTATTACAGTGTGGTGTCATATACATATGATTGTAGTGATTAAGGTATTGGATTTCTATTAATGTGTTTATTTGCTTTTAGCGAGTCCATAATGTCTCAGTCAAACATGATGAATCAGAATAATATGCCGAACGGGATGCCTCCCCACATGAATGGAATCGATTCGTCGCATTCTTCCCGAGATTCGTCGCCAACCGTGAGGTACCCGTACATGACGCAAGGTCCAATGGCACCTCACAGGCCTATACCGGCGAACCAATTGCCGCCGACGTCGAAGACGATAAACCAGCTGAGTCAAAACTATTCGAATCTGCAAATAAACAATCAATTGACGCCGCGGACGAGTCCGAAAATGTTTAGTACATCAACGCCCAATGAGCAAGTAAAGGATAACCAGTCGCAGCCGGCCATTGACCGGAACAAGAGTCAGCAGAGTCAAGGCGGCGTCTTATCCCCAATTGGATTTAATCACTCGGCGACGAGTCACTTTTCGAATGTCGCACTGAACGGAAACTCTGTTTCTAATTTGGGGCAGACTAGTCAAAGGTTCAATGTGCCATCGAACTTCGGCGGGACTCAGCTTCCACACCAAAATTCTTTGCCGAGCAACGCGGTAGCGCCGCCTCCACGACCCCCCTTGCAACAGACCTTATCGCAACCACGACTCATGGCATACAACAACGGACCTGTTCCAACTTCAACATCCAGTCCTCAGCACGCGGTACCGCAAAATCACATGACTCAAAGACCATTGATGAATCAACCAAATAGGATGCCTAATTTCAACCTACAACCATCGGTTCCAGTGCAGTCTCCGGCGACGAGAATGCCTACCCAGATGAGGATGCCAAATAGTATGCAACAGTATCCAAATATGCATCAGCAACAACATCACCAGCAGCAGCAACAGAGATATCCTACTCCTCAGCAGTATACTAACCAATTACAAGCGAGTGATCAACTTCCGAACGTGACTTCGAATTCAGTGCACCAGAATTCCACTCCAGCGCAAGATATTCCCATTCGGGCGAATCTACACTCAAACCGATATCCGACTCAACCTCAATATAACCAGAGCCATCAGCAGCAACAATATACACAGCAGACCATTCCCCTTCAACAACAACAACAGCAGAAATTGCAGCAAAATTTTTACCAGCAATCGTCGCAGAACGTTGTTCAATCTGGGTTTAACAAGTTGTGGGGTGTTGAAAATTTCGATCTGTTGCAGACACCAAACATTTTGCCTAAAACGAAAGTGGAAGTTCCAAGAATAACTTTGGGAAACGAGCTGCTGGATCATGCTAACTGTAAGCCAGATATTTTTCGCTGCACGATGACGAAAATACCGGAGAATAATTCGTTGCTGCAAAAGTCGCGTCTACCATTGGGAGTTTTGATTCATCCTTTCAAAGATTTAAATCACTTGCCTGTAATCCAATGCAATACGATAGTTCGCTGCAGATCGTGTAGGACTTATATTAATCCATATGTATATTTCATAGATAGTAAGAAGTGGAAATGTAACTTGTGCTATAGAATCAACGAATTGCCTGAGGAATTTCAATACGATCCTGTGACAAAAACGTACGGCGATCCATCGAGGCGGCCCGAGGTGAAGACGAGCACGATAGAATACATTGCACCCTCTGAATACATGCTGAGGCCTCCGCAGGCCGCTATCTATTTATTTTTGCTGGATATTTCGAGAGCAGCTATCGAGAGTGGGTATCTGCATACCGTCTGTTCGGTGTTGCAGTCCGAGCTGAACAATCTACCAGGAGATACGCGAACTCAAGTTGGTTTTATTGCATACGACACAGCGTTGCACTTTTTCTCTTTTGCTGACGGCTTGAGTCAACCGCACGAGATGACAGTCCTGGATATTGATGACGTGTTTCTACCATGCCCCGATAATTTGTTGGTGAATTTACAAGACTGCATGGAATTAGTAACTGACTTGCTCGCCCAATTACCAAATAGATATAATAATTCGTTTGAGACAGGATCTGCCCTCGGAGCAGCACTTCAGGCCTCCTATAAAATGATGGCTAGTACCGGAGGCAGAGTCACCGTTTTCCAAGCGACTTTGCCGACAATAGGACCTGGGGCTTTGATCTCCAGAGAGGATCCTAGCCAAAGAGCAGGGTCAGATGTACAGCACCTGAATCCCGCCAATGATTTCTACAAGCGATTGGCGTTAGAATGCAGCGGCCAGCAGATTGCTGTCGATATATTCTTCGCCAATTCTCAGTACGTGGATATTGCTACAATTTCAGGAATCTGCAAATTCAGTGGAGGTTGCATGTATCATTTTCCATTATTCAAGGCGAGTCGGCAGTCGCAAAACGAGTCGTTTGAAAAATGTTTGAGGAGATATTTGACTAGAAAAATTGGTTTTGAAGCAGTGATGCGAATACGTTGCTCCAGAGGTTTGACTATACATACTTTTCATGGTAATTTCTTTGTGCGATCAACTGATTTACTCTCATTACCTAACATAAATCCGGATGCTGGCTTCGGTATGCAGGTGTCAATTGAGGAGAGTCTGTCAGACGTGAAGAGTATATGCTTTCAGGCAGCTCTACTGTACACCTCCAGTAAAGGTGAAAGGAGGATTCGCGTACATACAATGTGCTTGCCCGTGGTAAATAACTTGACGGAAATTATAAATTCTGCAGATCAGCAATGTATAATTGGTTTGTTGAGCAAAATGGCTGTAGATAGATCGGTGCAGTCAAATCTATCGGATGCGAGAGAAGCGTTCATAAATGTGGCTATCGACATATTGACCAGTTACAAAGCATCGCAGAATATGGGCGCGACCAGTGGTCTTATGGTCCCAAATTGCTTGAGGTTATTGCCTCTTTATATTTCTGCGCTGTTGAAGAGCATTGCATTCAGGTCTGGAGTGTCTACACGCTTGGATGATAGAGTGAAAGCCATGTGCGACATGAAGACTAGTCCGCTTCCCAATCTTATCCAACAAATTTACCCAGATCTGTACCCGGTCCATAATTTACATGATCAGAATGTAATTGAAAATGAAGATAAGGAACTAGTTCCGATGCCTCCAATCCTGCAACTGTCGGCGAGGAACATCGATTCGAATGGGGCTTACCTGATGGACATGGGCACCCATATGGTTATTATTGTGTGCTCCGCAGTCTCGTCCATGTTCCTTAACCACGTACTTGGCGTATCCGACTACAATTCCATAAGTGATGAAATGTACGAGCTCCCATCGCTCGACAATGAGCACAATCAACGACTACATTTGTTAATAAACTATTTGAACGACGAGAAACCGATGAACGCGACGCTGCAAATAATGCGCGATAGCAGTCCGAACAGAAACATGTTCTTTGAAAAATTACTAGAAGACAGAATAGAGACTGCCCTTTCGTACCACGAGTTCTTGCAACATCTGAAAACCCAAGTGAAGTAGGACTATGATGAATAGATTCGATAATGAAAATATTATTGCTCAATATTCTCGTTATATATTCTCTTATACGTTATTTATAGCATTTACTTAGATGCAATAATTATTTGCAATAATATTTTTATTTATCGCATGAGTGTGTATAGAAGAAAGAAAAACTTTATTATATTATTCATTGGAGAGAATTTCTTTGCCATACCCAGTGAAAAAAAAAATGAATATTATATAATCTTTTTTTTTTTTTCATTGAAATATTTACATTGAATTGTAAATATGTTATTAATAATATTATTACTACCATTGTTTGTTTATATGATCAGAAAAGGAAAACATCAATAATTATTGTATTTTTGAAATATGTGTAGAAACATTATAAGTCATTAATCAGAATTTATTTCATCTTGTTTCTTCTCCTTTGGTTAGGTATTATATATATTTATATAAAAATATTATTTAAGTATTTATCCAATTTTTCGTCTGTTTTAATTAGAAATATATGTATATTATCCTTTGTGTTTTCATTTTCAAATTTTAATCACCTTCCAACAAATAAATCAATTTTTAGTATATTTGATTATTTATATACCCAAACATCAGTCGAATTGAATCAATATATTGATATAAATATGAAAAAAAACACACACACACACAAATTACACACATAAAGTATACCTAAGTATTATATAGAATGCAGATGTTTACTTATGAAATTGTTTTATTCTGTTTCATATGTGATGCTACTACAATAATTGTCCACCATTTATGTGTCTAAAACGTAAACTTTAAATATGAATCATCGAGTATTAATAGTTAACAGTAGCTGATTATGAACTATTAAACATGATCTAGTATGAATACTACAGAACCAAATATGCAATAGACGAACAAAACAATAACCGAAAAAGAAAAATTATTATATTTACATAAGGTTAATTCATTGAAATTTTGAAAAAATTAGGGTAAAAAATTATAATATAAAAAATATGGTAAGTCCAAAATCAGTATTATTATAATTACATAAATTTTGACTTTATTTAATTAATACATATTTTCAACTAAATGCATTTTTTATATTTTAAACTTAATGATACTTGAAAAGATTTTTTTTATTGTTATTTCATTTTTAATCTAAATAAAACTGTATCAATTTGATAAATTCTGCTCCCGACTCGTCCGTCTTCTTCATAATTTTTTTCTTTTTCATTGCTGATTTTGGTTTGAATTCATCTTCTTTCGATTTGCTTGTAGGCATTATAGACATCCGCACGGCACCACTTACCTGCATAATAACGTAAATATTAAATGATATCTCTGTAACATTAATCATTAAAAATAACGTATAACTCACTTTCTTATTCTTGGAATCGTCGAATCTGACGCCCGGCATCACCGACATCCTGCGGGACACAGGCATTGCGGCCATTTGCCTGAAGAGATGCTCGACTTCACCCTTCAAATTAGCACCGGCCATCATATCGACTATTTGCTTCTCGCGTTTCTCGTAAACCTTTGAACTTGTATCGTCGAAGGAGAATTTCTCAACCACATCCATCGTCTAAAAATATTATAATACTTAAAGTATTGAAATAGTAAAATCTCGGTTCAGATAGCATAAATGCAAATCAAAACTTGTTTTTCAATGAAATATAAAATTAACCTTATGTAAATATTCCAACAAATTTTCGTTTTCCATTTCAGTGGCAATGTCGATAGCCTGATTCAGTTCCTGCTTTGCATCCGTTTTATTTCTCAATTGCATATTGATGCGAACAATTAACAAAGTCGCATTGATGAACCAAGTTTTTTCGCCACATTCTTTAGCCTCTGCGATACATTTCCTTGCATACACTCTCCCCAATTCGTACTGTCTAATCTCCGTATAATACCTGGACAGATCGTGATACAGCCATGCCAACTCTTGAGCGTCTCTCGCATTCCGTACTCGATTTTCGGCAATGCTAATTTGCTTGCTGTTAAAATACAATACATTATCATTTATTATTCAAAAAGACATACTTCAATATTAATCCATACTTCCAATCAATAAAATCTCGTTTGCATTCCCTCAAAACTGAGTCCTTAGAAACTTGTTTACTCAACGGATAGCCAAGCATGTTGAAAATTCTCTTCTCCTGGTCTCCTTCGCATTGATTCTTATTTAAGCGTTTCAGTTCCAAGTGTGCTCTACATACTAGCTGATATATGTTCATCACAAACTCCTGACGATTCGGGAAATACCGTTTCTCTTTCGTTTCGCATAACAATTTTAACTTTTCCGCAGTTTCCAACGCATCCCTGGTTTGCTTGTTCTCTATGCAAGATTCGATTTTGCTCAATAAGGCATTTGCCTCCAAAATGACCGCTTTCCGTACCCGTTCGTCTTCTTTAATCTGACGCGCCAATAAAGTGGCCGATAGAAGTGTAGTCTCCTGGAATTTTATAAAGTAGAAAGGCCTTCGAATTCGCAGCAATTCCTGTTTATAGGATAGCGTTTTGAATCCGTGCTTAGCAATCAAAATTATTTTGCGAGTACTCGATTTGTTTGGGTTCTTTACTCCCGGATCGTCTTTCAGATTCTTCAAAAAAATCTTGTCCAAGTACATGGATTCTAAATATTTGGAAGCCATGTAATTCTCAATGTTCGATGTGTAATCCTGTAGAGGTCTGTAAGGAAACTTCGGACCGGGCGGAATTATGTCCATTTCTTCTTTTAAACTGTAAAGGCTGTCAAAAATTTTCAACTCCAAGTCTGAAACATTCAGAAGACCTCGTTTCTTTTTCAATGGGACCAAAGCTTCCATATGTTTTTCTTCGGTCTCTTTCTTCTTCTTCTTCTTTTTCTTCTTTTTGCGTTTTGTGCGCAGTTCGAACGGTTTCTGCGATTCCTTGGCTTTCTTCCAAGCCAACTTTCTTATGATTTTAAAGTGATCCCTCAGCGGTCTTCCAGCCCTCTGCCCTAGACAGTTTTCTATAGCTTCATTGCACTGCAATCAATATTTATGTCTACAACTATATTGGATTAAATGTTGCGGAAATACATGCATAACGCCCATAGCAAAATTGTCCGGCTTTTTACGTATCGGCAGACAGCGAAGATTTTCCACAAGACCATCTTCGAAATTACATATCAAATATGTGTAGAGAGACTTTAAAGCTTCGGCTACTAAATTCCCTTCCTCGATATCGAGTGCTTTATTGATATCTTCCATCGCCCCTTCATACTGGACGGATTTTGCTCGAGTTATCGATCGTCCAATCAACGCTCTTTTGTCCATCGGAGCCTTTTCCACTGCCTGATCAAAATATCGACAAGCTAAAAGACTTTTATTATACTTTACATTTTTATTTATTTTTTCTTAAGATATTCATCACCTCGTTCATACTGCTCTTTGCGTGATGTTATGTAATATCCTAATTCACGGTACCAAGTCTCCGCACCGTACACCTCCGGTATCTTCTGTTCTGCCATCGCCGCTGCCGCCATATTTAAAATCGAAATTTAATTTGGGTCCTAAATGCATACACTAAAAATTGAAAAGTATCCCAAGTCCGATTATTAAACTTATGACACCCCTATCATGTGTCTTTGATTTTATTATATATTTTGATGTTTTAGGTTGTGTTGTTACCTAATACATCGATACTCGATTATACATATTTATACAGACACATACACATAATTGTAATTTAAAAAAAAGTGAAATCTAGTATAACTTTAATCATGAATTTTATATAAATATATTTAGATACATAAAAAACTTATTAAAATCATTAATATCTGTTGCCAGAAAAGTTAATCTGATAAAATTAAGAACTTTTCAAATAAATACCATATTTTTCTGTATTTACTAATAAGAACAAATATAAAAAGAATTTAAGAATTTAACATCAATATCAGTAAAACATTCAAATCAATTACATGCTTAAGGAAAACTTTAGATATTTATTATCGATAAAAAACCGAATAAACATATTAACATTTTTCAGTAGCAAGTACTTCATTATCTGATCGCGGATGACATTAAATGGATAAACTTTCCTGGTGGATATTTACCATATTTATAATTATAAAAAGTTCTTAATTTAAAGTTTTTTACATTTAGAATATATAATTACTACTGTAAAATGTTTATAGGTATCCGGAAAATTTATCGATTTAATATCAATCGTGATAAAATTTACTTAAGAATAAATTGTAAATATACTAAGATAATACAACAACAACGTAGTTTGTGTAACTATTATAAATATTCCATGTTTCTGTGTTTTTGTATGATTATTGTGTGTAGTATTTAAAAATCGAAATAAATTGGCCGATTTCACTGCATACCTAGAAAAAAAGGAAATTTTATAAGTAAATAATCAAATGTCAAATATTTCATTTCAGAGTATTAAATTTTGTTTTACTTTTTACATAAATAATTCCTCATTCACCATCATTTAGTTTATTTTCCAAAAATATGTTAACCATAGCAAATATCATATTTAAATATGTAATTATTAACACAATAGTGAAAGATTTATCTCTGACAAATAATATTTTGGTCATGATTATATAAATGCGTTTCATTTTTATTATATATTTAACGGTATATGTTTAGCAGTTTTTATAAATATTATTATTTATTATAAGCGCAAAATACCTATAGTCAAATTTAACATATTAGTTATATTATTAGTATTTATTTATTAAAAATAGTGATTGTGAAAGAAAAAATACTGTATATAGAAATGTCTTAATAAATAACTTGACAATTGTAAATAATGACAATAGCAGTATTTAAAGACTGCAATCTTCAAATGTCATTGGAAATTATTTACGAAGTGATTTACATAAGATAATCTTCAGCAATTCAAGTCAATATAGAATCAAATATCATGTACAAGTGTGATTGTGTGTTGTGTACATGCGGCAGGGACATGCAGTGTAAACATTTTGAGATCGCGCAGGATCATTTGTAATTGTATCACTTTAAATATTCCACGGCAAAAGTTTTCCCTCCAATTGTCGAACATATTTATATGAACGGTCGTCCACGACTCAACCATTCGCAACAGTAAACTTACCCAACATACACTCTCTTCCATTCGTCCACTAAACTTACCTAATCTACAAAATGGCAAGAAATTTGGTCCAAGCATCTGGTGTCGAAATCGCCAAATTCATCAACTCGTTTGACAACATTTTATTTGATTGCGATGGTAAAGTATATGATTAATAATATTGAATTGCAATGCTAATTTTATTTTCTTTACTGGTTCAGGTGTTATCTTGCTTGGCGAAGATCTGATACCCGGTGCTAAAGAGTCCATTAATTGCATGAAAGAGATGGGCAAAGAGATTAAGCTCATCACGAATAACTCTTTCCGCACAACCAGAGAGTGGGACGATATCTTTGAGGACGTTGATTTGGACTTCACTAGCGACGACGTCATCTTTCCCACCAAAGCTGTGATCAATTACCTTAAAGGTAAAAACTTTAATAGGAAAGTTTTCGTTTTGGGTCAACCTGCTATCGTCGAGGAACTAAATAATTTTAATATCGAGGTTTACGATTACAAAGACGTAAGAAAAGCACTTCATTAATTAATATATGTACTCAAATTAAGTTATTCTTTATTGAATTAGTGCGGATATTTGAATCACATCACCGATCTGGAGGAGCACATACAGGATGATCTGAATGTTGGCGCCGTGGTTGTTGATTTGGATTTCAATCTTACGTATCCGAAGTTGATGAAAGCGGCGATGATTTTAAAAAGGCCAGATGTTCACTTTATATTCTGCGCCACCGATAAGACTGCACCTTTTGGCGAAAATTACAAGATCATTGGGTCGTATTTCATCGGTGAAACGTTGGAAATGATCACTGGAAGGAAACCGGTGATCCTAGGCAAACCCAGCATTACCTACAACAACTTCGTTAAGAAGAACTACAAGAAAATAGACCCTGCCCGCACATTATTTGTTGGAGACTCGTAAGTTATTTCACATCATGTTGAAAATCAATTATACTTCCACTTTTTTTTCAGGTTAATGACTGATATGCTGTTCGCCACAAAATGCGGTTACCAGAAACTGCTTGTATTGACTGGGACGACTGATTATGATGGCATGATGAACTGCTCGAAAGAAATCAAACCAAAATATTATTTGGAAAGCTTAGGGGATTTGTATAAACTCATCAACTGAACTCAATTTAAACAGTATTTGCCATGGACTCTATTTATTTATGTATTACATATTATTTTTGTATGTATTTTTGGATAATCGTTTTATAAATAAAAATAAACTGAATAAAATAAACAAATATTTTTTGTAAAAAAAAAACAGACTGCAAACAATTACATAATATTTGCAGTGTTTGATACACAATTGATTTACAATAGGTAGGTTTAAACATTTCTAAACTATAAATAAATTATAAATCTTTATTCGATTTGAAAGTTCTCAATTAGTCCGGATTCAAACAATCCTCAATGTAGTCTGAACCGATTGGCCGGATTATGCGAGGTATACAAATATTAAACATTTTAATTACATTTTTAATTTAATTTAGTTTAGTTAAAAAATATATATAATTTATTTGTCAAACCAATATAATTATAAATCATGCATTCTCAATAAATTATTAAGGAACATATAATAAAAATATTTATTGAATCATTTTATTTACAATAAGAATGAGAATTGAAAGCAGATTTTTCTGTCAATTAAAATAATAATTCATTAAATTATTGTATATAGGAAAATGTTATTAAATGGGATTATAAATAAGACTAATTGCACCAAATATGAATTTAATGGATTATTAAAAAATAATTAAGTTCAATATATTTTGTAATTGAAGTGCTACATAATACATTAAGTTCAATTTATTGATTTCTGATAAACAGATTTTAAATGTTACATTTTAATCACATTTAAATTAATGTTGATGCCACAAGAAGCTTCGAAATAATTGTATGTTAATTTGTCCCAATTGGGAACAAACGAATATCGATTTAAATCTTTCTATCCATATTTGATTAATGATATTCTAATAATTTAGTATTATTATTTACTTAAATACCGAGATCAAATTATATGGAAAATTTCTTTGTTATTATATCTATTTTTATTGTTGTCAGTATTCAGTTTCATGTTCACAGTTTCTTGCATATAGAAAACTTTCCATTCACATTAACAGTTTTTTTTTGTGCCTTTGTGTACATGCGTCTTCCACGTGAGTTTATTGAGATATATGTAGGGGTTGCAGCGCAGTGGAAAGTTTTAGGGATTTTATGTTTGGATTGGTTGGGTCGGTAATTTTCCATGCTACATTATAAATTCTTTGAATTGTTGAAAACAGTACGACAAATTCACTAATTAATGTTTTTTATCGTCACTTTATTGTTATTGACTAATTTTTATTAATAATATTAATAACAAGTTAAAGACATATGTAATAAAGTACTAAAAGTATTTAAAACTAGTTTTTAATTTGTATCTCTATTATTATGATTAATATAATAATAATATTTAATAAATTACAAAAAAAACTTTAATACAATAATAAAAATAAAAAGTCATTTGGTGCAAATTGCATTGACGTGAGTTATAGATTAATTAAAAGCATATACTATTGTTTTGTTATTATCTAAATATTTTTAAATTCGCAGATTAATTTAATATTATTTATAATTCTTAAATAATAATTTTACTATTTAGTGAAATAGTAACTTGTACTAATTATTAGTTCAGAAAATATTCCACATGTTAGTTATCAAAGGAATTATTTGAAAATCTTATATGCAGAGAATTATTTCTAATCGATATTTAACTTGTTAAATGCTTTCATAAATATATAATTATAATGTTTTCTAAATACATAATAAAAGTAATTAATAAAAGTAATTAATTTATTATATATTTAGAATACATAATTAATTATAATTATTAAAAGTTCGTCTTTTAACAAAATCTTATGGAGAGGATCTAATGGAAAATTTTCGTGAGATATAGAAGAAGGGGGAATTCACCCTTGTCAACGCATATAAAAGGGATACCTCTTCTAATAAGAATTCTGTCTTCGTCAGTCCTCACGTGAATGCTGGTGATATTAAGGTAAGAAACTATTTTTTTATTATTATTTTAAACTTGTTAGTGCATATACAATTATTCAAATAATTAATTAAATTATTTCAATAAAAAAATATATATGTAAATTGTGTGTAAATATTCTTAAAAATATTTAAAAACAACAAAAAAAAACAGTTGAATGAAAAATATCTGTACATCTTTTGATAAACCGAAATGTTCCCAAACTAAGTAGACATTAAAGTTTTAGTGTAATTACTAAAACTTGTTTTAAGAAAATTTTCTGTAATCTAATTTTCAAATATTTATTTTGTAAACATGGAAAATAATAATCACCAGGCCACGGTATTCTCATCTTCAAGTTAAAAATTATTTGCAGGTTTTGATGTAATTGGGTAACCTCGTATTAATATTAGTGCAAATAGATTTTGATTGGATTGTTTAGGTTTTTTCTGTCTGCCATCATCGTTGCTTGTAATTGAAATTGGCCTCAATGATGTTATTAAATAATTTTAAAATATTCCACGATTTACTTGCAGACACATACAAACACACACACACATACACACGTAATCCAATAGCGAATTCTGAATAGAATTGTTTACTATGGTCAGTGCATGTGCAGATAACTTGCTTCAATTTGATCATCATCCATTGTATAATGGAAACATTAAATTGTGTTCGTTACATAATCGATTTTTGTACTTCTATTATTTTTTGTTTACGTATCAATCTGATAAGATATTGATCGATTATTTAGAAAAATATATACCGACAATTAATTGGCGATCAGAATGGCAAATTGAAGTACGTTATGGAACGTTATCTCTCTAAAATACTTCTAATCAATTTCATAATAAATTAAAATCATAGAATTTTCATGGAATTAATTGTTGTGATTTTATCGAAGATAACTTTTCGAATTAAAAACAAACATGTAAAATGACTACAATTTGTTCCAATTGAATAAATCTTATTATATTAATAATACATGTAATTTGTTATGATACTTTTCTCAGAAAGAACACGTAATAATTACTTTTGAATATATTTTGTATGTAAAATATTTGAAATGCAAATTACATAGTTAATTTGGTTGTACAATTTAACCAAATTTTCAATTGTATTAAAATCAATAAATGTTTCCAAATTATTGAAATGTTATCAATTTTTGTAAACTTTTATTTATTTTCTTTTGATGGATACTAATTTAAATTCGGTTATTTAATTTTATTATTTATTTTCTTAATATTTTGGATTTAACTTTTGTTTGTTTCTGATTATCCTGTACAATAAAAAATATTAATTATTATTAGATTTTTTTTTAAATTTGGTATTAAATTGGCAGAATTCATATATTTGTCTATTTTTGTTATTTTTTCATATTTGGATATAATTTCCCTTTGTTTATAATTTAAAAGTTACTAATAAGTGTAAAAATAAATATATTTTTACAACAATTTATAATATTTAAAAATCAATTTAGTCAATTTTAATAAAAAGTATAAATAATTTAATCTTTGAAGTAACATTCAAGAAAATCCACGAGTGTAAACAATGTTATTGTTATTTATATAAAGTATTTATAAAAAGAGAAAGAAAACATTTCCATTTGGAAAATATTGAATGCGCGTGCAGAGAGAGGTAAATAAACGTGCGGTTATCGCGGATACTCCTAGCTTGTAAACAAATATTGACGCATAATTGTAACGAATATGTGAATGTTTCGAATTATCGGTGTGTGGGGAATCTCCTCCAGCTGCGGAGACCGATACTTTCCACTACAGTACAAATCGGTGGACCCGCTCAATTGATATCAATTTAAAAATTCCACTATTAAAACTCCCGCCCGTTTTCTTTTGAATGCAGCAAATAAAATAGAGCCGCAGGTCCCGTTTACCATACACTTCATCTCTTGAAGCTAAACCAAGATCATCTAAGCAATAGCTATACCAACCAACCACTACTTTAACAATCGCAATGGCTCCAAAGAATTTAGCCGAAGTTCCCGCTGAAGAAGTCGCAGCTTTCGTCAAGTCCTTCGATAATATCTTATTCGACTGCGATGGTAAAATAATTGAAATTAGTTAGTATTATTGTAATTGAAAATATTGTTTTTTTTTGTATTAGGCGTACTTCTATTGGGTGAAGATATAATTCCGGGTGTTAAGGATTCCGTCAACTCGATGAAGGAGATGGGTAAAGAAATCAAGCTAATCACTAACAACTCTTTCCGCACAACGAGGGAATGGAACGAGATCTTTGAAGACGTCGAACTGGAATTCACCAGCCACGATGTCATTTTCCCTACCAAAGCGGTTATTCACTACCTGCAAGCCAAGAAATTTAACAAGAAAGCCTTCGTCCTTGGTCAACCGGCGATGGTCGAGGAATTGAAAGAATACGGAATCGGCGTGTACGACTACAAAGATGTAAGTATAATTCTTTAATAAATCGATGCAAATATGTAATCGCTGCTATTTCAGTGTCCCAAATTGAAACACGTTTCGGATTTGGAAGATTACATCGGCGATGATTTAAGTATTGGAGCGGTAATAGTTGATTTGGATTTTAACTTGACCTATCCGAAGCTGATGAAAGCGGCGACAATCTTAAAGAGACCCGACGTCCATTTCATCTTCTGCGCCACAGACAAGACTGCACCGTTCGGCGAAAACTATAAAATTATCGGCTCGTACTTTATCGGAGAAACGTTGGAGATGATTACCGGAAGGAAACCTGTGATCTTGGGCAAACCTAGCGTCACTTATAACAACTTCGTGAAGAAGAACTACAAGAAAATCGATCCAGCCCGTACCTTGTTCGTTGGCGACTCGTAAGTCTTATTAGCACCATAATTGACCAAATTTCATAACAAGACATTTTCTTTTTCAGTTTGATGACTGACATGCTTTTCGCTACAAAGTGCAATTACCAAAAGCTTCTTGTTCTTACGGGGACGACGAGTTACGAGACAATGATGAGTTGCAGCAAAGAAGTCTCGCCCAAGTATTATTTGAGGAGCTTAGGAGATCTCCATAAATTGTTGAACTGAAAATTTCCCGCCCACAACAATTAAGTGTATATAAGTCTATTTTATATCTTGTAATTTATATATTTTTATATGCGTATGTACTAAATAGTGTGACTGACACGTGATAATCTTATAGTTCTATGCAATAAATATAAACTGAAAACGTGATACACGTATCTGCTTTGTTAACATTCCTTTTTGAACAAATAACATTTACAGACAAAGTTCTGTATAAACATAGATTATATGTTCGTCACCTGCTAAAACGTGACTCAACATGCAATATAAATAAAATAAACAATATCTTCATTAGCCTTGCATATGTTATATATAGTAGGGTTGGCCAATTTACTGCATTTTATAACATTTTCCAAAACTATAATTATATATTTGATGCTTAGTTTACGTGTTAGTATTTGAAATTAGTTTATTTTAATACTTTCCAGCCCAGTGATTTCAAATGTAATCATAAATTTTTAAATTCAATTTTGTCTTTTGACGATTAAAACTGTTGGAACCAACAGTTGGGAATATTCAATAATGAAAAAAAAAAACTGGTAAGATGTTTTTTCTGATTAAGAAAGTGCTTTTTATAAAGATTTGAATAAAACAATTTTTTTTAAATTTGGACTGGAAAGGGTTAAAATATAGAAATCAAATATTCAGTAGCCCATTGTAACAAATCAATTTGGTTTTAATTTTCTTATTATGTTATTTTGTTGAGTTTCTTATTGGTAATTGTTTCAATAAATGTTATTATTATTACTATTTTGGATATAATTTTGAAGATCACACTTACAAGGCTACAAGTTTATAACTTAAATGTAGGACTACATTAAATAATGATAAAAGAACATTAATAATTGAAAATGTCTGAATCACAACAATATTTCTATTTACTTACAATATTGACATTTTTGTGAAATCTATTTATAATTATGGAATTACTTTTTATTTAAACAAATAAAATTAAAAATATTAATTAATTAACAATTTGGCTAAAGAGCTATCGACCAAGGTTTTTCCGCTCCTAAATAAAATCATTTGCAGGATTTAAATATTATTGCATGTTTAAACACTTTATATTTAGAAATAATTTAGATAAGATTCTTAAATTAAAAAGGAGCAGTATATTTAATAAAACGAGATGAATGATGCGTTGCAGAACTAAAATTTGTTAATCTAGTTTGTTTTGAGATTTCATTTACACATAAAAAGATATTTCTCAGGTGATGAATATAATCGCACATATAAATATATGCTCGCTCTTTTTTAGTCACAATACAAGTTCACATCATCCGCAAAATGGTTATAACCAAACCAAAAGATTTAGCGAATGCTAGCCAAGATGAAGTTAAGACGTTCATCGAGTCATTTGATAATATCTACTTCGATTGTGATGGTAAGCTCATGGAATAACCATTGCATAATTTGATTTTATTAATTTTTTTTAATTAGGTGTGTTGATGCATGGTGTTAATTTGATACCTGGCGTGTCTGACACGGTCAAAATTTTACGCGATTTAAATAAAAATATGAAAATAATTACTAACAACACGTTTCGCTCGAGTGCTCAATGGAACGAGCTGTTAATGCAGAATAGGATGAACTTCTGCTACGATGATATCGTTTCTCCCACCAAAGTTGTGATTGATTACTTAAAAAAGTTGAATTTCAATAAAAAAATCTACGTGCTGGGAACGAAGATATTCAAGGAAGCGCTCATCGAGGCCGGCTTTGATATTCTGGAATTCGATGGAGTAAATTTTTGGAGTAAGAAGAGTTGGCTATGAAACTATTCTCAAATTATTAAATTGCAGGAAATGATCTTTGATATCGATGCATGTTTGGATAACATCACGGACAATTTGGATGTCGGTGCGGTTATAGTGGAATTCGATTTCAACCTCAACTACTCTAAGCTACTGAAGGCCACTATGCTACTCAATCGACACGATGTTCACTTCCTGTGCTGCGGCTTGGATAAGAAGTACTACATCAAGAACAAGATGAACGTCTTAGGTGGCGCATGACAAAAATATTTTGTTGGTTTGTGCAACTTTTGATTGCCGTTTTCAGGTTCGTTTTATTGCATCAATGGCTTGGAAACAGTAACTAATAGAAAACCGTTGGTATGCGGTAAACCGGGGCCGCTGCTTCAAAGCTTTCTTGCTAGTAACATTGGATTCGACCCAGCACGCACTTTGTTTGTCGGAGATTCGTAAGACATTCAACGCTCGAAATTTCCCCTTGAAAACTATATAAATACTCATTTTAGTATGGACAGTGACATAAAATTCGCTCAGTTCTGCGGATTCCAGCAGCTCCTTGTTTTTACTGGCATCACGAAAACAAGTGATCTGGAGAAAGGTTTTTACAGCGAGTTGCCTAAATATTGCATGGACTCTTTAGGCCATTTACACAAACTCATTGAAAGTATAAAGTGAGTTTATTTGAAAACTATTTAAATATTTCATATTTGTTATATCTACCAAATAATATATTTTTAATCTTATAATAAGTTATTAATTTAATATTTTATCTACATACATGTACAATAAGTCTAATATATATATAGTTATGTAGTAAATAAATATTACTTCACGAATACATTTTAAAATACAATTTTTGCACAAAGTGGTACTTTTTTTTAATAAATTTATTATTTACAATCGTTATACGGCCGTTCTTTATACGGCATTTCGCTATAACGACCTTTTTTAATTAAAGCATTTTTTTCGATTTACGGCTCAAAATGTTTCGTTAACCCTTTGAGGACCAGGGGTTAGCAGCACTAACCATTTATTAAAAAATCTATTCTATATTTGCCTACGGGCTTTCTTAAAGAACCAGAGTATTTATTAATTTACATTTATTACAACAATGGCATGTAAGTAATAATATTAGCTCTAATTAGTCTTATCCAATTAATTATTTTGTTGAATTGCATTGTATAACGTAGAAATCTAGCTTTTTTTTGTTATGGTTAGTACTGTTAACCACTAGGATTTAAAGTATTTTTTTTAGGGTTTAAAAATAAATTGAGCAAATTTATCAAATAAAAATGCAGCAAGACGAGTTTGAAAGATTGCTAGACGATATTCCAAGTTGCGTCGAATCGCAAATTCTGATATAAATAATGTAATGGAGGATGAAGTCGCACCTATTATTTCGAATAATACAAATCTGTTCGACATCGAAAATATGGAAATTATTTTCGATGAATCCAATTAGGTAGTTGATATTTGCAGAAGACCTCATACAAGATATTGTTTTCCAAACAAATTTATATGCGCTACAAAAATCCGGAGGTAGTAACAACTTTGTACCAACAACAACATAAAAATATTTAGTGGAGTTAATCTGATAATGAGTCTGATGAAGATGCCAAGTTCTAAGGACTGTTGGTCCTCTAAAGAGGAAATAAGAGATTATTTTATTAGCTCCGCCAGACAGATTAAAATGGCTCAGTTTTATATATTATCTTCCTAGTGGTTAGTATAGGTAACCATATCCTGCAGGATAAACGTTTTTTTTGTTTAAAATTTGATAAATCTTCCTTTATTTGTAATAATAATCATATACATACATTTTATATGAGCAGAAAACATAAATCGTCGTAGATAACTTGAGTAAATCTGATATATATTTATAAAAACATCCGGGTAATCAGTTCCGCCAATATCCTGTACTTGACTAATCGAAGAATTTATATACATTTCGCTTAACGAGCAAAATGAATTGTGAAAATAATGACTCGCTTAACGAGCGACGTTTCGCATAACAAGTAACGATGAGAATAGAAGTCCCGAATTTCGGGACATCATTTGTACATCATTTTTAAAACTTGTTTACACATATTATGTGTATTTTTGACTATGTTACACTATACGAGTAAAAATCCAGAAATTTTGGAACGGTTAAGCGAGGTTCCACTGTATATATAGTAACAAGTAAGTTTTCCGTTGCTGTATTATGCTTCATCATTTACATATCTTATATATTATTAGAAAAATAAACATTGTAATTTTATTTTTTCATAAAGTAGTCGCTGATATCAAGCGACTTTTACTTCAACAAATAAGTAAATTTAATTATTTGTGATACTAGTAACAATACACTCATTAACAAATTAGAGAATTGTTCAAAATCGATTAAACTAACAAATAAATAATTATAAAATATCAATTTTAATGTAGTGATTTATACGTAAACGTCAATGTAAAAACCTAGCAATAAAAGTTAATCCTAGGCTTAACGATGAGACATGCCGTATTTTCTACTATGAATAATGGTTAATTTTCGAACCTCGCTCATATCGATCGTCGCTGTTGTGAATATTTATATTTACAAATGAAGAAACAAATGATTTACTACTTCTCTACTCTAGTAAAACAATTACTTTGCAAATTTTGAAACGTAAATAGACCTCAGAATAATAACAAAAGGAATATATTATTAGTGAGAGCAAAAAAAAATCAAAGCGAACGATAATTCCGATAAGATTGTAGCTTCCTCTCTCCGATAATCGATAAATTAACATCACAAACACCTTCATTCACATACGCATACATATATAGTGACAGAGAGTAGAGACAAGTTCACTGTAGTGCACTGGAATAATCACAATGTCGACACCGAAAGATTTAAGCCAAATACCAGCGGATGAACTGAAGCAGTTTGTAGATTCGTTCGACGATGTGTTTTGCGACTGTGATGGTAATTATAAATGGAAAATAATTATTAATATTATGATGCGTTATTTGCATTTTTAGGCGTCATTTTTATTCTGATGAAAGTGTTCGATGGCGTGCCAGATACTATTTCGACCCTAAAGAGTTTGGGCAAAAGCATACGTTATGTGACGAATAACTCCAGCATGCTGCGCGACGATTTTGCTAAAAAACTTCAAAAGCAGGGAATCGAGTGCGAAAAGGACGACATTATTAACCCGTGCAGAGCAATCATCGATCATCTGAAAGCCGCCAATTTCGAAAAGAAAGTGTACATGATCAGTTTGCCAAGTTTGCGCCAGGAATTCGAAGAGTCGGGTATCAAAATTGCTAATAAATATGGGGTATTTTAAATCGCTCTAATCTCTGTTTGCCATTTAACTCAGCTGAAACAATTTTAGGCCGAATTATGCGAGGTCAATGCTACGTCGTTTCTGCAATGCATACAGGAGTACGATAATGATGTGGGAGCCGTTGTCGTGTGCTTCGACTTCAACATGACTTACTTGAATTTGAACAGAGCTTTGAGATACATAACTAACCCGGACGTGAAGTTTCTTGCCACCGGTTATGACCAGAGGATCATCTTCAGTCCAAATCAATTTTGCATGGGACCGGCATTCTTCCACGACCTACTTCAGAGCGCTTCCGGAAGGACGCCTATATGGCTAGGAAAACCCCGAGATGATTTTGTCGAGTACATTAAGAATCAACCTAAATGTAATCCCGAAAGAACCTTATTTATCGGCGACAGGTAAAATTAAATTAAAAACAATATCGTGTACTTTACATTAATCTTTATATTGTTTGAGTTACAGTTTAGAACAGGACATGGGTTTCGCACATAAATTAGGTTTCACCAAATTGCTCGTATTGACCGGCAACACTACTCTTGAAGATTTGAAGAACTGTGATAAGGAAATGCTGCCAGATTATTACATCAGCAGCATGGCAGAACTTGGAAAATTACTTAAAAATAATTTCTAATGCGCATTCTTATTGCATTACTCTAAACTAGTCCTATTATTTTATTCTATTGATATAATTTATATCCTTTGAACAACAAACTACCAGAAACCTTGGCGGAAACCAAGCAAAATAGCTTGGCTTAGCAATATTTTTCACACATACTATTTTTTTTAATATTTTGAAAATATATATATTATCTTGCTAATTTTAATGTTGCAGCATTGGTTTTTAAATTGATTTATATTTAATTATTTTTTAATCGTCAAAGTACTTCATACTATCTCTCATTTATAGTCAAGATTATAATCAGATACCTATGCTATTTAAAGCAAATTCTAATGTAATTATTACATAGCAACAAAGGATTTATTTATATCTTGATTTAGATTCAGGCAATACATAATTGCATATGATTGAAGTTAACACCCATATGAAAGAGTTAAAGATTCAAATATACTCGGCGAAGAGAATCCAGTAAGTAACGTTCAGCAAAGCGAATAGAAAAGGAAAGAACACCCGGGAAAACCGATCAATGTTGATAGCCCTATTTCTAGCTTTTTGCGCTGGACTCGGCGATGGTGGTACTTTTTTAGCGGCAGTCAGCAAGAGGCTGTTCTCCTTAGCAACTTCAAAAATGGGATCCTTCTTTGGAGGCGCCGGAGGTTTCGGTGCATCCGAATCACCTAGCACGATATTCACCAAACAATACTCCATCAACGCCATGAATACGAATCTATGAATCAAACGAAGGATTAAAAGTTTACTCCGTTTTTCAAAGCAATCACCGCTTACATTGTACAAGTGGACATGAATGCATCCACTGCTTTTAGATACGAAACCGGTGGGAGGGCTGCCTGACTTTTCGCATGTTGAGTGGAAAGGGTTAAAAGAGATGTAACTCCAAGTGTGACTCGAGCCGGTGCAGCCTCAGGTTTTATCCAGAATGATACCCACTGAAATGCGAAAAAATAAATACAATGCAAAAGTAAATCTAAAGATAAATTTAATTGTAAGAATGTGCACTTACGGACATAATTACAATGAGGCATGTGGGGATATAGGTGTGAAAGAGATAATAGCCCAATCTTCTTTTCAGCACGAAAATAACTTCGAGGCAGGTAAAGTTTCCTAAACAGAAATGATTTTGTATCGATGACTGTAGCATCAAGAGAATTCCATACCTGTCGAGTAGACCTGAGTACAGTCAGCTGTGTAATTTTTTACAAGAGCTAACTGCGGCAATTCAATGTTTTCATCCACAACTAACGGCACATCCGGATCCCATTGAAAGATCATGTCATCTGTGGTATGGGATACTGAACCAAATTTAATATTAATATAAAACACTCATCATCACATACGTACATATTCGATATAAGGATTTTTTCTACATTGTTATTTATTCTATTAGAATATTAAAATGTAACTGCTATAATAAATATTGGGTGAAGTAAAAAGTTCTGAGCGTTTTTTCTCTCTATTTCGAATTTTCGGATTTAGATCAATTGTGCACCATTTTCTTCGATAACTTTTGTCCATTTTGAAGGCAATTTCATAATTCCGCGATTGAAGAAGTCCTCATTTTCACAAGCCTCTCTTGAGGCCATTTTTTTTGCCATCAAGAAATTTTTGTAAATTATTGAAAAGGTGATAATCGCTTGGTGCCAGGTCTGGGCTATACGACGGACGCTCCCATCCAAGCTCTCAAAGCTTCTGGCGCGTCTTTAAAGATGTATGCAGCCTGGCGTTGTCTTGATGGAACACAACACCTTACCTATTGGCTAACTCTGGACGCTTCTCGCTGCAATCTGTTCAGTTGTTGATAGTATATGTCCGAATTGATTAACTAAACACAAAACTGTCAAAGAACTTTTGTCGCTCTTACTGCAACTTAAGCAGTATAGAGTGACAAGATGCAACGTATACATCGTATGACTCACTAAAAACGCTCAAAACTATTTACGTCAGCCAATATTATTATTCATTCAACAGTAAATAACAGCAAATAAAGCTGCAATAATATTAATTGTTCAACCGTCGTTTTTATAATTTATGTCTCAAATTTATATCGGAAAACTTGAGAAGATAAATAAATATGTAATTACGCAACCAATTTCAAATACTTACTACCAATGTTTAAATTTATTGCAGTTATATCTTCTATATATTAAAAAACATGCATTTATAGTAGTTACAGTACATATCAATCTTACAAATTAGTCAAAATATTAATCAGACATTTTTATGTTTTTGTATAATATAATTTCAGCAACTTCACTCAAATGATAAAGCATAATAGTGGTTTTTATAAGCGAAATTACAACTTCTATTAAAAATCTGTTCATGCGTAAATATTGCTTAAAACTTACGACTTTCCATTTGTAATTTACATTCTTGAGTATCGTGAGGATAAATCATAAAATTCATAACGCAAGAAAGTCGCAGCGTTAATCTGAAACATTTAAATAATGTATATGAATTATATTTTTTCTATGTTACAATCGCTTACAAATTCAAAACTATTTAAAATAATCATTAACTATATTAATTATTGAATGAAAATATCTTACTTGACCATATATAATATAGTTTTATCTTTGTATAACCATAAGTAGTGATTAGGAATGGTCATCGTTTGAAAAGTCACGGATTTTGCATTCTTGAAGAAGGAATCCGGTCTCCACATGCTTTTCAGCCAATCTACCTCGAGCAGTCGATACTCCGAAGTCATGTTTTCCGGAAGTCTCAACCTATGGTCCTTCCAAGTTTGCGCAAAAAATATATCAGCCGCATAAGTCTGGCGATAAGGAGGGCATAATTAGTAACTGTTGATATTATTTAACTATTGTAAAAAATACCATCGATCCTTCATCTATGCTATCCAAACCCATAACTGTTACGTGAAAGTAGACAATGGTGGGATTTCCATCCTTCTTGGGTGGTCGCATTTTATCATATTGCGATGGATCCTCCGGGAATATATCTTTGATCGCGAGACCGGTCCTGCATTTTAAATAAAAAGAAATTCTTGCATTTTTCCGGTTGTAGATCACAAAAATACATGAAGATACAATACTGTTAATACACCTACCGTTTAGGACGTAGATAATAATCCAGAAAGCAGAATGTTCTAGTTATTGAAATTCAATGTCGTGAGTTTTATATTGAATGTCAAAATAGGTATAGTTAAAAAAAAAACGTAAAGTGTTATACAATTTTAGTGAGAAACCAAAACAAATGTATACTAAAAAATAAGAAAACGCTATAGAATTCACGTACAATGAAGTGGGATTTCTTATACAAGTAAACTAGATTTTTAAAGTTATTTTTGGTAGAATTTAACAATTTATAGTATAAGTTATAATATAATAAGTAAAGCAAGTGCAATAAATATCTAAAAAACAATAAAAATAATATCTACTGAAGTTCAATATCTTCAATTCAATTCTACCTATAAAAAATAGACATATATTGCAAATTATGTTAAAAAAAACTATTGTTATATAATAAAGAATAAAAAGCAGATTAAATTATATCGTCGGAGCTATTCTACCTTAATATTTATTGAAATAATATCAAATACAAAAAGTGAACACAAATAAAATATGTAGTAAAATTCAGGATTCTTGTAATTATTCACGACTATTACAACGCCCTAAATTTTTATTGCTATTGAATGGTGAGATCTATTGTAAATAGCGTATTGCAATAGTTATCATTAATTACAAGAATCCTTATAAATTTTACTACATATTTTATTTGTGTTCACTTTTTGTATTTGATATTATTTCAATAAATATTAAGGTAGAATAGCTCCGATGATATAATTTAAACAGGTACCCGACAACTCGGCGACGGTCAACTGGGCATCTGCCAACTGGGCGACGAATACTCAAAAAATATATGTAATAAACTCACTTAATTTAATTATTATAATAATAGTAATGACAATTTAATGTAATGACATTTAAAATAAATTCTCGGGCGAATTTGCCAGATTATTTATTATTTATTTATAATATTATTGTATTTGTTTTGACTCATAAAAATTAACAATAAAAAATATTCTATGATAAAATTAGTTTATTAATTGTTATTATTTATTATTAATAACAATATATTTATTATAATGTATAAGTCTATTTGGTGCTAAAAGAAACTTTTATTTTCTTATAAAATTTTAATAATTATTATTGCATAATGAAGTATAACAGTTTTATAGTGTAAAAAACATCAAACGAATTGTTTAACGTTTGCCAATATTTTTAAATCGATTCAAACGTAACCCCTTAAATATAACGATATATGAAAAATGGACTTATAGTCAAAAATAATGGTTCATATATTATTATAATAATTATTATAAGTGAGTTTCTTAAAAATACTATTTTGAGTATCCGTCGCCCACTTATCCGTCGCCCACTTATCCGTCGCCGAGTTATCGCGTACCCAATAATTTAAGCTATAAAGTTTTTTCTTAACCGATATTTATAAGAAAAGAATAAATTGTGTGGAAAGAAAGTGTACAAAATAATGTCAAGGCTCAAAAGATACTAACTTCCGATCAAAACTGTGTCACAGCATCCCTTGTATAGAAGACTTAAAATTATAATCGCGCCCCCATTATCGCGCAAAACAGTGCATGAAAAAAAAATCAAATGACAGGAATACATCAAACGAAATAAATTCAGCCGTAATACGCGAAAAGCATTTGTCGTTACATTATAATACTATATTTTAACTTTAACTTACTGGAATTGTTGATAAGCGTGAGCGATATGAATTAAAGCTAAAGTAAGTAGCAGCACAAATTCACAATGTTTCGTTTTGTTAAGTCCGGTGTGGCGAATCCCTGCGAACAATGTACACATGTTTACATGAAGGTATTAGATTTAACATAAACGGTTGAATAATTTCATACACTGGGACTTGCCTTCATTACTAGAAGTCATGTCTTCATCGCTCAAAATCGCAGCATTCACTGCGAACCGCCGCACCGCATAGCCTCCTTATGACTTCGTCCAACCCTCCACCTTCGTACATCTGTCCAATAAGAGATATCAGATCTGAAGGGCAAACACAGAAGGACGGAACAACGATAGTATTTCTGAATCCTGAAAATACACTATATGTGGAGAACAATATAGAAATGTCTCTCCTTTAATTCATTAAAATAAATCTTAATTACTTGAATTGTTTTTCAATGTTTGTTTATTGATACAATTAAGAAAATCGTATTTGAAAAATAAAACAATGAAAATTAAAACAATATTTATATTGGCCCATTTAGGACTAGTGCTATCGCCTCAAGTCTTTCCACCCGCAAACCAAGCAAATGATTTTACAAATTTTATTTAATTGTTTGTAATTGTTCGAAAATACAAATAATGTTTAAGCAAAAAAAATACTGATTTAGGAACCGAAATTCTAATCGAATAATACCTCGGTTTATTATTTGTTTTGTTTTGTTTTTTGGTGTAAAATCGAATTTCTACTGCAGTGATTTTCAACTGGTGCATAGTAAGATGATCCCAGGTGCATGGCCAAAATATGTAATTAAATTATTTTCCAAAGAAGTTCGAATTAAACCGCGGAATAATAATTTAATGAATATCAATGTTATTATAATACATTGTAAATTACACTAACCAAAACTTTATTGGAAATGCTAAAAACAAACAATGATTCATTATTAATATGTTATAGTTGTAAAAAATGCTTCTTTTATTGGTTTTTTATATCATCGATTAGAAGGTAATTCATGCTTGGATCTTGAGACAGACATTTATAACAATTATTATTATCACTCTAGAATTTTGATGCAAATAATATTGACACTTGAATTAGGGTATTGCACTTCACAAACAGATAAATTAACTTGAAACAAATCAAGGTGCACTGTGCGTGAAGAATTCAAAATGTTAAAAAAATCGCATATTATTTTTTTTTTACAAATGTTATAAATATTCCTATCGCTTGTTAAATCATTTAAGAATTTAAGGTTTTATTGCAAAACAAATCAATATATAATATTTTCTGTTATCTATGTGGGAAGAGAACGAATAACAATATCAGTTATTTCCAAATTAAATTATAGGAAAAGTATATTGTTACTTAAAATATAATAATTTTGCAACGTTATTATAAAAATACCTCGAATTATTTAATCGTAAGGACATAATCACAATTTCTCTATATATAAAAGTGGGATACTGATAAAGTGCTATGGGAATAGATGCTTTAGCTGTTAGCGAGTCCTCGAGCACGATTCTAGTGCCAGCAGATTTGAAGTGCTAAGATCGCGATTTTTCAAGTACACTAGTATACAAAGACGTCACCGTTCGACCCCCTTTACGGGCCGCCAAACAACACCCACACCATACATTCAACAACATCATTACACATAACGAAATGCCGAATTTTAAGGTACGTAAAACTTCCAAGAGTAGGAATAACAAGCATAGCAAAAACAGTTCATTATAAATTTTCAACAGTATGAAAGAATTCATTGAAACGCATGATAAATTTACGTAGTTCGATGTTTCATTTTATATGAATGAAAGCGATGATTAAGTTTATCGGTGTTTCATTTTATTATTTTTCACAAAATATTTTATATTTGACAATGTATTGCTCGGGTCTAACTTGAGATTTATTAATAAATTCAAATAAACACAGAACTGGAACTATCTTTATTTCAAGCAATTAAAAATTTTGTAGAAATACAATTCAATAAACGTTCTCACAATATGCATGCTTCGAAATGGTTGCTCTCCACAATCCAAAAACCTAATGAATACGGAGGCAGAACGATCATATTAGACGTGGAAACGACGGGAACGAAATCGGGCAGTTCATAATTCGACTTCAGCACCAGCAATTCATCGTTCAAATAAACGGTTCTAAAATATTAGCAAAATGATGCTGCGAAAATCAATATTTGAGAAATCACCTTGACAGTATGGAAACGTGAGTTTGAATTATGAAAGCATGTATTCTATATTTTTCTAATAACTTGTATTCTTGCTGTTGAATTCGAATTATCGCCTCGGAATTTCTCATATTCATTCCAAAAACTGAACAAATTAAATATATGTATTAGACTCTAATATAATTAGACACTTTATATATTTTGGCGGCTCCAATAAGAATAAATCATTGAACACCTTTCAATTAAAGATACCTGTTACAGCTGGTCCTTCGACGTACCTATTCTTGGGCGTACAGTGGCAATAGAATCTAACCTCCGGTGGAGCCACTAAATTACATTTAATAACCTCTTCATCCACCAAGCGCTTATAAAGAACGCTTATCCACCAATCCTAAAGTTATGTATAATTAAAACAACATTTTTATACATCTTATATATAGTTTGCCCTTACTGGATTTGGAACGTACATATCACTGATCAATGCGTAATGTCCCTTAAAGAAGGACTGTCTAATAACGACTTCTATGCCCATTCTTGCCGACAAACCCAGCTTGTCCAACCATATAAACGTGGATACATATCTATCGGAAAAACCGGGCGCTCCTCCACCATACGCCGATGACGTTTCGCCCAACCATAGTGGTATGTAATCCATATCAAGCTTCTTCACAGCATCCTTTACTAATAAAATTTCTGATTTTAACAAATCAAAGATCTCGGGATTTACGAAATAGTATAAGTAGGCATCTCTACCATTAAAATAATATCTGAAATATAAATACACATATGATATTATGGCCGATTATTATATATAGGAACAACATATGAGCCGTTTTTTATAAATTTAACAAGTTTATAGTGTTAAAAAGATCACCCGAATTGATTAAATTAATTCAAACGCAAATATCTCGATGTACGAAAGATTGAACACATAGTTCTCGGAAAGAAGTCACTAACAAATCTTTAAATAGAGTTCGGCACAAAAGTTATACTAGAAGAAGAAAATATGATCCAAAAATTATAAATACAGTTACCCAAACGATTCAATCAATAGGAATCGAAAATGTCTACGAAGTGGATGTTGCAGTTGCGGATTAAGCACTTGAGAGGCACTAGTAGTAATTTTATTGTGAGGCCCTCTCTAAATATTTCCAATTCAAATGTTTTTTTAGTTAACAAATGTATCCCCTGAAAAAAATGTGAGAGCGAGGGCTAACACGTTACTGTGACGCCCCTTGATTTGAGAGGCCTTAGGCGCGTACCTTTTCGCTAATCCGCGACTGGGATGTTGGTAATTTATTGAAGACAGAAGATGAAGGTTTTTCAGCGAAAGTTTGGAAAACCTTGTAAGAAAACGAACAGAAAGAAAACTAAAACAAAATTAAAGAAGTTCCTACCCGAAAAATTCAAAAAGTTCTATTTTTTAGTGAAAATTATTCTGATTTAGGACGAAGTGTTATTATTAAGCGATCAATGTTAATTACAATAACTCCATATAGAGAGAAAATCACAAACAATAAACTTTAGACTCATATTTTGAAATGTGATTTCACTTTGTATAGAGTGGGTCAACTTTGACTGTTATATTGAAACTGTTTGCCATGCAAAATTCAAATTGCCTAAAAATATGCTGATAAATTCGGGGACCCCCGATTATAATAGTTACTTACTGGTGCCAGGTGATAGCGTTCAATCTAATTTGTTGGTGTATGAGGAACTCTTTCAGATAATCAATAACTTGCTTGGATCTTGGTCGAGTAATATCAGGTCCAACGATTAGTGATCTTTCATAACGAGGATATTTTTTCAGGACCATTTGTAAATGCTTAAAATCGTACGCTAGTTGAGTAGCATTAAGTTCCACATCAAATACGTGTTTGAAGGAATTGGGCTCTGAAACATGCCCATTACCACATTTCTTAAGATAATAAAGCATTGAATACTACCGTTCCCTAATTCCCAAATTAAATCGTATTTATTTTCATCTGAAAACTTTATTAACTTTTCAGCATTGGCGCTATCCCATGTCCCGTTAGCGTGGCGCAGTAAACAATTCAAATCGAAAAGCACCGTTTGTCCTGTCTTGTTTGCCAAATCGTTCAATTGGGTCCATTGTTTACCTTCAAAAATAGTAATAATATATAGCACGTCCAGAAAAATCATCAATTTATTATACCATAATATCTACCTTCAATATTAATTAGAAGAATATTTTAAATAAATGTTTATACAAAAAATAAAAGGGATTACTTTTTCCGATTTGTCTTTGTACAACTTTCAACTATCATACTTTCAACTATTCAGCCGGTTTATTAGATCATGAAATTTATTTAGTTTTAAAAACTACTTTAAGATAAATAAATGTGAATATCAAAAATAAAATATAATAATAACTTAAGTGTGAGAAAAAAAGAGTTGAAGACACAAAAATAAGGTACTTAATAAATCAAATGTTATATATATACCTGACATATTAAAATTTTGTTTAAGAACGTTACAAAACTTTCCGTCATACGAGCATTCCCCATTGTCAAGGAAAGAATTAATTATTTTAATATTATGGTCTTCGCTGCTATTGAAAATTAATCGATCGGCCATCGTTCCACCAATGCGTAAATATCCGCCTCGAAAAGGATGCATCAGAGCTATAATTCGGTAATCACTGCGACATAAAAGAAAATTATATGCGGAAATTTAACAAAAAACAAATAAAATATGTAACAGATAATTACGTTGGATCAAACCCTTGAAAGTTATCAGCTATTAGAGATGAATCTAAAGCAATACTTAAAAAATGTTTGTCCACTATTAGCAGCGGCCTTTTCGCATCGATCACAATTATATTGACTTCTGTTTGGAATGGTTGAAATATATAAAGCAATATTATCAGAAGAATAGTGAGCACCAAACCCACTACAAATTTTGAGATCCATTTGTCGGAGAAATCTGTAACTAAGTAAAATTGATAATTATATTACATCAATACATTTTATATATTTTAATGAAGTTGAATATATAATATTATAAGACATGAAAAATGTTTCCATAGTGTCTTTTTAGGAAAACATTGTAAATTATTGTGCATACTAAAGCAAAATTGCATTCAACCTTCAATAACAATTTATATAATAGTGTATTCTATATCTAATTAATGTTTCGCTTATATTTTATTATTTTTTGATAAAAAGCAATTTACAAAATTTATAAGTTTCCTATGTAAACCCCAAATGTAATATTTTATACACAGTAAATAAGTATTGCCTCTTCAATTTATCTTATTTCTTATGTTTACACTTACAAAATTTGCATGTTAATTTCCTGTAGCATCTATTATTGCGCCATCCTCCCTCAACCGACAACCTCGGATTAAGATTGGCACTTCGATGCATTATTCCCTATATTGAAAAGAAAGATTTCACAAAAAGAAATTATTAAACATATTTGACAAATTGCTGACAAATTTTTCTAACCTTTCAATTGTTTTGTTTATAAACTATGATTGAATTAAAATAAAAATATAAACATCTAAAAGAAAATTAATGAACTATGCCCTTCTTTGAATATGGTTAATTTATAATGATAAATACAACCAGTTATGTCCAATTACGCCAGAAAAAATCAACTTAAATATATATAATAATCATTTTACTCAAATGCGACCATTTGCGACTGGAGATTGGCGTCAACATGACGCGGAGGATTTGCTTAATGCAGATTAATGTATCCCATGTACCATGATGTATCTAGATGTTTCTGGCAGTAGCAGGCAGGGCTTTTCCAAGAGGATAGCAGGATATCAGTTCTTTTTTTGCAATAAAAAAATCATATTAATTTATTCAAGTAAAGAAATAGATTACTTAAATTACAGAATGCTAATGAAATGAGAAATAATAAAAAAATATAATAATATTTCGGGAGTACATCATTTTTGTGTAAATTTACAGATTTTATTAAAATGTAGTTGTTATGTTGGTAATCATGGCTGTCATATAACTCATGTATGTTTAATCATATTTTTTGACAAAGCAAGTAGCATCTTTAGTTGTTTTTTTGTAAGTTTTATAACTTCTTGAATATTTAGTTATAATGGCGACATCAAAAACAACGAATACGTATAATCGGCAGAATTGGGAAGATGCGGTAAGTTAATAAATTGATAATATTTTCATGTTTTAGTTTTAACCTAATTTATGTTTAGGATTTTCCAATCTTGTGTCAAACCTGTCTTGGTGACAATCCATACATTCGTATGACTAAGGAAAAATATGGCAAAGAGTGTAAAATTTGTGCTAGGCCATTCACAGTTTTCCGATGGTGTCCAGGGGCAAGGATGAGGTTCAAGAAAACAGAAGTATGTCAGACATGTAGTAAGCTGAAAAATGTTTGCCAAACTTGTTTATTGGATTTGGAATATGGTCTTCCTATTCAAGTAAGTAAATTTTAGTTACAATAAAAATCATTTATTAATTACACATTTGTAATTTAGGTACGAGATGCAGCATTAAAGATGAAAGATGATGTGCCTAAGAGTGATGTGAATAAGGAATATTATATACAAAATATGGAAAAGGAATTAGCAATGGGTGATGCTGGAGCTATCTCTGGTAGTAAAGTGAATGAGCCTAATGAAATTCTAATGAGACTTGCAAGAACAGCTCCTTATTACAAAAGGAATAGGCCACATGTGTGTTCATTTTGGGTGAAAGGAGAATGCAGAAGAGGGGAAGAATGTCCTTATCGACATGAAAAGCCCACTGATCCTGATGATCCACTTGCTGATCAAAATATTAAGGACAGGTATTATGGTGTTAATGATCCTGTGGCTGACAAATTGCTTAAGAGAGCTGCAGCAATGCCTGCTTTGCCACCACCAGATGACAGAAGTATTACGACATTATATATTGGTAACATTGGCTCTCTATTGGAACAAGATTTAAGAGATCATTTCTATCAGTATGGTGAGATTAGATCTTTAAGTGTAGTGGCAAAGCAACAATGTGCCTTCGTACAGTACACGACTCGACTGGCTGCAGAAAATGCGGCGGAGAAAACATTCAACAAATTGATTCTTGGTGGACGTCGTTTAACTATTAAGTGGGGACGTTCACAGGGTCGATCTGGAACTTCTGTAGTAAATCAAACTGCAGAAACTTATGAACCTGTGCCTGGATTACCTGGAACGCTGCCAGAACTAAGTAATAACTTCTTCAACTTAGAGCCTGGACACATTCCGCTGCCTAATATGCCTCCACCGCCTTCTCTATTAGTGCCTCCAATGTACCCACCGCCGCCGCTACCTCAGTTTTTCTTCAACACTCGTCTGCCGACTTTCCCACCGCCAGACTTAGCTGCGGTTAGACCAGCTACTAGCACTAGTGCTATTGAAAATGTTGCAATTGTCAACAAAAATAACGTTCATTATCCTAGCCAGGATCCATCTAGATTAGGAGCAACGCAGTTACATGCAGATTGTCAAGAATAACTGTAATATTTTTATACTAATGGTATATAAATCAATAAATAATTTCATTTTTAATTCTGCTTATTTATTTATACAACTATACTAACAATACAATATATTTTTATAATAGATAAACTTGCAATTTAAAATTCCTATAATTAAATGATTCACTGTACACGTCACAACGATATAGACTAAAATTACAATTGTGCAATTTGGCCAGTCTATACAACGCCTTGTCTGAATACACACAGCCAGACATCTGCAATTAGTTATATTTCAGGTGTTAATTAATAATAAAAATGGCTTTTTCGTCGCAGATGCCAGATAGAAACTTTCTTTGGAGTGTTTTTCAAAGGTAAGATGTTAATTTACTATATTTTATAAAAAAAATACATTATTTCTATTTTCATTACAATTTAGGGTGGATAGAGATCGAAGTGGTTTCATAAATGCTGATGAACTTGGTTGTGCCCTGTCCAATGGTTCATGGAGTCCTTTCAACCCAGAAACAGTCCGTCTTATGATTGGTATTTATTACATTAATAGCATAATCATACTTATCAACTTATGAAAAAAAGGCTTTATTGAAATGCTGATAATATATAGATTATAATTTAAAAAAATAATATCATAATAGAATATTATTTTAGGTATGTTCGATAGACAAAACAAAGGACAAGTGAGTTTTGAGGATTTTGGTGCACTTTGGAAATATGTAACAGACTGGCAAAACTGTTTTCGCACTTTTGATAGGGACAATTCTGGAAATATTGATAAGAATGAACTAAAACATGCTCTGACCACTTTTGGTTACAGACTTTCTGATGGTCTCGTTGACACAATGTTAAGGAAGTTTGATAGGCATGGAAATGGAACCATATTATTTGATGATTTTATCCAATGTTGCATCATCTTATATGTAAGATTCATGGTATTAATATTCCTTATAACATTTACTATATTTTTTGTATTTTAGACATTAACATCTGCATTTAGACAACATGATACAGACTCGGATGGTGTTATCACAATACACTATGAACAATTTCTCAATATGGTATTTAGCTTGAAAATATAAGTGCTATGATTGATGGAAAAAAATTGCTTCAACGTTTCTACTTCTAACATTTGTGTCAAATTTAATATTGATAAATCTGTACATATATCTATAACCATAGATATATATTTATATATAACTTCAAATACATATATATATCTTTAATTGAATATATTTTTTACTCTGGTGTTACTACTGAATCATATTTATTACTTAAAAAATACTTACTATTATTTTACTACTATTTTACTTTAAAGAAATTGCTGATAATATATTTTAATAACGAAAATTAATTTTAATAAAGAACATTATACTATTAGACGATCTCTTCTTGGTCATTAGATAGTTAGTAGTACGTGTGTATGTAACTAGAAGCATAATAAATTCGAGTATGTAGATAAAGGCAACCAGCTATTATTGCATCCCTGCTGTTCACAGGCTTTAAATATAGTTTATTACAAAAACCAATTTCCTGTTACAGTCATTTTTTAAAATACTGTTTATATTGCTATTTACACTATCATATTTCAACATGGAAATTTTGTTGTCCTACTTTAAAGCATCTTACGAGTATTTAAATAAGATACGAGACGTTTTGTTTACATTTTATATAAAAATATACGACAAAAATATATTGTATATATTTACCAATTTTATATTACGGTTTTTTTTTTTACTAAAAGAAACAAAGATCTATAAATAACTGTCAAATTTAAAAACTTAGGAAATATAAATTTCATAGGCGGTAGCTGGCGAAATTGTGCTTGACACAAGCTAAGTGGAGGGAGTGGAGGTTTATAAAAGAAGAAGAAGATAAATTTCATACCCATTAGTCTTTTTAAAATAATATTAATACGGTAATAATAACATGGGCATAGTATGGGAAATCGGTCCTGCCAATATCGCTCAATTAAAATTTAGTTTACTTGAACTATAGTTTCACTTGAACAGCATAGTTCGTTCTTCTTCGTCTCCTGAATCTCCCTACTGCTACGTGCAATTCGTACATTAAAATCACCGAAGTAAATTAAATTTAAAAAAGAAAACAGAAATAGGAACGTAATAAAAAATAAAATTGGTTTCGGAAGATAATATATTTAAGGAAATATGTTTATTTGAAATAAATTCGTTTAAAGTTTCATATTCATTACCATATTCAAGAATTGTTCATATTGAATGGTAATCACACCATCTCCGTCAGCATCGTGTTGTCTGAAGGCAGAAGTGAGGGTCTACAAAAATACATATTATTGGAAATCTGTTACAATCGCATGGTAGACTTACATGTAAGACAATGCAACATTGAATGAAATCGTCGAATAATATAGTTCCGTTACCCTGTCTATCAAACTTTCGGACCATGGTTTCAACCAAACTCTCGGACAATCTATAGCCGAAGGTGGTTAAAGCCGTCTGAAGCTCGTTTTTATCAATATTCCCTGAATTATCGCGATCGAAAGAACGAAAGCAATTCTGCCAATCGGTGACGTATTTCCATAATGCTGCGAAATCATCAAAGTTCACCTGCCCCTGGTTCTGCTTATCAAACATTCCTAGTAAAAGAAATAACAAATTACAATAATAAATCATTTTTCAAGGTAGAGGTAGATGACGAAATTACCAATCATTAAACGGACCGTTTCGGGATTGAATGGACTCCAGGTACCATTCGATAAGGCCATGCCCAGTTCATCAGCATTGATTAGGCCACTCCTATCCCTGTCCACTCTTCAGTGAATATAAAAAAAAACAAATTACTTATTGCCGTGCCTTATGGACGTTCAGTATGAATTTACCACCATGTGTACTCAGCAACATTACTATTAATGATATTTAACACAGCAACATTTAATTTTGTACTTTCGCATTAGCAAGTTTATTACCTGCAATTCTATTTTTAGTTGGGTTTCCAGAGAAACACGCTGACAGTGCGGGTTTCTGTTTATCCACTTAGTTTAGTCTGGTTTAGTCATATTATTAAACACACAAATAAACAATGCTGCATGTTAGACTCGTTTTATAAAAGATAGTTTTACATTTAATTGCAAGTTGAAAATTCTGCCCATACTAAAATCCATGTTATAATTTTTCAAGTTTTATGCTACAAGTGTCAAATAATTGTGCCAAAATGTTTACTTTGATATTAATTAGGAATAATGGAACTATGTAAGTATATTTTAATTATTAGTTAATGAATAGCTTAAACAGTAGTTAGCAATGTTACACATTATTTCTAAAACATTATCAAGGACAACATGCATTACTTGCAAATATAGTTTTTGGTTAAAAGTATATATGTTAATACAGTCAAATTGCATTTGTAAATAATTGTAATACTGATAGATTTAAAATGACATCATGATCATATATATTCCAACAATTTCAAAGAAAAATTACGCAAGAAGAAACAATCTGCAATAATATTAATGTAATTAAAATAAGAATCTTAAATAAATGATCAAATATTGGCGTGAAATAAAATGAAGAAAAAATAAAACAATGAAGTAGTCCGCAAATTGGAAATATATAATTACAAAAAAATATATATAAATAATGTGATTGTCATTTGATTGAAGCGTAAGTCAGATGACTGATTAGAGCTTTATAAATACCCATAAAGGTTTATTAGAATACAATTAATTACCCATTGAACACGTCGAAAAGAAAATTTCTGTCGGGGTTCGCTACGTATGCCATCGTCGTTCAACCAACTTCTGTATACTAATTAAAGTAAAAGAACCTGTGGAAATCCCAATTCCAATAACCGTTCCGTAGATGGGCTGGGTTCGTAAATAAAGTATTATTCGGACTGATTACGTTGCTTCACTGGTTGTATACATTCCACATGCTGAATTTGACATGTAACAACAAACGCAATGCTTCTTACTCTAACAAGTTGTTTTTTCCAATACTTGTTACAAAAATTACTAATAAACATTTATTATATCCCCTCATATTTTTTTTGGCTATTTATCATTTGTTTACTGTTAGATAATTTATTAAATCATAAAGTTTTGTGTTTTAAAGGTCATAGGGCGCCATCTCTCCAACTAAGCTACTTGTACGGTTTTCATATTTTTTGTATTATGCTTTCGGACCTATTTATATCTCCAATTGATGCTTATCGGTACTCATACTTTCATTTGATTTTTGTATTACATGTACAAGTTTCGAACTCGCAACCATTGTGCGACTTGGATAACGACGTACGGTTCGCAGACCAATTTACTATCGCTGTTCTGGTTGCCGATCACTTACTTTTGTATATTATAGGCAATCTAACATACAGTTTTTATTGAAAAATAAAACTGTCGACATATAGCGTTCTTAAAAATAATACTAGGAAATTAAAAAAAATTCCAAATAATATACAGGGAGTGGCAGAGAAATGGACGATTTATAAAAAAATAAAGAATTTTATATTCATATACTCTTTATTATTATCTCGCCTATATGATTATATAATTATTTTAATCTGTAAATATCTTAAAGTTAGTCAAATTACAAGATTTTTTGTTCGTAACATTAAACATATTAAAAATATCAAATACAATTAATGAATCTAGATATTCTATCTACAAATTTGCAAAATTCAAACGAACAAACCTTTTTTTATTTGTCTAACACAAGATTAAATAAAAAGGCGTGACCCGCATTTTTCTAAATTTACATCATTCAATTGTCAATTTCAAAATAAATTATTATTTTAATCTGGTAGTCAATCAAGCCCGTATCCTGTATTCAGCCAGTACATTATATAACACCTACATTGTATTTATTTGTTTCACATAGTCCGGTTTTGATCAGTCCTGATTCACTATAGTAATGTTTGAAAATTTCAAAACAAACTAAATTTTAATTCAGCAAAATAAAATAGTCCACAATATTATTTTTTTAATACAAAAATGATAGTTTTTCTCCATTTACTAAATTATACTCCGGTTTGAAACACTCCGGGATATTGGTGGAACTGATTACTCGGACTATGCGAGGTATATTCATATTTTCAATAATACTATTCTATTAGGGTCTGTGCATAATCATTTTTCGCAGTTTCATATACTCAATTGAACTTGTAATTTTTATTTATGTTCTAAATGTAATTGTTTTGTTATCGTAGACCGGAGGAAATGATCGAGAGTAACAAGTTTGAATATATCATACAAGATGACATAAATTCCATGATTAAAAAATATCGATAAATAAACAATAAATGGGGAAAACTATTTATGACGGTTATTTGATTTTTTTATTAATATTCTTGTTATTTGCACTTTAGAGCACGTGTTCTAATTGGGAAATACCGTTTGACATGTAATATTATTTTCGGCAATTTCTATTTTTTTTAAGGGTTCATGTAATTTGTAAATAATTTAAATTGTAAATTTACGCGCAATACTCATTTGCAAATTAAATAGTCTTTAAAGAAAACAAAATGTAGTTATGAATGTTCATGTTACTGTAGTCAGGTCATGATGTTTTCATATTGACTATACTTTATGGAATTGTTATTATATGTTCGTTCCGAGACTTTAATTTGTTAATTTGGTTTTAATTTCATTATAAATGAAATTAAAAAATATCCGATAACTAGTAGCAAGCACTGATATATTTATCTTACTGCATTGCAGCGTTTTTCTTATAGATTTTCTCGAACACATATATTGTTTTTAATAGTACAATTATAAAAGATTATTAAATTTAAAGTATTTATATAATTCGCTTTACGTAAGAAATATATATGATCATTAAAATAAATATTTCTGATTATCGAACAACCGTTTATAGATTGAGATTGCGAAACGCCCTTATTAAAAAGAATGTTAAAATACGAAAAGTAAATTATGTATGCAATAATACGAGTAACAATGTTCTGTAATAAACAATGTTATAATTCCACATATAAATTGAGGTATTATAAATAATTAATTATTAAGAAGAACCACTTCACAAATTGGGATACGACAAAATTAAGTATGCGTTGAATTTCTTTCGAAATATTACGTGACATGCAATTGATATTGATTGATTGTCCGTCCGACCAATATTATTTCCTATGGAACATCTCGATTCTGTTATGAGTATACATTTGTATAGCTTCCTGTTCATCAAGAAAACAAATATTTTACATGTACTTTTTATGCAATTATTAATTATTTGTATCTGTATCGCGAAATAAACAATCTATTAATTGAACGAAGCACAATAACATTTTGTTGTAAATCCAATTCATTTACCATATTTTTTCCATTTCTGTTGGTTGCAATGCCTTCACGAATGAAGGCAAAGAAACGAGTGAAAAGTTATTAACATCATGTACTCTATAATAATATATTTAACTCATTACGTCATGCGGGAAAGGAGCGAGCATGCGCCTCTTGGAAGTGTACCATTCAAAAATTGAACTCTGTGTGTATTCTCCAGTGAGAGAACGAGTGTAGTGAAGAGAGGGCGATGTGCGTGTACTGGTTGTGATGTGTGGTAGCAGTTAGTAATAAATAAATAAAAGTGTCGGAGATAGTGATAGGGTTGGTCACCGGAGGTAGTACAGGTGGACAAGAATTTTAGCGCATCCCATTAATCACCACTTAACACCTCAAAACGTCTGCAAGATTCGCATTGCACTACTATATCACATACCGCATAAATATCGTAAAAGATTCCGTATTCCACAAAATGGTACTTACACTATTTAGTAGTATTTCTTTCTATTTTGCTTTACGTCTGAGTATATGAGAAATGAGAGAAACAAAGAGAAAGAGAGAGAAAAACAGAAAAAATAAATTGCAAAACAAACGGATGAAGCCTTGAACTGACATTCTCTTCTCGGTTTAATATGAAATATCCTCATTCAATTACAGCGTGTACCCGTTTTCGACCCAGTTTACCTTCGAACAATTAAAGTATTTTATTAATAAATCTATAATTAATATAACTCATGTTATCATCCCGACATTGAACTCCGCGTGCACTTAATGTGCACATCCGCTGTTATTTCGACAATGATCATATCGCAATGTAATGATTCACATGATTCTTTTTGAAATCGGTGGCATATTGCAATCTCGAGGTTCTTTTAAATTTATTTAATAATTCGAGAAATGTTCGGTATATTATTTTAAGTAGGTCAATTAGCATAAAACGGTTTTCGTACAAAATAATACAAAAGTGTAGCTGATAAGAGAAGTAGAGAATATATATCTATAAATAAGGAATACATTAACGTTTTCGTAATATTATTTCATATCTATAAATAGCACAGTACGGTAATGAAGTCTAATTTCAATCATTTCAATTGATTTATAATTTATGCGCATAAGTTACAATTATTATTATTTCAAGTTAAAGAAAACACTTTAATTATTTCAATTTAAATTTAACCTTAATAAAATTTTGAATAATTACTAAATAAGTAATGGTAAACATCATGAAAATAAAATTATTCCAACGATGCTGCTTATTATTTGCATGTTGAGGTTAATTTATATAAAAAATTAAATGTTTGATAACATCATAGCAATTTAATAATCCGTTTACGTTTAAAATTAAATAGGTAACATGAATAAGAAAAATCTAATTTTTATAAATATTATAACTATTTTTTTAGTAAAGTAGTCACGCAAAAAATAATAATAAATGATAACATTTTCTGTTAGTGATACTTGTCATCATAGAAAATTATGTTCGTTCTATATGAGTGCAATGTTGTAATTCCGAGTTGACACGCGTTAACTTTTTGTTTGACCTCAGCTGAAATCTATACCCACGATTTACACATTTATTAAATTAAAATTGTTTATTTGTATTATAAATAAGTAAAATAAAAAAGATAGTATACGCAATTATTACATACAGTCTCTTTTTGAGCAGTTTATTTTTATACCATTTTAAAGTCTTCGATTAGTGCGGTTTTAAACAGTACTTAAGTTATTTCATATATATTTTGTATAAGAGATAAAATGTAGAGCCTTGAGTATATTTTGGTGAAACAAGTCAAGGTCTACTACTCGGAGTCAAATTTGAATAAATTGTGGATCTCTGATGAAACAACGATGATGTAATTGAGAAAATAATATTTTTTTGTGAAATCAGTGAAAATTCCATCTATACAGACTATAATTATTTAAAAAGAAAGTGTTAAATATTTTCTTATTAATTTAGCAGCAGTTGTTACTTTTAAAATTATTTCAACGCGAATTTACGAAATTATATTAAAATTCGATGAATATCAAATCTTCAACAAGTAAATAATATCAATGATTGTAGCGAAAATTCATCTTATCATGAAATGCAACTTTATACGTATACACACGTATTATCACGTTGATATTTGCTACCGAAGTTTGTGTCCGTGAGAACATCCTGTCGCTTTGGAATTTCTTTTCGTTTCATTATAACTTGGTATGTTTTATAAAATTAGTCTACCGATCGCAATTTTTATCAAAAAAGGAAGCTTATACGATTATAACAATAACATAATACGTACAAGTAAAATGTATAGAAGTGATCATTAATTCCATTACAAAATTATTCCATACATAAAACCATTGACCTAGCGCAAGTAGGTTTTACGTCTATTATAAAATATTTTGTGAATGTTTTAACATTATGTAAAAATCTAGCAAACATCAATTTTCGAGTATATAATTAATAATTTTAAATGAAAACGAGTTACTAGAGTTTATTATCACACTCATTCATAACAAACAATAGTTGAAAATAAAACGTAATAAAATCAGAGATCCTGTATATATTTTGTATTATCATTACAAATGGAGCATATTCTCGACACTATCACGTTTTTTTACATTTCAATGTATTGTAGTTCATAATCTATATCGCACATAGTAATAATGTCAAAGTTTATCGCAAAAAAAAAGGTTGGTTCAGACCGAATTTAGAGCAATTACGTTGCAAATTATAACGTGAATTAGATGAGATGTAAGATTATTATGTTAATTGATTGATTAATTAGGTTTATAAACTATATTACCAACAATGATTGTAACTTACCTTTATACGACGTCTACGTTACGAAAAAAGATGCAGAGTGGATGAAAAGTTTAAATTTATAGATATTTTTAGACCAACGAGTAACAAAAGTAATATTAATATTTGATTGCTCGAAGGAAATTATTTGAACTTAATATATAGTTTCGAATGTATGCAGATAACGCTAAAATATGTATACAAAAAAAATAATGTTTCCAATTACCACTAGTTCGTTAAACAGAAATGTATACCACTAACAATGTTATTTCTCTTTTTATTTTCTCGGTATCCAGGCGAAATAATCAAAAATGGAAGATGACGATGACGAATTTTATGATACAATATCGGTCAATTCCCAGCTCGTAGGAGACAACAGGCGACGAAGAAGTTACTTAAGTCTCTCTAGGAACACCGTATACTATTCAGCATTCGATTTGAACATGGAACTCGAACCACTCCAGGAGAACTCCAACAGCGATTTGCAGCTGCCGCGACCAAAGGTCCCTAAAAAACCTACAACATACGCGGAGTGGAGAGAAAGGGTATCATCGCAAGAAATTGGCCAACTGAAAATCTACCAAATTTGCATGCCTCTAAGAACAATTAAAAAAAAAGAATACTTACTCTCCACTCTAATATTCAATCACACATGTATCCATAATCACTCACGGTATGGCTATCGCAATCGCCTTAATTTGATCTTTCACGCATGAAGAAAATGTGCATATAAATAACAAACTTCTAAATTTGTTTCGATTTGTTTATTATCAGTTCGCCTATAATGTTATTAAATTCCTTCGCAGACCTGGAGGAACGCAAAAGACAATGTATCTGTGGACTTCGTTCTAGCCTACGAAAATGATTGCGACAAGCGGAGGTTGTTCGAACAGAATCTCGCCGACGTCGGTTTCATCCTACAGACGGAAGAAGTGCAGAAAATCAAATTCATACTCATCCATGTGCCGCAGCACGTTCTCTACCAATACGCAGAAATCCTGAAACTCAGAATGCCTTTGAAAATTGTAAAATAATCCTGCTACTGCAAATCGGTGTTCGATTATCTGGTTAATTTTCGGTTTTCAGAACTTCGAACAAAGGGATAACAATAATTTCTTAGCTACAAGTATCAACAAGTTTCTTCATTGGTCAAGAATTAAACTGGACAAGACGTTGTTCCCTCCGAAGAATTACACGCTCACTGCGGAATTCAGTCGGGATAAAATATACTTGTAAGTAACTTTCAACTACCTTACTAGAATGATACACATTACAATGTATTTCATTCAACAACACAGGATGTGTTAAGTAAAGGTATATATTTGTAAGATTTTGTTTTATTTTTACAATTAAAATTATAAATGCATTTTAAAGTCAAGAGTTGTCTTATATAATATTTAAATGATTTGCGAATGGCAACAAAAAACTTTATAAAGCAAAATCATAGAGACTTTATTAAATTTACTTTTTGATTTTAGTCATTGCGTCACTATTTTTGCATTATTGAAAATGATTATGATTTTTTTAATAATAATTACAAAATGAATTGGTTCTATGCCTAATGAACTATCATCCGAAGTCTTTCTTTATATTATGCTGAAATTGTGACTAAATATGTTTTTGTGTCAAACTAAAGTAATGTTCAATTTCAATGTAATTCCATCATAAAATAATTTATCGCATTATCATAAGATATGTGCTTTCTCTCAAAATGTATTATTGAATCACTTTTTCAGATACATTTATTCATCTTATAAAGTTATTATATCATAATAATTTAATATTCTCATAATTTGATATAAAACATCATACTTTTACAAACCATGAAATTACTTTTTTTAAGCAAAAATAAACATCTTTAAATATATTTAAATACATAAATGCTCGACATTATTATTTTAATTTTTCAGTAAACAATGTAAATAAATATGACCATTTGTGGAATGTTTTTACATTGGAATTGATTGAAATTGAAAATAATTCTACTGTTATTTTAACTCATTTTATGTCGAACATTATTTTTGTCACAATTATAGTAGATATAAACAAATAATTTTAAATAGTTTTACATATGATATGATTAATGTTTGATAGATTATAATAGTTAAGTTATTTTTCAAATAGATATGGACTTAAAATTAAATACGTTTACAACAAAACATCAATGTTATAAAATATCGCAAGTAATGTCTTTTAATATAATGATTTAATGAAATTGTGCAACGTTTGCAGTTTAGTTATTTATCATAATTATTTAAAAAATTCCCTTATCGAAAAAGTGAATACAAAATATGATATATTTATAAATGTCCGAAGTTCAAACACATGCCTATCCTTGTGCAATTCATTATTTTTTTTCTTAACATTATTAAAAAGTTAATATATAAATATGCAAATTACATTTAATTGCAATAAATAGATGTTTATCAAAAAATATATTTATTTGATAATAAATTTCTAGGACATTAATTGATGTTTTTCTGAATTCCAATGCAATAACAAAATTTGGTGTTTTAATTTGGAAATAAATAAACAATAATTCAAAATATTATTTAAAAATATGAATTCATAATAAATAGTTTATTGATAAATGTGTTATTCTGTTTTAGATTTGATGAAAACAGTCCAGACTATTTTAATTTACAAACAAGGATCACTGTGATATCCTATATTTTAGAAAGGGAAAAGTTTGGTGACAAGGAACAGGAAAAAGGGATTAAAAAGTTGTTAGCAGAGAATATATACAAAGCAGCGTATCCTTTGCACGATGTAAGATAGACCAAATCAGAGGATATCATCCGATATTTTTTAAATTTTAATAACATGAATTTATATTTTAGGGTGACTTGAAGAATGTGAATTGTATAAGAAGAAGGCTATTAGACGAGTGGGCATCGGTGTCAAAAGGAATAAAGTATCAGCCGATCGATGACATCAAGGACTATTTCGGCGTCAAGATAGCATTGTACTTTACTTGGTTAGGCTTTTACACCCACATGCTAATCCCTGCCTCGATCTTCGGTCTGCTATGCTTTTTATTCGGCATATTGACAATGAATCGGGATCAACTCAGCATCGACATCTGCACCCAGAACATAACGATGTGTCCGCTCTGCGATAAAATATGTCCGTTCTGGCAATTGAAGGATGCATGTTTATTCTCAAAGATCACATATCTGGTGGATAATCCAGTGACGGTGGTATTTGCTGTCATGATGTCCGTCTGGAGTGCATTATATCTGGAGATGTGGAAACGCTACAGCGCTGAAATAACGCATCGTTGGGGTCTGACCGGTTTCGATCTGCTGGCTGAGCCGCCCAGACCAGAGTTCCTTACTCGCCTGGCCAATGCCAAAAAGGAAAAAATCAATGTAGTCACTTTACTTAAAGAGCCGGTAGTGCCTTATTGGAGGGTCAAAGTACCCTCAATACTATTCAGTTTTACAGTTGTTATACTTTCGGTAATATTTAAAATTCATCGGAGGCTGCTGTATATTGCAGAACTTAACTGTATTCCTTTCCGTAGATGACAGCAGCTATCGCCGTCGTTTTCGCAATAGTTATGTACCGGATGTCTCTCCTCACATCGTCCGCTTTGTATGGTGACAAATCGAGTTACAGGATTTATGTTGTTCCAGTGACTGGCGGAGTCATAAATTTGATCTGCATTTTCATACTCAACTATTTCTATAATATGTTAGCCGAATATCTGACCGAGACGGAACTTCATCGAACGCAAACCGAGCACGAGGATAGTCTGACGCTCAAAATCTATTTGTTTCAATTCGTCAACTACTATACCTGCCTATTTTACATTGCATTCCTGAAGGGGAAGTTTGTTGGATATCCCGCCAAATATAATAGAATATTCGGTGCGCGACAAGAAGAGGTAAGGGATTCAAATACTCATTTTTATAAAATACTCATATTTATAAGAAAGTCGGTAACGAAATGGAAATGTTTCGTTACCGACTTGAAATAACGCTAATACCTCGCGGCTTTGATCAGTTTAGTTCAGTTTGAAAATTTCAAAACAAACTAAATTTTAAAAAAATATGTACCAAATCCTTTGGGATATTAACAGAACCGATTTCCCGTTCTATGCCATTTATGTTGTACATCTATTAATAGTACAAATATTAATAGAATATTTCTACGTGCCTTTATAGATGCTTATAAAGGAATAAATACACTATTTCTATAGGTTTGGTAATCTATAAGGACAGTGTATATATAACGCAAACGACCGCATAGATACTATATTATGTTAACCTTCGGCCTCTATTATCCACTTATAGCAACAAATTTACACACGTTTAAATTATAATTAAATAAAAACTATTTATATGCTGCGATACATATATACAAAAATATGAGGTGCAAATATGATAGCAATCTTTTTAAGCTCATCTCGTTTCATAGGCTTTTCATAACTTGTATATTTGTATCCTTTATTATTTCATATTATCTAACTTTATATAAAATAATCTAATATCTATATTTTTATAGTGCCAACCTGGTGGATGCTTAATGGAACTGACTATACAATTAACTATAATAATGATTGGCAAACAGGCTTTCCATAGTGTATTTGAAATAATTAAGCCGCTAGCAATAAAAATGTACAATAAATTCAAGTTCAAAATTAAACCTGAGGAGGTGTGCACGCAGAACCAATGGACGGAAGACTACAAACTTCTGGAATTGGAACCCAACGGTCTATTCCAAGAATATTTGGAAATGGGTAAACTATTTTAAATGTCGCTCTCACAGACTTTACCAATAACCTCTATTATTATTGCAGTGCTGCAATATGGATTCGTGACCATTTTTGTGACGGCGTTCCCATTGGCGCCGCTCTTCGCGTTAATAAATAACATTTTCGAAATGCGATTAGATGGGAAAAAGATGTTGAAATACTTTAGGAAGCCTGTGCCAAAGCGTGTAAAAGACATTGGCGTATGGTATCCCATCATGAATACTATAGGACGCATCTCCGTCGTTACAAACGCATTTATTATTGCCTTCTCATCGCAGTTCATTCCGAAACTGGTCTACTCGATGAAATGGAACCATGACCGCACGGAAAATGGATTCTTACACTTCACGCTGACCGAATTCAATACGTCGGACTTTCAAGTGGCTGCCGCCCCGCTTAAAAATCCCAACAATGTTCAAATATGCAGCTTCGCTGAATATAGGAACGACTATGATCACGAATACAAATATAAGAGGCCCATTGAATACTGGCATATCACTGCTGCTCGCCTCGCGTTCATTGTGGTGTACCAGAATCTGGTAGGTTTCATAATAACCGCTATCCAATGGGCCATACCAGACATTCCAAATAAACTGAGAGACAGAATTAAGAGGGAAGCTTATCAAATCAACGAGAGCATCATTAGGGAAGAAAAACGAAGACGTATGTGAATGTAGTATTCAAATATTAATGGTGCATTTACTAATATAGTTTTGATTAAATTATGTTTTCAGATTTAACAACGCAAGCGAGTCGAGCGAAAATGAATTTTGTCGATGAGATTAACAGAGAGGACCAAAACGGCTCATTGCATCAACGTTTGAATCGCGTGAATAGTATTAGTAATAATACATCGGACCAAGTCAGTGGTAGTGCTTCAAGTCCGAGTGCCAATAGCAATTCAAGCTCTGAAGGCTCCACTGACCAAAGCGAATCAAACTCATAAACATACGTGATAAAAAAAAAATATATATATACATTAAAAGTTACTGCACACTTTGATATTTTATAACTGTTTAACTTGCCATTTATATATTTACAAGAAAAAAGATTGTATTTTAGTACTATTTTGTAAGCGAAATGGGTGGTTAATAACTTCTTTTTTAATATTTTTGTTTTACTTAGGTGCTTGTTTTTGAAATTCTGTACTACCTCATTGACATTTTCATAAAATAATTCTATTACATCAAAAATATACAAATATGTTAATCATTTTATATTTATTATTTATATAATATATGTGTATAACAATGGTTTTTTTTTTTGTAATAGTTCAAAAAAATTGATTATAATTGTTCTTACGAAAACTTTTTTACTGTCCACTTGATATGAAATTGAACAATTCATAATATTAAAAGCAATTTCATATACAAAGTAACGAAGGTACTATGCAATTTAAATTTGATAGTATACAATTTGTACCGAAAATCAAATAAACATAATGATTTTGTTACGATGACCATATTCCTATACATATTTTAATAACCGATGATCAACACAGCACAAATATGGAACTTCATTTTTTCATCTACATGATTTCAAAATTTAACTGCCTAGCTCCGATTACTAATGTCTGCAGTCGGATGTGTAGTCTTCCGAGACTCACCACATTCCAACTGTACTGAAACGCAGAGTCCCGGTTTGATCATCGTCTTTATGTGTTTTAGTCCTCTGTTGTGATATACATTTGCATATGATCACTAGGCGGTAGTTGCCGAAATTATGCTTTACACAAGCTAAGTGAAGGCAGGCAGGTTTAAAAGAAGAAGAAGGGTCTTTGATGGTATATTGTAATATTATTGATTATGGTAATATTTGTAGCATACACTATTTTAAGTTGTTGGTTTTCAATGAAATTATGTCTTACTTCCACCGTCCGAAAATTGGTATACATTAAGAAAAGTTAACGAAAGCAATAACTTTTTTATTTATATTTCTTAATAAATAATTTGACGTTACTTTAAAAAAAAATCCGTTCCACGTGGATTTTTTTACAATAATGAAAATCGCGTAAATTTAGTCTGTAATCTAAAAAGTATGGTAAAAAGGTTGTCAACCGTTGTTAACTTCGTCTGATTCTAACGTCTGAATATTAAAATAATGCATTATTTTACGCAAGTATAATGAGTTTTTGTAAAACGTTCACGGCAAAAAATGGGCTACGTTATTTATTTATATTTTCTGTCCGCATAAATTCAGGGACGCCTGTATTTTATCGTATCTAGAACTATTTATGTTGGGATGAAATATGACTACTTTAATCTACTGATTAACTTCTAATTCTATTCTTGCGATAATAAACACATAAAAATATAAGAAGTTGAATAAATGCGATATTAAATTATTTGTACTCTCTTGTTCAAAAAATCAAAGCATCTTGCTTTAAATACTGATGTTCATCAATATTTTTCATTAAAAACTTCCTCACAATATTCTTGAAGTGTTAATGTCACTTGAAGATGGAGGCTTTTCATATTTGGAACCTACATCAAATTACAAAAATTAGTATATAAATATAATAACAAAACTTCAATAGTACTTACTCAATTCTATTAAATTGATTAATAATTTTCTCACAGATTTCAAGTATTCCTCTATAGTTTTAGCCCTCTTAATCATACTATTTTCCAAATCTGTGGTTCTTCCCATACATCTAATGCCATATTGAGCTAAAGTTTTGTCACTGTAAAATAATTGAAACTTAACAAGTAAAAATAAGAACAATGTTTCTTGTAACAATGTTAAATAAATAATTATTTTAAATTACTAAGGCATTCCCAAACACAAAATATTATATAAGTAGTATACGTACATTTCCGAAACAATTTCCTTCTGTAATTCAGGAGTTTTCCAATTATCTTCAGACATATTCTCTACTATTTTTTGTTGATTTCCAAAACTGGGCACACGTCTTATTTGCGAACTGCTCCTCCGTAACTACTGACACTTTTTTTATGTTTTAAACTATTAAATCTTTGACTAATTTCTATGACAACAAAAAAACACACTGAATTTAATTGACTGTAGCAGGACCAAAACAGACCAAAGCTTATCGAAAATTTGATGTTTTCGCATGGGGAAAAACAATAAAAATGTTTACATTTGTCACTAGTTGCGCCTCGTTAAGAGATGTCTGGTCCCCTGCTACAGACCACTACAGACGCTTCAACATGACAAAGTTATAGGAAAAGTTTGTTATAATTTCACTGCGGCGGCGCAGCTCATTCCGAAGCGCCAAAACTATATGCGCCGCGCTTGCCCATTCTCATAAATTAAAGGTAAATATTGTAGAACTGACTCACTTCTTGGCACAGCTGAGCGAGGCGCCACTAGTGACAAATGTAAACAAATCAATAAGCTTTGGTCCTGCTACAGTCAGTCAGTCAGTGTTCAGTGGTTCACTGTATTTTTGATTGTCAGAACAACCAGTCAAATATTTTAAGGTTCAAACTTTGTAATATATTTGAAAGTTTGGTTAATAAATATCATAATTTTAATTTGTATACAGGTTCCCTATATGAAAAGCCTCCAACTTCAAGTGACATTAACACTTCAAGAATATTGTGAGAAACTTCCAAATGAAGATTATGTGCAGAAAATCATGAAGAAAATATTGAAATGGAGCAAGACGTTTTGAATTTCAAACAAGAAAATACACATATTTTATAATTTCCACTTCCATCTGTAACATTCCCTGAAAACACTGTTCGACATATCTAGAAAATAATCTATAACATTACTAAACTGTTGTGCAGAAGAGTGTACCCTAACTATAAGATAAATAAAAGTGATTTTTTACTGTTTCAAAACTTTTTCCTTTCTCTTGTATACATTTTTCTTGGATACTCTAAGAAAACTTCCACCCAACTGTACTGCTACAGAATTCGAGAAATTCCCACTTTTGTGTGCGTTTCAAATTATAGAGAATGGTAATAGTGTCAATAGAGTTTAGCAGTTTTGGTTATTGTTGGCAATTACTCGAAATTTTAAGGATAACAAATAAAGGGAGAAGAGTACATCTTGGATGGACCAAAAGGAAATTAACAAGGATTACATTATTATTTTTCAGTGTATTTATTTGAAATATTGGGTGAAGTAAAAAGTTCTAAAGTTTCTCTTTATTTCGACGATGAAATTAACAAAGTTAGAATTTTCGGATTTTGATCAAATATGCGGCGTTTTGTTCGATAACTTTTGTCCATTTTGAAGGCAATTTTATAATTTTGCGAATGAAGAAATCCTTGTCTCTATTGGTAAAAAAACTTGATCAGCTCATTTTCATGATCAGCCTCTCTTGAGGTTTTTATCATCAAGAAAATTTTGCAAATGCTTGAAAAGGTGATAATTGCTTGGTGCCAGTTCTGGGCTATACGGCGGGTGCGATATAACCTCCCATCCAAGCTCGCGTCTTTAAGGATATGTTCGGCCTGGCGATGTCTTGATGTAACACTATTGGCCAATTCCGGTCGCTTCTAGTCGAGCGCCTGCTTCAATTTGGTCAGTTGTTGGCAGTATAGGTCCGAATTGAGTGATTGGCCCCAAACACACAGCAAAAACTTCTTAGTTGTTAACCCGGGCTTGGAGATTGTTCTGGCCGGCTCACCGCGGTTAGACTACAATCTTTTTCGCCTGTTGTTCTCGTATGTGACCCATTTTTTATCCGCTTCAAAAATGGGTAGATTCTGCTACGTTTCAGCTAATAATCGCAGGCATCAATTCGCTCCAAAAGGTTCTTTTGCTTCAATTCGTGTGGCACCCATACATCAACAAACTCGATGTATTTGAGACCAGTCTTAAGTGCTCGCATGCCGGTCTGACTCGACGATTTCCAAGATTATATCAACATTTTCGATGATTGGCCTACCAGAGCGTGTTTCATTTTCGACGTCCATATTACCAGAACGGAAGATATGGCTCACTAAAGCCATCTAACAAAAAACGCTCAGAACTTTTTTTTACACACACTTACCTGTATATATATGTACATTGATTCACAATGTAAGGTTTTTTTTTTCAAATCTCATTGTACAATCCAAACTATTAGTATATAATTGCCATAAGTACAATTGAAGACTCAAGGCTTTTAAAAGATTAATTAATGCGTTTTGTCTTGCGTCAATAATTGTCCTTTATAAAAATATCAAAATATCTTGTATTGAATAAGGAGTACGCACATTGGACTATGGATACCAAAGTAGTATGTTATATTTTTGTGATCCATGCGCAAAAAAAGTCGTACGTCTATTGCTAATTTTCTTTACAGCATTCTGCAACTGGCTTTTAAAAAACCTTGCACATTTTCATTTAACTTAATAGCTAAAAAATATAATCTATTGTCGTGTCCCAGGGATGGAATTGTGGGCACTGTCTGGTGTTGTTGTTGTAAAGTCTCAATTTAATTAAATTCATTTGGTTTTACATAACTTTATTCGTTACTTGGTCTTCTGCTGAGACTATATTCGTCTTTAAAGGTTTTACTGAGACTATGCTTGTCTTAGGTTTTTATGAGACTGATTCTAAATACTAATTCTACTTACAAACTTAATTCTTATTAATGGGGGAAAAGGGGATGAGAGTAGGGCTTGTATATATTGATAATTAAGCGTTCCCACGGGAATCGGCATTGGTAGTTTTGACAAAATCTTATGCATTTGTTTATATGAAAAATATTATTGATTACGATTGTAAGTGTAATGATTATTATGTGTTTATGGACTTGAATTCGTGGTAAAGGTATAGGAGTATCGATGGGAATGTTTATGCTTGGTCCCCTTTGTTTATATTAAGTGTATCCAATCGGGATCGCGGTGGAGATTTCTTTATGCTGATGTATATGTTTATATAATAATGCGACTAAGAGACGTTGTGGATGTTTCTAATTCGTTAATACACAATAATGGACACAACAATATGTTAAAGCGAATAATTAAAATAATATTACTTTTGATTCAAATATACATGGTACACCGGACATCAGTTTTATTTTAGTCATGTTGTGCGCGCATCACGTATTCTTAAAAATACATTAATCCCTGATTTCTCTCATTTACGGTCTTGGTGATCTTCAATGAGCGCTCCGGTATACCTTGTATCATGAATATTACTTGCTTATTGTTATTACATTTCTCGAAACATCTGCTGAAGACTACCGAACACTAACTGCAATAACACTATCTGACGCTATAATAAAAGTTTTATAATATAAGGACCCCTGCGATAGAATAAATTCTAGCCTAAAGATTTATTCAAGAATAAACTTATTTAAGAACTAGTTATTATTTTTTATTTTATGGATACATTTTCACATTCAATATTTTACAACTAATAATATGCTAAGATTGAACCAAAAAGTAATCTACCATAAATTATTATTGAATACTTATAAATTGAACTTATAATGTAAAGAATTTGTTATTAATATCAGAGAGTCGAACCGAAATTAATTTCGTTCCGGTTTGCGGATATGTTCCAAGAAAATGTTTATCGTCCAGATTCGGTTTCGGTTCGTCTAAAAATTTCGGTTCAGTTTCGATTGAAATTAAAATTTAAAATCGAAAAAAAAAAACAATTCAAATTGGTCAGTTAAAATTTAAAATCGAGTTTGTTCTAATGTTAGTTACGCAAGACTTGTGCTTGTCCTTTCTTCTTCAAATTTTCTCTTTTTAATCGGTGATTGATTGGTGGTGATTGAGGCTTTATTTATATTGATTAAGCGTTCCCACGGAATTCGGCATTGATGGTTTTGTTTATAATGTATTCAAAGAGACTTCATCGATGTTTCTTACCGACCAGCACATGATTATATAAAGAGCATACATGAAAGAAAGCAATTAAATATTAATTTAATGAAAAAAAAATTAACCGAAATTAACCGTAATTAAAATTTCGTTCTGGTTTTTTCAATTGAGCAATTTTTCGTTCCGGTTATAGTTACGGTTCAGTTAAAAATTCCGGTTAATTTCGGTTTACGGTTGTCGACTCTGCTTAATTTGTTAATAAAAACCCATTGGAGTTTTTCTAAAAAAAACTAAGTGTTGCAGTAGACCTAAGATTTAAATATGGCGCCACCACAGCACTATCGCCATTCAAATGTAGAGGGTTTTTCTAGGATGGTAATTTTTATGAAGTAAGGTAGATAAAATATTCAATAATATAATATAATAGAGTATTTATACTTTATATTATGTAATAATGTATTTGTAATTTACCGAAAAAGTTTATGCTGACTCTGATTTCAGCCGCCTTTGACGGGTTGGTAGTACCCTAAATATATTTTATGTATTGGCTAACCTGTAAAATGACTGACACACTTTTCGAGAATTTTATTTAACTATCAGTTGCTATCAGTCAGTCAGTTTAGTCGGGTTATTGTTTTCAGAGTGTTTTGGTTGTGTTTGGACAAATATTTAATTGTATAAAGATTATCACAAGTTTGTTTGTTGATACGAGTCTCCAGCTTTAGAAAACTACATAAATTAGTAGACAATATGTCGGACGATAACTGGAAAGCACCCGTATTTCGGCAGAATGTTGTTTCAAAGATGTATGTATACTACTTTAGCTTTATGTGTTAATATTTTTAGTTGTTGAATTTAAATATATTTTATGATATAATTTTGTTCTACAGTGATGAGGCCATTAGGCAGTCTGGTATGGCAACTACACGAAACAGTTCAGAGATGGAAAATCATGTATTTCAGAAGGCCAAAACTAAAGAGGAATATTTGGGGTTTGTGGCTCGTCTAATACTGCATGTCCGAGAAATGAGTAAGCTCTCTGAAAGTATAACCAAACTTTTACAATCTAATTTTTATAATTTTAATTCAGATTCGAAGAAGGTGGCTGGTGTGAATCAAAGTGGGGGACAGGGGGTTCAGGATCCTATAAATGCATTACAGAATTTAGCTAGTCAAGGTACTCGTAATAATATGATGGGAATGAATGGACCTCAAGGAGGTCCTCAGGGTCCACAAATGCAACAGATGCAGGCAATGCCTGCTAATTCTCAAATGATACAAAATATGAATAGGGGTCCAAATCAAGTAATGGGTAGACAATTAATAGGAAATGTACAAAATCATGTAATAAATGCAAATATGGGTCAAATGCCTGGACAAATTCAGAACAGTATGCCAATGCAAGCAGGGATACAGAATCAAATGGGGAATCCGATGCAAGCTGGAATTGGAATTCCCAATCAAATGCAAGGTCAAGTAATTCAACAGATGCATAGAAAACCAGAGATGAATATGATGAACGCACCGAACACGGGATTTCCAAGAAATCCAACACCGAATCCATTCCATACTCAGAGTCCTACCCAATCAGTGCAATCCCCAGCTGGTTTAAATGGACCAACCAGCAATCAAATGGTTGCATCGCCTGCGTTAGCTCCTTCTCCAGGTTCACAGATGTTGATGAACCAACAGAGACCTGTTAATATGGCTCCAAGTCCATCAAGTTCTTTAAATACACCTGGACAACCAACACCAAGTCCTGTTTGCATGCAAGATGAAATGGCCTACAGGGACAAAATTCGGCAGCTTAGCAAATACATTGAGCCCCTCACTAAAATGATTCAAAGGACGAGCAATGATGGAGAACGTAAGTTTGACTTTCAAATAATACTTGATTTTGTATTTCTAAATTAAATAATATTTCAGTTGAGAAAACCAGCAAAATGAAGAAATTACTGGAGATTTTATCTAATCCACAAAAGCGGATGCCGCTGGAGACATTAATAAAATGTGAAGTGGTTTTGGAAAAGTTAGACTTTAAAAGAAGTGATGGTAGTGTCCCTCCACCTGCTGGAGCAGGTGTTACTTTGAAAGAGAACCCTGCTTTCAATCCATTATTGGAAGCAATCAATAATAGTTTGCAGTCATCAATGATTAATCATACATTATATCGTAGTTTTGGCCCTACACTAAATGCGTTATTTTGTCCAGAAATTAGGTAATAATAATTATTTTATGTGCATATTTCAGCGTTATTAATAATTTTTTTTAGGTTGATTCCTCCTTTAAAAAGGAAGCGTGTTGAAGAACCAACTGGCGAGATTCCTGCGTTGCTACAAGGTGAAATCGCTAGGCTGAACCAGAGATTTAAGGTTTCGATAGATCCGAATCAGCAGCCTGGCTCTGAAATTACGCATCTAAACTGTTGGTTGGATGACAGAAGTTTACCCTGTGTTCCGCCAATTTCTCTAACAATACCTGCCGATTATCCGTACAATTCACCAAAATGTCACATGGCAGCACATGAGTATAACGCTACGCAATTTTTATCAGAGGTGCAAACGGCTTTGCTGGCAAGGATAAAAAAACTGCCCAGATTTTTTTCCGTATCGCAATTGCTTGATACGTGGGAAATGAGCGTTCGTAAGGCTTCCACTCCGATACAAGTTCCAAGAAACAATGCAATGCCCATAGCATTATGAAATATATACAAATTTATTTATAAGCAGCACTTTGTATTTACTATTAGATTATCAAAATATGAACTAAATTTATGAATAATGTTAATGAACATGTACGTAGAAAGTTTTGTCTGAATTAAGCAATCCATCAGTAATATACGCCTGAAGTCTGCTATACTCTACAAAAAAACTTTTAACCTTTGGTACAAATATTCAGTAATCGGAGCAAGGGACCAAAGACGCTGCCCACCACGCGTCTTTGGTGCCCTCGCAAATTTGAAAATCGAGTGGCGCCTCTTTCAGTGGTCTTCTGTTGGGAATATACGTGCTACGGACCACTGTTATGACGAACCACCAATAGAGGGCGCTCCAATGAGAAGCGCTGTTAGGAATATGCGGAACCGTCAACAGAGCGCTGTCGGGATTTCGATAGACGGTCTTTCGGTTGTCGGGCTTGCGATATAGACCCAAAATATCACCTTTAAATTTAATAAATGTGGAGAATGTGGATGCCACAGCCATCGGGATTTCGGTTGTCGGGCTTGCGATTACCACCGGATATTTTACATATATAATTTACTTGTATATTATCTAATATTACTATTTATTGCAAATTATACAATTACATAAATAATTACAGTCTTCTCTGTAAATTTAACCAACTAAATGTTCATTTATTTTATTACAAGCACATATATTAGTTAATAAAAAATAGAAATAACAATTTTGCAGTTCACTACTCACTAAATCTGAAAATAATGTATTAAAATAAATAAAAATTACTAATATATTCTTACCCTTACATTCGTTATTTCCTGATTAGCTAATATTTAAATATTTCATATGTCTCTACAAATTAATTTATCCATTTTGCAGAAGAAATAACATAATGAATCAAATATGGTTTTCACAAGTACTTGGGTAAGTGGGTATTGAACCTACTCAATCCAGAGTGAGGATCGAAAAAGGATATTTTGTTGCCATAGGGCCTACTCAAATCAATCCCTGTAATGGCTAACGGAAAGTGATCTGAAGCATATTGGAGAGGTGCAGTATTTTCAGTACAATGTCTGTATTTTTGGATATACATCCTGGAACTGGACAAGTGTATCTCATTTCTGAATAGTTATATACATTTTAAATATACACTTACTGGAGTTTACTTGTAGTTTAGATTATTTAAATCCTAAATGAAATTCTAAATAGCCTAAAACAAATTAGTTAAATTTATCCCACCTTATAGTCCTCACAAATGTTCCTTCAATCAGACTGGAAAGCTAAAATAAATTAATTAAATATATCCAATAGCACAAGGATTTTATCACTATCCTACTAATTTAACAATACTGACTAATTAATAGACTAATCACTAGTAATATAAGTCTTAAGAAAGACTAAAATGTTTAATAATAATTAAACTTATTTGGATCAGAACAAACTCGGTTAAAAGTAGTCAAGCAGTTGTGGTTTCCTAATGTAAATAGTGCGAAAACGTTAAAGCAATAAAAACTATTTGAAAGGATAAAGTAAATATAGGTAAAATATATGCGAAAGTATTTTATTGTTTTAAATATCAAAATATTTGGCGATATTATATTTGCTGGTACTTGTGGCGCCGCGTTATGTGCTCTCCATGCACTAAGGAACGCCACCGCAGTGGCTATACAACAGATTTCTCATACGATTTGGTCCCCCTGGCCCAGAGCAAACAAAACTCACTAGAACAGAACGTGGCATATCAGGTTAGAACAGAACGTCATATAAGAGAACAGGACAAAAGAGCGACAAAATAGAACAGTTTTAAAAGAGAACAGCAATAAACCAGAATAGTACTAATCAGAATCAGAAAGGTACTAATAGAGAACAGTCTTAAAACAGGACATCGGAAAAAAATATTGTTTAAAATTCCAATAAATAAATGATGAAACTTAAATTTATAATTAATTATAAATTTATTTTATAATACATCTATTATCATGGATGGCAAAGTGAATGTGTTAAAATTCTTAAGAATTCAGAACGAGGAAAATAAATATTTTTCTCCATGATTTGTTTATCTTTATGCACCATTATGTGTGTGATAAGTTGCATACTTCCACTCTTTACAGTAGTTATAAGAGAAGCCGCTAAGTGAATTACAATAGTTCGTATTATTGGTTTTTACTTTACCGACTTTACATTTAACCTATTGTTTTGAAACAAGTAAACAGAATTTCACATAACCTTTATTATGGCTGATAAAATAATACAAAATAGATTAAAATATTTAAGTATATTATCTACTATCCAACCTAATAATGTTCTGAAATCATATTATTTGTAAGTATTATAGTTTTGTATACATTCCATAATTATATATATTTAATCCTTCGTAATCATTTGCAGATCAAAATGTTTTAAAGTTAGCACTGCAGAGCATATAAAAATAGAATCAAAGTTTTCTAACACAAGCAGAAAATGTGAACTATGTTTAGTTCCCTATTCGCATCCAACTTGTTACATCAACACTGAACCTAAAATATCCAAATTTGCATTAAAGATGTTAAAGAAAAAATCTGTTAAAACAAAATTTCAAAACAAGTATTTGAAGAATTTAAAGAAAAGTAAACAAAATGTAAATACTTTGGTATGTATGAATTATTACAAATTGAATAACATGATTCATAATTATATTTTTAGGAAATTATTTGCAGCAACTGCAACATGAGCAACAAAAAAATAATTGAAAAACCAAACAAAATAAGCTCAAACAAAGTTAAACTTATTGAGAAGAAAACTAAATCGAAAAAGAAAGACAAATTTTGTGGATTGAATCCAGACCTTGTTATTGCAGTTAAAGGTAATTCTGCAAGTAAAAATGCAAGTTTAAAGAAGATCAATCCAATTAAGAAAGAAGACACTACTCAATTGATTCCCAAGAAAACAATTACTTCAAGTAAAAAAAAAGTAGCAGCACAGCAAAAGAATTTGACAAAATTGAAGAATCGTTTGGGTAATGCCCTGAGTAGTCAACCAAGCAGTAACATTGGTTTAAAAAGTTTTTTAAAACAAATTAAATGATATTATTTCCTATATATTCAGTTGTTTTATTTTAATTACAAAGTTAATTTACTTGTACATTCTTCTTGTGTACATCGATACAATTGTAGACTTAGACTTTTTTTAGACTTAAAAAATACTTTATTATATTGCTAAGATACAGTTACAGTGGTAGTTATTATAAGGGTGTGGCATATGTGCGAGCTTGGGCTTATTTAACCAGAAACATATTAATGTATACAAGGTGATGGTTTTTATAAAAAAGAAAAAAAAGTTTTATGTTTATGGGTTTTAATGCTAGCTGGTAAAGATAATGGTTGGGGTTGTCAGGGTTTGGTGGGCGGTGTTTTGGTAGACGGAAGTTTGGGTCTGGGTGGAGGAACATTGGTTTGATGGTGTTTGGGAAGTGGGTTATGTCGATGTCGTCATCAGGGGGTGCGTTGTGGTCGAGGACTGCCAGTGGGAAGGGGATTTTGGGTTTGTGGTGATTCAGGGAGAAAGTTTTGGCGGCATGTCGGCCTTGGAGTTTATGGATGAAATCGGGGATTTTGGGAAGCGAGGCTAGGTCGTGAAGGTGCGCGCTGGGGTGAAGTGTAGTTTGAGGATTTTGTTTGTTTGAGGATAACATATCGATACAATTGTATGAACATTTCGAAATTTATAAATATATTTTTAATTAAACCTATATAAATTATATTAGTCCAAGAGCTTTTATATCAAGCAGCGCGTTGTTATTCGAGTGTGCAAGCGCAATTTTTGAATCCGTTTTATGCCAGGTACAATTTTCTGTCAAAAATTTGAGAGCAACACTTGACTTAACGAAGAACTATGGATCAAATGGTACCGGGCCGCCCAAGGAACATTAAATTATTTCCATTTTATTTTAACTCACTAGAATCTAGTAAGAGAAATCATTTTATATTCATTTTTTGGTGTAACTGTCCCCGCTCCCCTCAGCTGGCCACGGTAAAATTATCAAACGTTGACCGGTCCGCGGCGATAAAAAGGTTGAGGAGCACTGTATTAGATTATCCTTCCATCAAAGGTCTTTTACAACACCCATAACACGATGGTTTGTTATTTGTTCCCATTTACCTCAATTGACCAAATGTATTTTCAAATTATGCAAATTTAAGAATCCATCTATGTAGTAGTAAAATTTCGTAGTAGAGGTGTCTGTTTAATTACTTTGTTATCCTTGTTAACAAATCTCATTCCATTCATAGCTTCTTTGGCTTCATACCATTTTATAGTAATTGATTTGATTAAATTTTTATCATTATCTTTTAATATTCCTAGATTTAAACTGTCAAACAAGTCATTTAAAACCCCACATAGCACAGATGTACCCATTTAATTTGCTGAAAAGTGTCTTCCATTTGCACAAAATATGTTTCCTAAAATCATAATTTCCATTGCTGCACTTACTGACTGATTAAATAGTTGCACTGCTTTGGAAACTTTCATCTTTGGTATTTTTTTCAGGAAATACATGCCTTGCAGTAAGTTTGTGCATTTGGCTTAGGTTCCTCATGTTCTTTTAGTTATAATTTATTAATTTCGTTCCGATTTACGTTTTTTTTTGTTTTTTTTGCTTCCGCAGGAGCCTCTTTCATTTAGCTGCGTCCTGTCGATGCATTACGCTAATCACATTCTGTATTGTAGTGGTTAGTTTAGAGGATAGGTGGAGTACGAATCGGGGTCCCGGCGATTCTGAAAAGATGTTGGGGGACCTCGGAATGGTTGTTAGTGATGTTTGGTTGTTATTTTATAAAGAAGTATCCGTAGTCAATACAAAATTGGCCAAAGCCTTAAAAATTTCAGGACGATTTTCCACCAAAAGAGTCTATGGAGGTAGGCAACTGTACGTTCATAGAAGAGATGGAGGACATTAGAATTCTTGTTGAAGCTGCATTGTTTGGACAACCAAACAGGACGTGGTTGACTGTTCCTGTCTCTCCACAGGAACAGAGATCGGTGTTGGCCAGTCCAACTCTATGAAGGTGGATTTGAGCGAGGGTGTGTCCAGAACGGAGCCTGCCAATTGATGACACTTCTTGAAGATGCCCGCACTCACGAACCATGGTTTCACTCCGATCACTTTGTTCAACTGATGGTAATACTTCCCTTTTGTTGCACATTCACTGTCAAACTTCCTTTGTCACTCTGCCAATGCGAGCCGCCTGTGATCGAAGAAGAAGTCTGTGTGAGGGATCTTGATTTCCAAGGGGTAGTCGATGGAGTGGCCTTCATTTGCGGCCTCGTCCGCCTGCTCATTTCCCGTGATTCCCTGGTGACACGCAACCCAGCACAGTTCCAGCCGAATTCCACCGGCAGCTAGTCTATTCAGGGAGTTCCTGGCTTCTACTACCCAAGGATTGGTCTTTATTTTGATTTGATCACTGAAAGTACTGCTGATGGAGGAGAGAGTCTGAGAATATTGCGACGTTTCTAGCACCATGTATGACGGAGGCGATGTTCACTGCTCTGCAGATTGCGTATAATTTCGCTGTGAAGATGGAGCAGGAAGATGGCAATCTTCCGCACTCGCAGATGTTGGACGCTGGAATGGCTATTCCGTATGAGACGGATTTCGGAGAGTTGCGTATTGAGCCGTTTGTATAGATCCTCAGAAATCCGTCGTAGTGAGACTCCACGAACTCAGCAAACATTCTGTCGTACGAGTTTCCAAACTCATCCCTTTTTTTGGAGAATTTCCGGGAGGAGACTCGCAGTGGCAGAACTGGAGGATGCATGTACAGTCGATCAAATGCAGAACTGTCTACGGAAGGTCTCAAGTCCTCTATCTCCTCCTACACTTGATCATCTATGGCACTCCCTTCCTTCTCCAATAAGGCTTGCTGGAAAAAACCTCAGCAGCGGCAGTTACTGACGGTATGACGACGGATGACTCCCCAATGGCCATGTTCCTTAGAAGCAGTCGCTTCGTAAGCATACGTCGTCGAATGCTGAGGGGCATTACTCCGGCCTCCGCATGAAGAACATTGATGGGCGTCGACCTCATTGCTCCCATGCATATGCGAAGAGCTTGATTCTGAATGCGATCGAGGATTCTGAGCGTACACTTAGCACAATGAGAGTAAATAAAGCAGGCGTAATCCAGCCTGGACAGTATGAAAGCCTTAAACAGGGTCAGCAACAAGGTCACATGGGATCGCAGCCCCAGTCTCTTCCAGACACCGCTTTCAAGATGTTAAGACCATGGAAACATGACTGAGATATCTGTCTGGCTTGAGACTTCCTAGAAAGCTTGTTATCCAAAGTCACGCCCAGAAACCTAAACTCATTCACAATCTCGATAGCCGATCCGTTGATTGCTGTGCTGGTGATCGTTTCCTTGTGAGGATCATGGCTTTCATTTTAGCCGGAACTGCTTCCATATGTCTGTCTCCCAGGAAACTAGAGATATTGTCAAGTGCTGTGTTCATGGTTTCCTCCAACTCGTCACTGTCTGCTCCCGCACAACAGATGGCCAAGTCATCCGCGTATGCTAAGACTTCCACGCCCTCCGGAAGGATGTCGTTGATGGCATGAATGTAAAGATTAAAAAGAAGAGTGCTTAATGGACTGCCCTGTGGTAGACCTATATACGAACATCTGGAATCGGAGTCGGGGTTGGAGCCTGAGATGTAAAGGCATTTGTCTTTGGAAAGCTGGATCAAGCAGTTGACGTATTGTGCAGGAATTCCAATGCTTTCCAGAGTATTCCTCAAGATGGTCGGAGATACATTATCAAACGCGGACTTAATGTCAATGAAGCATAACAGCATGGTATGATTTCTGGACAGAGTTTCGTGTATCTTAGCGAGCAGAGCACAGATGTTGTCGTTGGTGCCGTGGCCTTTCCTGAATCCCGAGAAAGATGTTGGAAGAATGGAACGAGACTCGACGAACCTCTCCAATCTAGTTTTTATCATTACCTCCAGGCATTTTTTTACCGAGGATAGCAGCGCAATCGGTCTGTAGCTGGCTCCTCAGCATAGCCGCAGTTACCAGGTCAGTTCCCGGTGCTGAATCCTTGGCACGACTCAAAGCAGCAGTCAGCTCTCCGAAATCAAATGGCCTGGTCATCTCAGCATCAACGCTTGGAGAAGCGGACATGAGAAAGTGTTCCGGAACTCGAGCAGAGTCGAGAGCTAATTTCCTGAGGAATTCCTCATTCCTTGTTCGCATCTCTGTTCAGAGGAGTTGTCTTCCTATTGTGGTGATTGAACGCCCTCACTTTCTTCCAAACGTAAGAAATCGGAGAATCCCTGCTTAGTGTCTCACAAAAGGCTCTGAAGTGAGCTCTCTTTTTGGACTTCAACAATTTCTTTGTTTCAGCTATCGCTCTTTTGGCAGCTATTAAATGCGTCATTCTCCCGGTGTTGTGAAAGACTTTCAGTAGTCTTCTGCGTTTGGCAACAGCCATTGAACATTCGTCGTCCCGCCAAGGGCAAGATGGAAGTTGCCTGGTTGCTGGATTGGATTTTGAATTGGCTTTGGCCGCCTCGACGACGACAGATGTCAGAGTGCCCAGATCCATATCTGGGTTGTTGTTGAACTCCTGCTCCAATTCAGCACTGTACTTCTCCCAGCGAATCCTTTTAGAGTTGATCCTAGTGGACGATGAAGGCTGTAGGGAACGAATGACTTGTTGACGAGGAGGACTGGACTCGCATAGTATGGGGTAGTGGTCGCTACCGAAGGTGTCTTGCCAGGTGCTGGAAGTCAGATTGAGCGCCGCTTCTGGCGATGCAAGCAACAGGTCCAAGATGGAAGGAGAACCCTGTTTGAGTCTGGTTGGTCGCATGTCGTTCAGCATGACTAGTCCATGCGCATGTATGGCTGCCATCAGCTCCCTGCCGTTGGTGTTGTTTGTGGCATGACCCCAGTGCAAGTGGTGAGCGTTCAGATCACCCATCAGGATGAATGGCCGCTCAGCATTTGAAAGAAGACGATCCCAGGCATCCCGTCTCATGTATACATTTGGAGGGATGTATGCAGATATTATGAGCAGGCCGTCAATTTTGGTTTGTGCGAATTGCGCATTCGTAGGATGTTTGAAGCTGGGTATGGAGATGGAGGAAGCAATCGAGGACTTCACCAGCAACGAGACTCCGCCCTTACCATCTTCGCGTCTGTTGTGAAGAGCTTTATAATTGGGAACAGAGCATCTAACACCTGGACGTAGCCAGGTTTCATTTAATAAAACGACATCAATGTCGTTTGTGTCACATATTCTGTTTAAGTCTGATTGGTTGGAATGGATGGATTTGATGTTCCAACTAAGGACTGTCACTTTCGGATCCATTTTCGCTACTTGTGTGAGTCAGGTCTTAACGAGAGAATCAATTTATGGTACTGAGTTCTTGTGAAACCGAGAGCGACTTTTTTTTAATTTTGTGAAGCAGGACTTCTAATAGGGCAATCGCTTCCTCATCGGAGTCAACAGCTTCATCCGCAGAGTCTGCAGGGATGTGCCTGGAGGGGTGTTCATATACAGGAGATGTTTTTCTTTCAGAAGAATTGTTTTGTCTCGACCTCGGAGATTTCTTTTTGTGTAAATTGTTTGATTGTTCTGTATTTTGTTGACTTGAGCGGTTATTTCTATGTGCCGGTATAGATTTAGTGAAATTTCTTTTACTTTGAGGAGGAGGGGAGGAAGTAACTGAAGCATACGATCTTTTGGTAAAAACTGAAGGGTTGTTAGTGCGTGGAACCTCTTGCTCCTCGTTTGTAGCTGGAAAATCTCTGATATTAATGTTTTATCTTCTCGGGCGTTTTGTTCTCTCGCTTCGTAAAAAGACCATTTATTCCTAACCATTCTTTTATTGTCTTCTGCCTTCTATATTCTCGACACTCCCTGTCTTTGAGTCTCACATTCTGCTCATTGGTCAGGTGGTCTCCACCGCAGTACTCGCAGGTTGGAGAGTTTTTGTTTATGCAAGATTCCAATGAGTGCTGTCCGGAGCAAGCGGGACAACATATAACTTTTGCAGATTTTTTTTGTATGACCGTATCTGAGGCAGCCGAAGCATTGTATGACTCTGGGGATGTATGGATCAACGTGTCTGTGATTGAAAAATAGGGTGACTGAATTAGGTATCTGGCGACCTCTAAATGTTATGATAAGCGGGCCTGTTGGAACGTAAATTGGTTCTCCTTGCTGGTTAGTGGATCGTCTCTTAATTCTTTCGACGCGCATGACCTCCATGACCTTCTTTCTGTCGTCGCACACGATGTGTTCCTTGACAGTTTCCTCAGTCATGCAATTGTCGATGTTTCTTATGATGCCTTTGCAGGAGATGATGCGTGCCGGAATGAAAGTTTTTATTTTAGCTTCACTGCAGAAGGTTGAGGTGAGAAACGAACTAGCTGCAGTACGGTTGTTAAAGAATATGGCAGCCCTGTTTTTGTCTCTGCTTTCCCCTCTTGAGACTACTCTTTTATATGATCTACTAAGTTTATATCCTAAGAAGACAGAGCTTAGTCGGTTGGTGTGAGGATCGGTGGGTTCAGCCATGACAATGAATGGGCCTTCATCCTGTTCAGAGAACATGTTAATGCTGGGGGGATGTCTTGATGTTCACTAATTTTCCTAAAACATTCCTAGTTTCATCTTCAATGACTACGAGTTCGCCATCCTTGGTTTTCCCTGAGTTTAGGAAATTAATAATCTCTGCTTTGAGATCTGATGAAACTGATAAATTGTCTAATTTAGATTTGTCTGTGCCACTTTCTAGATTCATGTTTATTAAACTAAGGAGTTCTCTGAAATTTGACAATCGGACAGAAGTGTCCGATTGCCCATTAGCATTGTATTCCCCCATTGTGGGGGAAAGGAGGAGGGGGAGAGCGGAACCCCGCTAGATTGAGACAGGGTGGTCTCTCGTAAGGAAATAACAACTTTTACACTAACTAATAACAATACTAACTAAACTTTTTTTGAACTTAACCTGAAAATTGAAGTACGACCGAACTTACTCGTTCGAGCACCGGCGCTCGAGTCCCGATTTACGGTTACGTTGAATTTATATTAAAACCGTGGCTGTCGTAATTGTGTCAGTGTGACACATGCTAAGTGTAGTGTGGGAACGTCACTATGGAGAGAGGCTGTTGGTTGGTTGGTTGGACCAAAGTGAATATGGTTTTTCGAGGACAGTTGGTACGATTCATGCACCACGGTAGGAGAGAAGAAGATATTTCGGATGAAATCGGAACCTTTCAAATTTTTATTTTGCGAGAAACAAAATTTGATGAATTATATTGTTCTCCAAATCAAGGATAGGTTGAGTCTCTTGGAAAGTATTGGGTCAGAGGTCTCGCTGTGCTGGATACCGGGACATGCTGGGATCCCTGAGAACGAAAGGGCGGATGCGTTGGCGAGTGAGGGTCATATGGCCAATATCACGGACCTACTTGTTCCGTTCTCGGATATCAGTGAAATAATTAACAAGGAAGAAAGGGAAAAATGGCAGTACCTATATGAAGTGAGGTCCGAGAACAAGGGAAAGTATTATTTCGAGGGCAATCCGAGAGTGGGAATGATACCATGGTTTCAAGAGTTAAAGTTCACTAAGAAATCTGACATATCAGCTCTGTGCAGATTATGAACGGGCCATAACAGATATGCAGCTTATCTTTTTAGGATGAATTTGGTGGATTCACCGCACTGTGACTGTGGGATGATATCCACCACTAATCACATTCTTTTGAATGTGAAAGTGCTGCTACAAACGTGCTCATAAGTGGACTAATCACTCAAAAAGTTTACCTTCCAACATCATTAGACGTCCTGTTAAGGATAAAGGATAGCAAGATATATAGACTGATTTTAAATTTTATCAAAAACTCTGGATGTGTTGTTTGAATATTTATTATATATGTGTTTATTCTATTGTCTTTTTTGTGCTTTGTTACCCATTATTATACTTTTTTAACACTTTTTACGTACCTTATATATGTATTAAAAGTAATATTATTTTAACTATTTGCGTTAACATACAGTTTTTTTTATTAGGATGGTTGTGGTATGTTGCGTCCAAGGATGTAAAACAAAAGATGTGGATGGAACAAAGATGAGAAGTTTCCCTGCAGTTGATACACCAGTGTTTCAGCAATGGAGAATTGCAACAATTAATGTTGAACTAAGAAATATGGACGATAATGATATCAAGAAAAAGAATCTTCATTTTAGTAATAACTATAAAAAAAAGACCTTACTTCTTTTGTTATGATATACCTATGATAACTGAAAATATTA